TGGCCTCTCGGTTTTTTCATCTGTCGTATTTCCACTTGCTGCCTCTGGGCGTCTGCCCTGTCCTCTCGTCCCCACAATGCGTTGGGACAGATTCCCGCCCTCTATAAGTGCTGAGACTGTTTCTGCTGACGATGCACTGCCCCTCACTGCCTACTGTTTGTTTAAGACAGGGATTTTGAAGGAAATGGAAGATTCAGTGTGATCCTTGCTTCCCTTTTCAAGAAAGACTTCACAACAATAATTTGGTCTTATTTCCCGGTAATAAATTATGAGTTTTCCAAAATGATTTCAATACAAATCTTTTCAAATTTTTCAAATGGACAAAGAAAGACTTTCATATGATCAGGTGTAACTGCAGGAAAAATATTGGGTATATAAAACACATTCTGGAGGAAAACAAAAAGGTTATCTTACATGCAAATGTTAACAGTGACATGACATGTTCACAATTTGGTCCAATTTTGTTCCCATTTTTAAGAAAACACTTCATACTTTTCTGTTGTCTGACTGAAGAAACATTCTCTGTGGAATAAATGAATAAATGATCAACTCTCTTTACTAAAGTCAACCCAAAGGGGACTTTAATATCGTTCTCACTATTAAAGCCTGACAACTCTTGAGTTCACGACTGCAGTCAAAGCCAAAGCTGGCTGCACACCTCACAACACATTTTGCATCACAGTGGACCCTCACATTAGTGTCATATCATGACAACTGTGCAGTCCATCACTTTTCATGTGACTTGTTGAAACTGCATGACAAATTAGATGAATACTCTATTAGAAGTGGGGCTCCAATGGGAAAAGAATAGCAGTCTACTGATTCTGAATTAAAATAAGAGTGGACTGGTTCATCAGCCAGAGGTATCTCTTCCCATTTTTCACCCTGTAAGGGGCCGCACAGTAGAACGGCTCATTTAGAGACAATTCCTGATCTTTAGAGAGGTTTCCAGACACACTGGGGAGACATGGTTAAGTTGAAATTCAAATTCAAAGTAGATTTTGCATAATGTTCTTGCCTTAAGGGATTAGACAGTTTTATGGGGGAAGTTTATATTGTTAAAAATGAATATTTATTCCTGGCTATACAGAAATATGTGTATCTTAATGTCAGAGAAAAGTGGAGGCAGAAGTGGATGCAGAACATTATCGTTAGTAAAGGATGGGCCATGTGACTCCTTCAGAGACAAAATCCCTCTTTGTTGATTAAAGCTCAGTGTTTGGACTTGTATCTCACCAGGGGACATCTGTGCTTTCCAGCTGGTTGTAACCTTGCTGTGTAATTTCCTGTCCAGTCAGCAGCAGGTGAAGTCAATGAACTCTCTTCTGAGATAACAGGGAGAGATCAGATCAGATCTGAGCTCTCGCTGCTTCGCTGAGTGTTTGGATGCTTCACAGCAGGTGGCTTTTGTTTCTGTGCTGTCGCACAAGTTGAGTCTATGTTGTTTTTCTGCTGTTCCTGCATCAGCGACAACTTAACTCATTAGGAGGAAACCATCTCTACACAATGTTTGTAGTCCCGGTATGTGAGGGATAATCGTTTTGTCTCTAAATCAACCATCCTGGCTGTTTTGAATAAATCATGCCGGTAACTGCTTCCCGCCTTCTCTCAGGCTCTTCCTTACGACCGAAACTCTCCTTGGCGGTGCCGGGGAACATCAAAGCAGCTGATTTGATGATTCACACCTTTTCTCTTAACTCAACAGCGACAGACGCAAAAGCAGAAGACCTCAAAGGGAAACAGGCCTGAAGCTGTTGGCACAGCAACCGAAGGGCAAGGCAAATGGAAGTGAATGCAAAGCAGCCAGACCTCATACTTCCAAAGGAAAAAGGCTTGAAAAGCTTCAGCTTATTCTCCCCCAAACAAAAGGAAGCAGAATTAAGGAACGAAGTATAAGCAAAAAAAAATAGCTCTGCCGAGAACAATAAAAAAAGGCTCTATCAAAGAAAACAGAAGATGAAACAAGATCAAACCGACTAAGTAAATGGTTGAAAAGAGGATGTCGGCTTTCGAGGAATTTCTTGGAGGAAACGTGTCTCTGTTTGCTTCAAAAAGGAGTTTGGAAAACAGCTTGTGGGCTAAGTGAGGACTTCAGTGTAGTTTCCATTAGGTTCAGGGTTTATCAGACAAAATATGCATGCATAAATTGTTGTTGTTTGTCAAAAGCAGCTGGTAGAGGAGGCAGGGAAGCTCTCTCTGTCTGACACTGAGCAGCCTCTAATTTACAAACAGTGAGGGGATTTTCCAGTTTCTTCTTAATCCTCTAAAAGCTTCTTGAAAAGCAGCCAAGTTTGATGCTCTCTATTTAGGTTTAGCTACTCTTTACACCCAAAAAAAGACAAAACAAAAATTATTTGTATTGAATTGGTGGAATTGTTTGAGGAACATTTTAGAATTTGAGCATTAAGAGTCTTTAAATCCTGCATGTTTCCCATCCCAGAGTCGTACATGGCACCGTTAGCTCTACTAAAGCTGTTTTGTGCCTTCCTTGTAAAGATGAAGATGAAACATTAAGCTGTGCACGCGCAACATTTTTTCAACTTCTCTGCAGCTCCCCTGAAATTTTCATTGTTACTGTACTCATGTTTTTCCAGTCAGGGTTAAAGATGCACGGAAGCATGCATGGAAGTTTATCCATTACTATTGTAGCAAGAGATAGTTTGCAACTTTTCGTGTATTTCATCATTTCTACTCCTGATTGCAGAATTCAGTCACTTGCCTTTAGATTTTTTTTTTTAACACGACCACAAATGTTGGTGTCGTCACACCGATTAAAGCTTGGGTTTTTCGTCTTCGTCAAGACCAGTTCATTTACGAGGCATTCAACTCACAATCTGCCCATTAATACATAATCATTTAAAACTATCACAACACACAGAAACACAACAAACCAAGAACCAGAAAAAGTTAAATTCTAAGTCTAAATTCAAGAATCTTCCGCATCTACATCTTCATGCTTACAAGATTTTTTTCTTTCTCCCACTTTCTCAGCACATGTGCATTCCCATCAATAATATCTACAATGCATATTGTTTTCTTTCCATATCATCACCTCATTTCTTCAGATGGTGTCAACTCATTTTGACTTTAGACGCTCCTCAAACATTCAGCAATATATACGAGGCTCTTTCTGGTATTTGACAAAGCACGTTTCTCCTCCAATTGACCATTTTTTTCCATAATTTTGTCCATTCAGTAGAAGCTTTGAATTGTTTGTTCTCATGTTCTTGAAATAACAATAAAGCAGTATGAAACAATTGACTTGAACAAGGCTTTAAGTGAAGGAGAGGCAACATCATTAAGAGTGTGTAATTTTATAGACGCTCTCCAAGTTGTCAGAAATGTTTGTAGAGAATGGAAAGGGTGAGCCAATAAGTCCTAAGGTAAACACACTTCAGTTGTTCTTACATCACTTCTGTTATATTACAACAGACCTCTGAATAAAAGTGACACCAGCAAACTGAACAGCAAAGATTTCCATTGGTTGAATTTTAAATAAATCCCTCCATGTTCACACTGATAGGTCACTGACAAAAAAAAAAAACTAACTTACAAAAAGAAAAGAAATGACAATAAATTCTGCCAAATGAGAATCCTCTGCAGCAAAATTTTAGCTTGCCATCTTTGGATAATGCTGCCCTCTTTTGTCCTGCGAACAGAACTACTTCTGGAGGGCTCATCCCCTGTCAAGTCACCATTCTTTTAACGTAATTGCAAAGGAGGAAGTCAAACTAAGTAAAACATTCATGATCACTGTAAAACAAAAATACACTCTAATAGACGGGACAAGTTCAAACTGAAGTGTCTCAGGGACCAGCCAGCCTGCTCTGTGGCAGGTTCTTAAAAAAAATAAAGAATCTGATTCCGAACCTTTTAGTTCCCCCATTTTTGGCACACTGTACCTCTGATGCACTTAAAGTCAGCTGTAGAGAAAATGCAGCTGACATCAGCACATTCAAAGTTTTGTAAAGGGTGCTGGAATACGAGACCTTTGGCGTCTGATTTTTAAAAAGTATAGTGAAATAAAACACACACTTATGCAGGGCTTATCATTTTCACACACTGTTTTTGTCAGTTAAAAAAACACTGGTGTGAAAGAGCAGCAGCAACTGATATTGATGTGCACTGTGCCAACTCTACCCGTTCACAGTCTCTGCCTGCTCAGTGTTACATTTTAACAGCATAACCTGTAAAATCAACCATAATAAGTGATTACACATTTTGTTCTTTAGGTGCTATTGATGTCAATAGTATGACAATTCCTCATTAAAACCAAATTCCTAATATATAATCCTGGTGCTTATATCATCCAACACTGACCCAATCTGTCGGATTTAGAAAGCTAAGCAGGTGGCATTTGAATAGGTCCACTCGTGGTTTACTTTTCTATTTCCCCACAGAGGGCGCTGCTGCATAGTTAGTGTGGACAGCTCTGCAAAAGAGCTGTTTATATATTGTCATATTGTTTTATCATATTTAAAGAGCTTTCTTGCAGTCTATCTCCTTCTTAATATTTTTTTTAACTTTAAAAAAAATAGGATTAATAAATAGAACTGACTAAAACCAACTGCGACAGTGTACTTTTTTTTTGGCTTGAGAACAAGTAACTGTGAGCGAACACATGATAGAGGAACCTGAGACAAAATCGCGAAACGGCAGATTTTCTGTTATTTTGCTGCAATAATTTTCAGATCTCAAATATTACCTAAACAATAGACAATGTCATCTTGATTTACTTTGACCTTTCAAACTTTCAAACAAGACTGTGTGTATATAGTGAGTTGCATATACACTGTTCTCAAAGACAGCTGGGACTTGACAAGGGGATCTAATTTTGACATTTGAAACCACAAATCCCATTGGGATGTGACCCAGAAGAATCCTGGTTTACTCTGAGACGAGCCCTTAAACCTGAATATCGTAATGTCCCGTGTATTCGCGCACAGATAAATAAAGTGAGCAGCCAAATCTGGCACCATAATTTCGCCCCCCCTTCCACCACCAGCCCTGCTGGGCGGAAAGATGGGCTAAGGGGTGGGGGGGTTGGTAGCCGGGCAGACGGCCACGCTCTTTAAACTCCTTTTCTTAGGTCCCACAATATGGTGTGTCCCACTAAACTCCTGACGGAATTTAACGTAATTATCGGATTAAAGCCTTGTAGCTCTGAAGCTGGGAATATTTACTACCACACAGACGACAGAGGCGTCTGCGTATCCTGATGCACTGCTAGGACCTTGTTGGATTTGACAGGGTAAAAAAGCGTTTTGCGTTTTTAAGGGGAGATTCTGTGTTTTGGAGAGGAGCGCATGACGCGCGAGTGGAGATGTAAAGTGGAGTTGGATAGCGCAAACATTCTGCCCAAACTGCGGTACTGGTGAGTTTGATTTGACGTATTTATCGAAGATTCATTACTCTTCGGCTGACAATTATTTTACCTAATGTTTTGTAAGTTAATTTAATGACCATTGTGATGACCCTTTAGTGAAAACATTAAACTCAGATTTGACAAAAGCCTAAATGGACAGAAGGCTTAACAAATGCACACTTATGTTATGAAACATCGCAAAATATCGCTTCTTGTAACTTTGTTGTAAGCACGAGTTAGATCATACATGTCAATATCAACCATGTTTATTTGCCTAAACATTTTTAATAATATGTTTCTCACCTTTACAGACAATTCCTGGAAGCTCAGAAGAGGTTCACTGGCCATTTTGTCCAAAGACGTACAGCTTTTTCTGTTATGTCTGTCACCTCTCTGCCAGAATGGAAGCAACTTCTTCTGGAGAAGAAGAGGAGAGAAGAGGAGGAACGCGAGAGGAGAGAAAAGCAGGAAGAAGAGAAGTTGGCCAGCATGCCTGCTTGGAAAAGAGGGATCATCCAGCGGCGGAAGGCAAGGCAGGAGAGTTTAGGAGACAAGGAAAAGGACATCACCCTTCTGCATATGGATGTCAGATCTCCTTCTGATGGCCTGAGTGACACGGACAGCTCTGTTACTGTCAATCTTGGAAGTGAACCATCACTCAGTCCAGATCCAGGCCAGTGGCTGGATATGGAGCCCAAACTAATTAGTCAGGTGTCTGTGGAGACAATAGTTCCAGTTCATGAAAACCCATTTATTCGGACACAAAGTGTGTGGAAGAAGAGCAAAGATGCGGAAGCAGGGAACGATCTGGAAGCAAAGGAAAGGGAAAAACTAAGCCCCAATGATGTGGACTTGGGAAGAGGACGGGATGTAGAGCAGAAGAGGGACAGGTTTAGAGATATCACTGAAAAAGAGAAGAGCAGGGACAACGGCCAAGGGAGAGAAAGAGAAAACAAGAGGGAGGGATGTGAAAAAGATAGAACCCAATGGAAAGAGTCGGTTCAGGATGCAGGCAAAGAGCAGGAATTTTCCCAACAAAGAAAAGAAACAGATGAAAAGGAAATCAGTTCAACACCTGGTCCGTTTTCTCCTCTTGTCCCTTGTCTTCGCACTATCCGTGCTGACAACATCATCATTATTGAAGAGGATCGGAAAAGCAGCGATGAGAGGAGGGCTAGACGCAGGGAGATGGAGAGGGAGAGGCCTCTGGAGGACCAGTCGGGAAACAGAGGAATGAAGATGGACCTGAGGGAGATCCTCGCCGGAGGAGGCAGTGTCACCGAGATCCGAGCGTCTGAAGTTCTGATCATAAAGCCGGCGGCTAGCCCCGAAGAAAGAAGTGGAGATGGGAAGGGGAGAGATGATGGAGAGATGAAGAACATTGTGGATTCAAGAAGGGAGAGTACAGGTAGAGAGCTGAGAACAGACATGTCCTGGCTCAGAGAAAAAGAGAATGAGAGGCCGTGGGGTCACGCTACAGTCATTAATAAAGAGGACAGGAAGGATAGCCTGGATGAGAAGGGAGGAAGGGTCAGCCAGCTGCTGAGTAAATTCGGAGAGCATCCTAAACCTCCATCTCGATCCAAAAGCTCTGATAACTTCCACCAGGCGGGAAGGAGAAAATATTCAGGAGATCAAGATGACCGACAGTCTGACGAGAGGAAGGCACATGAAAAGAACATGTTACTGAAAAATATACCGAAACGCTCCTTTAGCTTCTCAGATCGAGTCATTAACGCAGAGGAGAACGGCTTGGGTGATGAAGGCTGTAATGATAGGATACATTCAGACAGGACTGTCGCCTCATGGGTAGATGTCGCCAGCACGAGGAAGCAAAATACAACGAAGTTCAAACTTGGGTGTGCGAGACTTTTAGATAAAGACTGCCTTGCAAAACATAGAGATGTTAACTCTGAGGATGAGAAGGGAGGAACGGTGCAGAGGAAGAATGAGGCAGAAATGTGGAGGAAACACAAAAGCGAATTTACGAAAGTGGAGCTTGTTGACAAGAGGGCGTCAGAGAAAGTTGGGGATGCAGATGGCGATAAGGGCTTCACAGTGGCATCAGTTAAAAACATGGAGGGTATATCATTTGCAAGGAGAGTTCAGATAAAGCAGGATGGGAAAGCAAGAGCTGAAAGAGAAGTTCAGCAACTGACAGCGGAGAAGGATTTGGAAAATCTGACGGAGGATTCAGAGGGAGTAGGACACACTGATGCCCAAATCAGTGAGAAAGCTGAACTTCACAGTAAAGATGGAATCGGAAACACGGTCCAGTCGGACGATAGCGATGTCGCAGGCTCATCAACAGAGGTGCTCAGTCAAAGTCAAGGTGCTGAGAGTCAATCCAGACAGGATTCAGCCTTTTCAGAGTGCTCCAGTCTGCTCTGTACAGTCGCAGATAGCACCGCCCACAGAGGGCCAGAGTGGAGTGGTACAGGGCCACAAGGGCCTTACCTCAAACACTCTGTGCTCTCCCCACAAACTGAGAACCTTATCTGTAAAATAGAAAAAATAGGAGACACAACAGTTTATATTAATGAGAGAGTAGGATGGGCCCACAAGGCTACACATGGAATAACCACAGAGGGAATGCAGGAGGTGCAGCCACAAAGAGATGGTGCATCAGAAACTCTGACACACGAAGCAATTCCAAGATCTCCGAAAAGGATAGCACCCTTCGGGATCGCAACAAGTCCCCTCGAAATTCAAATTCCCAGAACTGTGTTTTATGTTGCCGACGAAATGGTGGAGAGAAGAAAGGCTGAGGGGGAAGGAGGGCAAGGGGTTGAGAGAAGGGATAGCTGGAGGATCGGAAAACCCTTAAGTCGTATAGAGTCCCTGCGAGAGAAAATCAGACAGAGGGAACTTCAGAAACTGAGGCAAAAAGAGGAGCAGGATGGACAAAGGAATGAGGCCGCAGAGATCTGTGATACTCAGAAAGCTGAGGGCAGGTTTGAAGAGAGGAGAAGTGAAAGAGAGACCGACTGGGAAGCCACAGCCTGTGAGCAGAAGAGGCAGGCCGAAGCAGAGTGGGGACAGGAAGAGGCAGCACAGCAGACATCCATGGCTGCATTTGACGTCACACAGGAAGTTGCCGTGTTGAAAACCTGCCCTCAGCATCCTGTTTCTGTCCCCCACACGCAAGCAGACACAGGAGAGGAAGTGACAAGTGTCGCTGCTGCCTCCAAAGTCATCTCTGATAGCTCCCAGATATCTGAGGATGAAGACGACCCCCAAAAACATGTAGAGGAGCAGCTCAGGCATCACACGGGCCGAAGCGAGAGCAGAGAAGAGGAAGAAGAGGAAGAACAAAAGGAAGTGTCTGAGGAAAGTGTGAATGAATGCTCGTCGTCTGTGGATTCTGCACAGCCGTTCTCCCCTTCACCACCGCATCCTAACTCTCTTGCTGCTATGAGCCGGATCTACAACCTGGACACTGTGGGGTCCAGATCGGGCTTGTATCTGAGGGAAAGGACAGTCGACATCTCGTCACCCGTGCACCTTGTTAAAGTGAAGCCACTCATTTCAAACTCGCAGTCGGGGGACAGCAAAGCGCTGACAGGTGACAGCATCTGCGGGGTTCAGACGATACAGCGGCAGATAGAGCAGTTTCAGCTGAAAGAGCAGGAAGTACACAAGGCTTGTTCCTCACCAAATGCATCAGTAAAGGACAGAGATACAAAGGGACAGCAAAGCCCCAAGGGAGTGTGGAAGCAGCGGGTAAAGGAGGATGAAGAAACCACCGTGCTGGACCCTAAAGTTTCCCCTCAGCGTGTTTGTTCTCCAGTATCGCAACTTAAGCAAACTATCACTATCACACCCTCGTTTCTCAGGAGCCAGTCTCCAGACAGCACCTTGAAACCTTCATATTCTGCCCCGACACCGGCCTCCTCCCCGTGCTCACCATCTCCTTCCCCCTCCCCCAGCGCCTCCCCATCACCCACCCCATCGCCAACACTCTTCTCCATCAGGAGTGCTTCCGGGGGCCAAGTGAAAAGAGGAGCTACCATCACAATCACCCCAAAAAAACCCTCTGCAGGAGGACCAACGGGCTTGACGGTGAGACCCATCGCAGCAGGGTCCCCAAAGGCACCATCGAAGCAAGCAACGACCCCCACTGTGGCTGAGCCAGTGAAGAAGAAGTACCCAACGGTGGATGAAATAGAGGTGATTGGTGGATATCAGAATCTGGAGAAATCCTGTCTGGTCAAGAATAGAGTTTCTCCAAAGAGAGTGAGTATGACACTAAATAACATATTTCCCTACATCCTTTCATAACGATGAAAATAACTAAGTGGACTTGTTTGCACCTGTGCTTTGAGCCTCCCTCATTGCTGGGCAGAATCCCTTTCACTCAGAGAACATCCCGTTTGATTGAGACGCACAATCAGAAAGCACGACTTAAGCCTGTTAAAGCCTTATCAAGCACGACATCTTGATTCTTAGCCATAGAATCCCAGAGTGATCTTCTTTGCCATTTGCTCCTCCGCTCTAATTCTGTGCAGAGTTTTGACTTTTATGACCTTACACCACTTTACCGTACCTTATTAGGTCACCTCATGAGGAAAGGCTCTACCTGGCTAAAAGACAAAAAAAAACTGCTGGTAATAAATTGTTTAACCTAAGCAATTTGTTTGTTAAGGCCTCTGCTAAAAGAGATGGTTAACAGTGACGTTGCATGCTTCAGAGGAGACAGAAAAGTCCTGTTGGAAACCACAACGAAAGCAGCACACCTTTGTGTTCTTTTTATAAAATTACCATCTTGTCCGTGTGAAAACAAATACACATTTGTATTTGCAGTCTTGCATCCGGAGCGGCCTGAAATAACTCTGCATATGGGTTCCAGTTCAGCCAGAGATGATGAGTTATGTTAAACATTGGTAAAGTGTTTCAGCACTTGCATAACAAAGGGGAGGTAGAGTAGCCCAGGAGGCCAGAAATCAGGTTTATTCTTGTTTACATCATCCTGGAAAGATGAATCTGACTCTTTCTTGGAGTTTCATTGCTTACAAGTTTTGTCAAAATACCGTTTTGTAATCGCCACTCTGTGTGAATCTGTTTCAGACTGAATTCTTGTTCCTGTGTCCTTTTTTTCTGTTGACTCAGCTCTCTTTGTCTCTCACACAATTTTCTTTTTGTTTCATCTTGGCTCTCTCCTTGTTGGGGATTTGGTTGATAGACCGCCGTTTTGGCGGACAGTTTTTGACCCCGCTGACATTCAACAGTAGGGCCGACTGTTACTGACAGCGAGCCGCGAGTGTTTAGCTCAACGTGGGTGGGACGGAAAGAAAGAGTGTGACAGGAAGATCAGTTAATAGCTCAGTGGACGAACGGTGGAGTGGAAGGGCACAGAAAAACGGCAGTTTGTTGACAGCCATACTGAGAGGTACTTGCTATGACTGAAACTCCCTGTCACACTGCATGTTTTTGCTCACTTCCTTTTTCAGATGTCTGAGCTTCCTCCAAAAAACAGCCAAAGATAGACTCAGAGAAGTGGTGCGGTGTCCACTTATAAATCCTTAAACGCTTGTCTTACAGGACCATCTGTTTGTCAAGGCTTCACCCAGTTCGAAGCCTTGAGAGAAATCTGTGCTGTGCTTTAAAAAGTGCTTTAAAAAATTTGATTGCTGGATTTGTCCTTATGAACGCATGTCATTTTGTGTATCACTAATTTTAGGTCAGGGATGAGCCCACAGCTATTTTCTTACCACCAGTTGATCTCACGTTGATACCTTTCAGATAGTTTGACGTCGTACCCCCCCCTTCAAACACACACACACTTTGAATCCATTATGTCCCAGTCGGGGGTGACCTGCTTGTGCCTCATATTCTTCCTCTAAAATTTCTCTTCCTCTATCTTTTTTCTCCCATAAATTGTAAATGCAAACTACTTTGACTTAAGAATCCTGTACATTGCCTTTTTTCTTCTGATATGTAATGTTCTGTCTCAGATATTTTTCCAAAACGCAATTTACATTTTTATCCATTACCTTTTTGTATTTTGTGCAGGATTTGACCTTAAAACAGTGCATCATTATTTACACTGTTACTGATGAAAGGTCAACTTTTACTGCCCCCTCTTCTTCTGCTGCTGCTCTGGTGCCCACGGCTCCCTGTGTGCCTCTGCTGTCCTGCAGTGTTAGCCCTGGTTAATCAGGGTCAGGGAGGGAGGATTAGATTCCTGTGCCTTAGCATGCTTCTGCCAGCCTCTCATCAGCGCAGCTATTATCTGAACCTGGTCACAGAGGGCACAGTTTAGAGGGAAGCGGCTCTGTGCACTGTCTCTGCACCTCTGAGTGTATTTACACTTCATCTCGCCATTGCAGCTTAGCTGTTTGTTTGTTTTTTGTAAAACTGGTGCTTCCTGTTGCATGTGAACTACCTGTTTACACCACGCTGACCACTGAGTAAACAACTTCCACAGGGTCTCATTCTCTTTTTTTATTTCACCAGAATTTTTTTTTTTTTGCTTTTACACCCAAAAACTCTTTACAGTGTTAAGTTATTGAAGCATTCAGTCAGTAAGCGCTGCACAGGGAGTATTTCTGTTGGGTTAAGCCTCACACTGTCAGTTGAAATTACAGTGGCAGCATTTAAACACCTTACGCAAACGGGACCAAACACTCCAGATCCTCCGGCTTGTGTTAAGATGACTGTGTGAGCACATGCTAGGGTGGTACTGTGCTTTACACTTGGAAAATACCTAATGATTCAGGGTTGTACTCTTTGGATCAATTTCCCAACTTTCCTCTCAGATTACAGTTTTAAAAAGATATTATTCTTCTATTGATTCATAGATTTTTAACAACTGTTTTAGTGTTTATCATTTTTAAAAAGATATGCAGGATGAATGACGAGAAATTACTTTTAAAGCACTCCTGGGTTTGGCCGTTTAGATGTCATCTCAAGACAATTCAAAGATGAAATAACTATTTATAACATAAATTTAACAAATCAGGTGAATTACAATCCAGAATTACAATTTACAAAATTAAGAAAACCTGCAGACTTTATCAACACTTGGTTCAGTCTCCCTGAAATGAGCATGCACAAGGTGGTGATTAAAAGGGGGGAAAAAATGCCATTTAACAGAATAAATCTTTGGCAGAGCCAGACTTTGGGAGAGTGACGTGTTCCTCCAGCAGATGGGGTCAACATGCACCGTGACACCAGGCCAGGGAATTCTGCAGAGAAATATGAATAAGCGTTCATGACAATTATGTTCTGTGTGGGAGAGGCGAGCGATCCTTTGGGATGTTTCAAGGTCTTACCTAACAGCTTGTTCCACAAGAACAAAACGCTCTTTTTTTCTTTAAGCTTAGACTAAAAAAGGAATTTTGCATCCTTTTCTCCATCTGTGCCAGATTTATGTGATTTCTATGCATGCCTACTGGCAATGCCAACATGCCTTGGATACAGCTAACCACGGAGCACTGAGGTTCCTTACAAACCTTTAAAGGCTGATGAATGTTGTATTTTTTTGGTTGAATGGAGTGACTCGTTTTTCTGTAGATCATGACACTGACACATTTATAAAGTTGTGTTTGGCTCTCTTCCGTCCTGCCAGCAGAACTATATCCGCAAAAAAGTAGAGGAAGTAATTGTTTCCTCTCTGAACCGTACGAACCTTAAATATCCTTCTGTCGATTTTCAGCATTGTACTGAAAATTTTGCCTGTAAGTGGTTTGCTTGATCATTGCTGCTTCTATTTTATCTTAGTAGGGTTGAGGGGGGGGGTGAAGCTTATCCCAGTTGACACTGGGAGAGAGGCAGGGTACAACCTGGACAGCTCCCAAATCATTGTAATCAAAGCTGATTAATAACCTAATCTCAACACATCTTTCTGTTTGAACATTTTCAGGGGAAGGTGTGTTTTGATGATGACCAGTTGGAGCAGGTGTGCGAGTACCCGTCTGAGACCTGCATGCTGACATTAAGCCCCATGTCTCCTGAGATGGGGATACTGGAGGGGCTGCAGGGGGAGGAGGCAAAGGAAGAGGAAGGTGAAGTGGAAGAAGTAACAGTCATGGTCAAAAGCACAAGGAGTATGGGAATTTCAACAAGTCCACGTTTAAGAGTGGGTCAGTGTCACCCCCTTCTCAGAAAACATAAAGTATAAGTACTTATTTGCTTGATATTTGTCTGATAAGAGTTTCATTTTTAGTCAGGGTCTGTTTAAGACAAATGTGTTTTTTTACATAACACATTTGGTTTCACTTAAACACAACATGTATTCAATACAAAAGAATCATGAGAGGGGAAGCTATATATAAGCTATATGTAATAGAAAATTCTGTCAGATATGCAGTAACTATTAGTGGAGTGCCTCTATGTAGTTTATTGTGTGTTTAAGTGTTTATTTTCTCTTCCTTTAACAATATCAGCATTGTGGCTGTAATATTAAAGCCAGATGTTTCATTTTGAGTTTACATTTTTTATGTTGAAAGTATTGGTCTAAAAAAAATGGGATCGTGATATTTTGTCCTTGTAGAAGCAGCAGTGGGCAAGCTCACTAAAATGATTAAATGAAGATTAGAAAGAATGAATTACCAGAAAATTTTAAACTTGTAAAAGTGGGAGAGTTGAGACGAGGTATGGGTGCATTTGTGGTCATCATGAATCCATGTTTGTAACTGTTGGTGAATGGGAACATCCCTAAAATCAAGCATGAGTCCTATTTTCACCATATTTGCCTTCCATCTCCATCTCTCTGTTTTCCAGATGAGTCTTGCCCTCGATAGAAGCCAGTCAACTTCGCCAAAATTGCCCATGTGACGAGATCATCAACATATTTTTTGAGAAATATTCCGATTTTTATGCTGTTTTGGCCCATTTCTGTTTTTTGTCCTTGTAGCATTTTGATTAATCTAGCATCAGGAGTTTGCTTAGGTGTATGCAATTGTTTAAAGGGACATGAGAATATTATTGTGTTCACTGTGGGGAAAATGCTACCCAGTTTATTTTCAGGGATCTGAAGGACCGATGTGAATGTATAAGTATGGTACGTATGATTAAAAAAAATACTCACCAGTTTGCATTGGCTATCACTCTTCTATGCAAAGAAAAATTAAAACAATCTACTTTTTAAATAATACATTTTATAGTTTTTCTATGTTAATATCTTTCTAAATTTAAGTCAGTAATGCCTCAGCACAGAATAAAGTGATATTTTTTTGTCATCTGGTTTCATGTGCCTGCTAAATTTTCCCATACAGATGACAGTTGGAGATCAGTTAACCAATGTCTAGTCAGAAGCCTTTCAGATCCTGGTATTCTCAGTGGGTTATTTTTTCATACAACAGGTTTCGGTGCAATGTTTGATATGCAGGTTGAATGGAGCTGTAGCGTCTGCATGCATAATTCTGTTAACTGTTCAAGTTATGGGCATTCATTTTAATAAAGGCTATATTTTGTACTTTTTTTTGTCTTTTGTGGAAGTGGTGACTGAATGGAAACCCTGGGAGGAAGGACTTTGATAACAATCAATTTAACTCACTTCAGCAGACCACAGATATCAGATTTCTAGCTATACTTATAATGTTATATATATGTAAGATATTTGCAGTTTTTAAATTAATATAATGGGTAATAGACTGTGCAAATTGTGTTGATATATTTTTTTCTATGACATTTGAAGGAGCTGGCTTCAGAAAAAAAACCAATAATAAATATTTCTGAAAACACTTAAATCTCTTTTCTTTTTTCTGAACAAAAAGTAACATACTCAGCCATATCTGTCATACATGCCTATGATTAATTATTTCTTTCAATTCAAATAATGGAATTACAGCAATCGTGCTGTACAACATGATTTAATTTCTTCGAAAAGATATATTTAAATGTATCCCCTAGAAAATTTCAAACCAGTCAGTCATACTCTAAATAAACTACTTCATATATATGTTATTTCTTCGGTCGTGGGGTGAAACAGCGGCCCCGTGTGGACAGGGTAGGTAGTGCACTGTGGACGCTCAGCTCCGTACGTCGCTGTTTACGGAATCCCACTACGTCAGCACGTGCTCAGCAGTCCTCGAGCTCCTGTCCAGTACGTGAGTCTTTGCATGCTCGCTGCTCGAAGGAACAAAACCCGGAGGCGGGTTACTTGTAGATTTTTTTTTAAACCTTTTCCCCCCTCGAAACACTTCTTATTTCCAGCTGCTGTGCGTCGAGCTATGAGGACCGCAGTGCACGTCCACCGTGGAGAAGTAGGAGGAGGTCAGGGGTTCGGAGTGTCGATCTGACGCTGTGCAGACCGCAAAACTTCTCTGGACATAAAGGCGAAGCTGCCTTTTGTACCACATGCGACACCTGGTTGCGTTTCTGATTTGAGAAACATGATTTTCAGGAATATTCAGTCGACTGCCTGCAGAGCATGGCTGTCCCGGGTAAGTCCTCCTTTGTTTGGGGGGGAGGTTGACACGCCGGAGAGCCGTGTCGTTGACCTGTTGGCCTCTGTGCGGATATTGTTTCCTCTCTCGTATCTTGTACACTTAAAGTGATACGCCCAGATATCCACGCCACGCTCCGTAATGTTTAGTTCGATTTCTTCACGTCTACAAAGTACTTCCCTGCACCCAGCACAGCAAAGCCGTCCTTCTCTCTCCATTTTGTGGCAGGTTTCTTTGAGGCAGGAGACGTGTTTCTACTCCTCCGTGCCCCCCCAGCCGGTGCCCCCTCTGGCCCAGACCCTCCAGGGCTACCTGCGGGCCCTGGAGCCCCTGCTGCCCCCGGAGGAGCTGAGCCACACCCGGAGGATGGCGCAGGAGTTCGGCCGGCCGGGCGGCCTGGGCCAGCAGCTGCAGGAGGGGCTGGAGAGGAGGGCCAGAATCAGCAGAAACTGGGTGTGTGTCACTGGGTGTGTGAGCCTGGCAGATGTTAGAGGTGGATATGACTCTCAGAGATCTGTAAAAAAAAAAAACAACTGACAAACCTCATTCTCACACCCATGAAGCAAAAAGCTGGAGATAAATCGAGTAACCAGGCTATTTTTTTGGCTTTTACAAACTTGGATACATTAATATAACTTTATATTTATGTGAGAAGAAAAATAGCTTTATGTAGCGTTGATATTTAATTATTTTAAATGGCTATATGATCTTAAATTTGAATTCTAGGTTTTTACAACACTGGGTCCAGCAACACGTTTCATATACACTCCGTTAAAGCAGGAACTGTTTTGGTTCATTGAAGATTTTTTTATTTAATTTGACATATTAGGTATAAACACAGAAACTGTGTGCAGTGTTTGTGAATTGAATAAATATTAAGTAGCTATTAAATTTTATATTGAATGAGTGGAATACAAATATTTGCTTTTTTGTTGAACTTCCCTCAGAAAAATACAATTTCATGACTTCTATTTGTAAACGTTAAATGTGCCAGATTTTTAAAGATAAAATGTAACACTGGGTTGGTAGGAAGCAGCATTTGATCCTCATCTTTTCTCATAATATAGGTTCAGATCTGTATTTGGGTCTAAATTGATTGTAAACTAAAACATTTTTGGTCCTTAGCTTAAACATGAGTCAAACATTCCTTCATGTCACAACACAGAAAGAAAGAAGTCAAATATGTGAGGCAAGTAGATAAAGTTTTGAGGGGTGGAAAACGTAAGCATCAAGCAAACTCTGCGGGCTGAAATCACATCAGCACGCGGGAAGTAAATCTCTGAAACTTAGCGACTTGTGAGTTATCACTTAGATTGTGACGCTGGGAGCTGATTGGCACGTTTTTCCCGGCAGATTACGGACTGGTGGGTGCAGTGGGCGTACCTGGCGAGCAGACAGCCTCTCCCGGTGCACTCCAACCCGGCCATCTCTCTGCCCAGGAGAGATTTTAACGACTGGAGGAGCCAGCTGGTGTGAGTGCCCACGTTGCCAACACCTTTAATAAACACTCACGCGGACAGTCGTCACATCATTGGTGGTTATATGAGTACTATATTAACTGGGAGGTGGTACAGTTTGACAAGTAGCCTGTGTTTGAGTCGTAACTTGACTCTTTGCTGATAACACCACTGTCTGTGTTGCATTAGCCCCTGGTGGTCAATATGTGTTTGTTTGTTTTGGTAAGGAAAAGCACCAGATAGTGAGGGCCTGACGTGTCAGAGAACCTGACTCCATGCTTCCTCTCTGATCATGTATTCATTGAGGCAGCTTGCTCTCTTATGGCTGCAGCTGTTACCGGAGGACCTCACTAGGGGGCACACCACATCACCAACCCGGTTCCTTCAACGTTTTCTTCCGTTTCTAAACTCCTCCTGACTCTCAATCCTACTATAAGCTTATTTGTCTCTGTGCAGGGATGAGAATAATGGATTCACCAGTATGGTTGTCTTCAAACTGGCCTTTTGGGGATCTTTATTTTCTTTCTTTTACCCCTGCCAACCTTTGACCTCGCACCTGGCTACATTTGACCCTACACTGCCCCCAGTAGCTGCAGCTTTTATTTTCTGCAGAGTTAAGCTGCATCACTGATGTATTAGTTTATGCCATGTCATTAATTTATAAGAGTAACTAATCCATTATTTTAAACGGTCTGCATTTATGCATTTGTTGAATAAAAGGACAATTCTGCCACATAGTGACAAGAAGTTTGTTTCCTTCCAGGTTTGCATCCAAGCTGATCGCTGCCGTTTTGGACTTCAGGGCCAAACTGCACACGTGAGCATTTTTTTTTCTTCTTCTTTTTAATCAATTAATTATTATGCTGATTGTTTGTTTATTTTTTGTTTGTTTGTTTGTTTGTTTGTTTAAGCAACATTTAGCCAAAGAACAGTAATGATGCTGGAAAACTACTCAAAAATCCAGAGTAAGATTTCTAAATGTCATGGCCGGTACCCCCCATCATGTCTGGTGTTATCCTTCATATCATTTTGAATATTTGAAGGCATAGCTCTTCAACAACTTTTCTCCATATTTGCATCGAAGCTCCATTATCTTTAAACAAAATAAATCAGTTCTTCAAACTACAGAAGTCTGAAAGCCCAAAAGCTGGGCTCCATTGTCATGTTGCTTTGAATTTAGAACCTTTGCAATAGACATTTGGCCAGCAGGTTTTATATCAGTATTTTTGCACACGTGTGCACGGCAGTCATTCCCATTTGTTCATCAGTGGTCCTCCTGCACTGGCTTCTATTTTTGTGTTGTTACACCTCACCCAGCTGGCATGGCCTTGTGTTTCCCTGCTGTATTAAGTTAATCTGCACCTAAAGCTACGTGCCAGCTGTAACAGTATCTGCGGCCCTTTGCAGGAGCTGATGAGGAAAGATGGCAGAAGATCTGATGTAAATAAGTGCGTTGGTACTCAGATTTGGGCTCATTGGGGTTCTGTTAGCTTTATTTGAGCAAAGAATATCTTCAAAAACTTTTTCTTTTAAATTTCAGAAACAAAATTAAGGATATTTATGCAAAGTTTGACCGTGCAGATCTGCATTAGTGAGGGCCGGTTTCCTTCAATTTGATTAAAACGCAACACTTGTCTGCCTCTCCCTGTCTCTGTCAGCGGGCAGCTGCCGGGCGAGCACATGCGAGGGAAGCCCCTGTGTATGGAGCTGTACCCGCTCCTCTTCTCCTCCTGCCGGATCCCCGGGCCCAAGCACGACTACGTCGCCCATTACGGCAACTCCCGGCACCCACCCACTCACATCACAGTGGTCAGGAACTACCAGGTGGGTCCCGCTGACCCCTGCATGCCGACTTTTCTTCAGTTTGCTGAGCTTGAGTTAATATGCTTCATTCCTTTCAGATCAGTGGATTACAAGATATAATTTAAGTCTGACTTGGAAACACCTGCATTCCCTCTGTATAAACAGGCTCTGATTGGTAGAATATATTGACAACCCACAAAAATGAATACTTTAGAAATCTCAAAGGCAGAGGGGAAAGTAGACCCTGTTGTAATACGCTTACATCTGTAAACTCCACTCTTAGCCAGAGCGCTCTTAAAGAATCAGAAACCGTTTCTATTAATAATTCCTGAAGGGCACACAGGACATCATTGAACTTGAGGACTGCTGCTCGGTTTCAGGATCAGCTGCTGCTGCATGTGTAATGAACTCTGACCATGTCGGTTTTATTTGCCTAAAAGTGCCTGGAATTCTTTTGATGTTAAGAAAGAGGGGTCACAAACTGGTTCAGGGTCAAACCGGATTCCAAACATCTCAATGAAAGCTTTAAAAATACTTCTCCAGGAGGTGGAGGGCGGCAGGCCCTGCCAGGGCGTTAATGCTCCTGGCTGTCCTCTACATACAGCGCTCTGCCAGCCCGGAGAAATCTTTTCCAATCTGGATTTACTCCAGTTTCAGCTGCGTTAAGCCACATTTAGAGGATCTAAATGAAGTCTGTAACTATTCCAAGTGGTCAGATGTATTTTACGGACACATATTTCCTCTGTTGATGTTGGTAATGAGCTCATAAACACATATGCTTAACACAAATTTAACATGAAGTATGTTCACTACTATTGATTTCAGTCCCTCCCTTTGTCCATTAGTTAACACATATTTTTACGAAATAGGTGGTTCTAGAAACATTTACACTCTTTTTTTATTAGAATTTTTATGTTCCAGACAAGAGAAAAGCATTAATTTCTTACTTTACGATTAGTTGAAATGGATCCAGTTTTACATGTAGCAGCTGATGACGTGTTCTTTAAATATAATTAAATGTACAATTTTGTTCTGTTGACTTTTCCCTGCACGGCAGGTCAAGAGCCTGAAAGTCATCTAATGGCCTTTTGCAGAGCGCCTCGCAGTTGCTAAAAGTCTTACAGTCCTCGGCTTGGCCTGAACGTTTCTGGTTAAATGCATCGCAAATCAGAGCTCAAACACGTTTTCATATGTGAGACGATTTCCCCCCTGTCTCCAGTTCTTCCAGCTGGAGGTCTACAACAGCGACGGCTCGCGTATGACCGAGAGTCAGATCCACGGACAGCTGCTGAGGATCCGCTCTCAGTCCTGGAAGACCGACAAGGAGCCGATGGGCATCCTGACCAGCGAGCACCGGCACACCTGGGGAGAGGCCTACAATCGCCTGCTCAGAGGTCCGTCAGATTGGCCTGTGTGATAGTTTAATACTGTGATTTTCAGCAGGTTACCACCCGGTTTTTACTGTCTTTATGTCTCTTCCTGTCAGACAAACTAAACCAGGAGTCAGTGCGGATGATCGAAACAGGACTTTTCTCTTTATGCCTGGATTCTCCTGTCATGAGAATATCTGATGAAAAGTATGCACACACACACACACACACACTCTTGACTGTTTCTTTGTTTGCTGAATATTTGATGTAATCCCCTGTGCAGATATCATTGTGTGGCATGTTGGCATTTGGCAGCAGTGAACCTCTGAGATTGTGAAATGTCTGAGATCTTGAAGAGTCATGTTTTGAACCTCCTGATATGCGTCTTGTTCTCGTTCAGCTTGACGTTTGTATGTTTTTGTTTCTCTGACAGGTACGCCAGCCGTAAGGCGGCGCAGGTGCTGCACGGCGGCGGGACGTTCTCCAACAGCGGGAACCGCTGGTTTGACAAGACGCTGCAGGTAGGCGTGGCCACGCCCGGCATCGGGGGATTAGGTATGCGGAGGGAAGCGTTCGGGGTGGGCTGACTGGTGCCTGTGTTTGTGGGACAGTTTGTGGTGGGCGAGGACGGCTCGTGGGGTCTCCTGTATGAGCAGGCCACAGCTGAGGGCCCGCCAGTCGCTAACCTGCTGCATCACATCCTGGAGTACTGGTGAGATGGCGGACCATAAAGGGGCCGATTGTATTTCTGCCAGGCCCCCGTACTAGTGGGAATTGCGTTTCCGCTCATGCTCAGTTTGTTTTCCTCTCTGCAGTGAAAAACCAGACCCCAAAAGAGCCCCTCTGGTCCCGCTGCCGATGCCCAAGAAGCTCTACTTTCACATCGACAGAGAGATCAAGTGGGACATTGAGCAAGCCAAGCAGAACCTGGACATGTAAGCTTTCAGTTTAGCCTCCCAGAGCATGCCTCGCCTCGCCAGGGGCGGAGCATTCCCCTCTGACCCCTCTGCTCAGCTTCAGTTGGATGGCGGCTCTGAGTTTGAACAAAACTGGAAATAACTCGCCCTGTGTACAAACACATAATTTTCTCTGTGCTTATGTGTCCTTGGAAAAACAAAGCACAATCAGCTAAGAGAAGAGCATTTTTCTAGTCAGGTTTTTTTGTGAACACAATCTAAACAAAATCTTTATTTGGAGCTGTATAATTTCAGAGGACTCGTAAATCATTCATGTTTAAGTGTGGGCTCCTTTTAGCTGAGGTGGGGACTAATTGTTGTTTTTGTTTGCCTCCCAGAAGCTGAAGCTCTGAGCAGGAAGGTCTTTATGTATTAAAGTGTGGGTCAAGTGGTGCCGGTGCATCGTCTTAACACAACCCCCCACCCCCACAGTATACTGACCATTGGGAACGTCCCCCAACCTGCTGATGTGCACAGCAGGATTAATTTTGTGAGAAAAATTTTTAAAACTTGCATGTTTTTGCCTGTAAGAACAAACAATAGGTGCACAGCTCCTCTAACGTATTCATAACGTAATCAAGCTGTCCATCACAAAACACATAAGTTTGTTTGAAATACATCTCAGGTATTTTTTCAAGTAATGCAGGTCAGAATTCTATGATGTTGCCAGACAAACTGCGGCTTCACAAATGTGTCAGACATAAACTAAACATTTTACATTTTCCTTCTTCTTGCAGATTGATCAATGACCTCGACGTCAATGTGTTCAACTTCAAGCAGTTTGGCAAAGAGCTTCCCAAAAAGCACAACATGAGTCCAAACTCCTTCATCCAGGTCGCCCTCCAGCTCGCCTACTACAGGTGAGAGCCAGGACCGCCCTGCAAGCCCCAGCATGTGTTCAGACGGAAGTCTCCCAGCTAGTGATTGCTTCAGAGAAGAGAGAGGAGGAGTCACAAGCTATAGCATTTACCAAATTAAATTTAGCTATTGATTGTTTTGTTTTTTTGTATAACAAAAAACAAGTTGTAAGATCCTGAAACTCCAATGTTAGGGATTTCCTTAATTTCCTAAACTGACAAAGCACAGGTCTTCATAGTCCTGTGAATAAATAGTGCCCTTCTGCTTGAAGAATCCACAGCATGCGACTTGTGGTGAAAAGCAGACAATTAAAATGATTCAGTCTCATTACACAACTCATCTTCCCAGATGAGTTGTGTAATCTCTTCAGAGACCTCAAAACTATGAGACATGCCCAGAAAGGTCTTTCTTGAAGAAAAGCTCCTGCGGCATTAACCTCGACCCCTTATGTTATTTTGTCTTGCCAAGGCCCAAAGCTCGAGATGATTAGCCAGGGTTTGAAAGTTTTGTAGATTTTATTATCTAGGTTATTGCCCTCAGTTGTCGCCCACATCAGTCTCATGTCCACCAGAAAAACTCTGTGGCTTTCCCTTTCTCCTCCAGGGTTCACCAGGAGGTCTGCCCCTCCTGTGACATCGCTTCTCAGAGGATGTTTCGTGGAGGAAGGACCGAGTATATCCGCTCGCCCACAAATCAGACGCTTAAGTTCATCCTGGCCTTTGACCAGCCGTCCGTGTCGGTGAGAAGCTGGAACCTGCCATCAGCCAGCACCTGCTGCTTTGGACCGCTCTTGGTGTTTTGCCTGTTGACATCAGTGTGGGTTGTTTCTTGTGCCTGCAGAATGAAGCAAAACTGGAGCTCCTGAGAGAGGCTGTGGATGCCTATTCAACTCTAACAGAAAAGGTAAATAAGCTGTAACACACCACGTCTCGCTGCTGTTTAGATCTGATAAACAAGTTTTTTTTTTTCTTTCCTCTGCTGCTGCTCAGGCACTTAAAGGACACGGTGTTGACCGCCACCTGCTGGGGCTTAAGCTGCAGGCCATCCAGGAGGGGCTGAGCATTCCTAAGATCTTCATGGACACGGCGTACGGGCTGGCTACGCACTGGAAGCTGCGGACAGGGCAGGTGTGTGTGTGTGTTTTCATCCAGGAGGCACTCAGGGAGATTGTTGTGGCTTCATTTTTAAAGAGAAACGCTGTCAGGTGTTTCCTCTTCTCTTGGTCATGTGACGATCTCTTAGCCCAGTACATTTACTGTCACTTCGTTCATTTGGGGAGTTTCCAGATTTATTTTACTTCTGACTGACATTTCAAAAAATGTTTGACCGATTCTTACGACCAGCTGTAATCTCCCTGGTTTTACTAGTTACAAAAAGCTTTACAGTATAGCTACAACTCAGTTTGGTGACGCCGACTCTGTCACAGTCAGCGCTTTCTTTTCTCATTTTATTACTCAAACTTTAAACCAGCTCCTGTATGAAATCACTTTGTGGGAGCAGTTATGTTATATTAGACTAAATGGGACGAGATGTCCGCCAATACTAGCATTTAAAAGAATTCGACTATCTCCAGTGGCAGTGAGGTGATGCCAGACTGAAGGGAGCAACTTGAAGATTGTTTTCTTTAAACACTAAGTTCCAGTTGATGGTTATGCAGAAACCTTTGGATTTATTACACTTTGTTCACAATGCTCTGACAGCAGAGTATTCAGAATGTGTCTCTGTTGATTCCTTCATATTGCCTCCCTCTGTCCCTTCAGGTGCCCGCGAACACCGACAGCGTGATGTGTTTCGGGCCTCTCGTTCCCGACGGTTACGCCGTGTGTTACAACCCTCAGGCCGACCACGTCCACTTTTCTGTCACCGCCTTCAACTGCTGCGAGGACACCAACGCAGAGACGTTAGCTCGCACTCTGAAGGACACCTTGTGTGATCTACAGGCGCTGCTGCAGCCCACTGTGTAGATCAGCTGCCACGTTCTTCATCCTGAGGAAAAAAACTGTTTCTGAGAAGGTTTTGTACCAGAATAGTTGATAAAACTGAACGTCGTGGCTCTGTGGTGCTTTTGATACTTTTTTAAAAAGCTTTTCATTCGGCAATGATCCTTTCTCTTTCTGCATGATCGGATCGATTAATGGCTGCTTAAGTGAATCTACGTAGAAGAGTCTGAATTTACAGTGAAACTAAAATGAAAGTTAAAGCCAAGCTGCCACTCAAGCTTTAATCACTGCAAGCCAAATGGGAAACTGACTCCACTCTTTTTCCACCTGAAGACATCACCGGCAGCCTGGTGCCTTTCCACTGACAGCAACGCTTCATAATTTACTCAGCCAACGGAGTTCAATGACACATTTTGGATCATTTTGATTGTGTTGATTAGCACAAGTGTTTGAAGTGGCCCAAAGGACAGGGAGCAGGTTGTTAACGGTGATAGTGTTGAGAAACAACAGGGGGTGTTGTCTCTGAGCTCAGACCACTCCATCGTCATGATGCATCCTACATTCATACGGGTTTGGTCCCACCTGGTAATTTTTCTGTCAACCTGCAGAACTCATCAATAAAGCCTGTAATCACATAATAGACGGTGCAAGGTGGGGACAGGGGCGGGGCTGTTTTCTGCAAACCTGTGATTGTCTGTGTTTGGTACTTTTACAGATGTTAGATTGAAAGTCGTTCTGTTGCTGATTTACAACAACAACATATTTGTGTTGTCATCTTTTTGCATCATCTAAACTCTATTAAAAGTCACAAGTATGGGAAACTGGCCTTCCTCACACTACAACTGAAAACAGTTGATGTTCATGTTTACATTTATTCACCATTTTTTCCACCATTTAAAGTGCACTGATTGTGTCAGACCGTTTTTGCTGATGTCCAACCAGATTAGTGTTTATTTCCAATGTGAATCTCATTTCCTGAAGTTAAGCAGATCTGATCTAGCTATTGTTTTATTTACTACTCATAGTAAAAGTCAACTTTAGTGAGTACAGATTAAAGACAAACGCCAAATCTCATTTGTAATAGAAATAATGTGTATATACAGTATATTGATTCTGAACGATGTATCGCGACCTTTTCACTTCAAAACTGCGTCAAAGAGGAGTCTGCCACTGCTCTGCACTCATTGGTCAAATCGGACACCGACATAGGGCAAAAGTAGTTATCCCCGCCAGGAATTGTGTTAAACAACCATCAAATTCATTTATGAGTCTGGCAACAAGGAAATCGTCTACAAAACATTTGCATTAGGTTTGCAAGCGCTGAACTGAGTGAATGCGCCCTCCCGCGGAAGCGGACACGATGCCCGGCAGGCAGAATTACTTTGGCACAACACCGGAAATGACGTCCACACTGGCCGTTGCACCTTTAATTTAAAACCGGAACAAACGAAAGCAAAAAAAGTGGAGCAGCTGCAAGGTGTTTTCTTAGAATAGTTACAGAACTGAGCGTTGCGTTTATCAGACAGCGTTATTGAACGGAAGCTGCTCATCTGGAACGCAGCTGGAAGCAGAAATGAGGCTGAGCGCGAAAGATAGAAATTAACCAAACAACAGTACATATATTTTTATTTTTGTTTTTAACGAATGTTTTCTTTGTATTTCGTCGGACGGTTTTTATTCGGGGTTTGTTTACTCTAAGTTCCAATGAGCGGCTCGTGTTCCGTCGGTAGCCGGAGGAGAGGCGGCGGGGCCGGGGGGCTGCTGCTGCCGCTGCTCGGCGCCTGTCTGTGGGCTGCCGCGCTCGGATACAAGCCGGTGATCATCGTGCACGGCTTGTTCGACAGCTCAGGGAATTTTGTAAACTTGCAACGATTCATCAATGAGGTGAGTTTCCGCACAGAAAAAGGTAACCGGTTTGGTTTGAGTTGGTCTCTGTGGGGATGGATGCTGTTCATGCATTGGACTGTTTGTCCCGCAGGCCCTCCAGCTGATATCTCCACATGTTATCAACAAAACATGGAACAGGCGCTGTGCTCCTTTAGTCAGCTGTTTTCGCTATGAGAAGAATCTGTATATAACCTTGTAATGCCACGTGAACAGTTTTTATTTCAGTATTTTTCCTCCATAATGTCGTTAACACGTGTTAGTATTACTTTGAAGAACATTTTGTACTTTTTGCCTATAGTTTGTACTGGAAAGCTGATCATTTATCAAAAGGTCATCTGGATGTTAAATTATATATATTTTTTCTTTTCTTTTTTTTCATTAGTTTTTTCAGAATGAATATGTCAGTTTTAGTGATCATGGCGTTCACATTGATAAAAAAAAAGTGCCCTGTCTCGTTTGTCCTGTCAAGCCTCCCAAGCCCTCACAGGATTTTAGAAATACTCCCTGCAAGCTTAATATGAGACATCGCCACAAAAAAAAGGTTTCTAAAGGGTCTCCAGAGAGGTTGGTGCGGTGTAGGTTCCTCTTCGGCTTTTTTACTAGAAAGCTGAAGAATGAAACTAGAAAAAGACATCACTCTTTAAAAGCAAAGTACAAATCCAGGGTTCACTTTGTCAGCCTCAGTTAGGCTGAGCTGCGGCCAGGATGATAAACAATCAATCTTTACAGCCCATTCAGATCAATTAGAGATCATCATTAAAAATGCAAGAATCCAAGCTCGGTCCACCAGAGTGTGTTGATTTCTTTTTCATAGCAGTGTTTCCTTGTGTCTTCTGCAGTCGCATCCAGGAACAAATGTGACCATCATCGACCTGTTTGACAGAAGCGCCAGCCTGCAGCCCATGTGGAAACAGGTGGAGGGCTTCAAGGCAGCTATTTACCCGATAATGCAAAACGCAGCGGACGGGGTGCACTTTATCTGCTACTCTCAAGGTCAGTGAGTGCATTCCTACAAGTGAGATAATTCAAACATACATGTGGTATTTTCCCAAGATTCTAAAGTAGCCTTGGGATGTCCTAAGTTGTGTACTATTCTTACATAAACTGAAAGTAATGCTAACGCTGTTTGCTGTGGAGGTAAATGTCTCTCAGCTGCTGTTTTATTTTTGTTGTTGCTCAATTTGTTTTTATGATGTTCAAAATTTCCGCTTTAGTCAGTCCTTGGAAACTCCCAACGATCTGCTTTTTTCCTATTAAAAATAGATGTGTAAACAGATTAAATTTAGTTCAGGTTTTGATAGCTCGTTCTGTGAACGTTCTGTAAAGTGAACTTTAGATTTCTGGTAAATGTCTTATCTTGTGTTGTGTTTTTTCAGAGGGTGAAGTTCAGCTGGATATAATCTGAGGTGCACTTTTAGGGACATGTGTGAAGTTGGAAAATCAATTTTATGACCGTGTTTTTCAATGAATCTTGATGTAAAAAGATATGTTATTACACACACTTTAAATGTTCTGCCTCCATGGTTTTATAAGATGCTTTTATAAAGGTTTGTTAGACTACGCAAAATCAACTTTTATTTACAGCTAAAATGATGGACTGAAGTATAAGTATAATAATCAGTAATTAACCCAATCACAAGCGTATTTAAGTAAGAATGCCAGCATTTTGTTATAATATGAAAACATGGATTTGCTTGTTGGGTTGCAGGCGGGCTGGTCTGCAGAGGGATCCTCTCCACCCTGTCTGAACACAAAGTCCACTCCTTCATCTCTCTGTCCTCGCCTCAGGCCGGGCAGTATGGAGGTCAGTCACATGTTCTCAATCTGGATGCATTTTTATAGTGAAAATAAATCAAATGAGACTGAAAAGGTGTGGCTGCATTGGTCTTTTTATGACTTTAAGCGAAAGATACACAGTCTGCAAATTCTTTTATTCTTCAAGTATCATGTTTTCTTCTATGTGGTGTGAACTGAATTCTGATTTACTTAAAAACTTTAACCAATTGCATGATGCTGGCACAGGCAGAACGTTTTTTAATACACCAAACAGCTCATGAACACGACAAAAAAAAAGCTACGAAGCCACATTTCCGCTCAGGAGTGTAAGACATATAGTTTCCCCTTTTTCTGTTTTTTCTTGAAAGTTTTTTCTGTCTCTGGTCTCTTCTCAGACACAGACTACTTGAAGTACCTCTTCCCTCAGTTTGTCAAGTCGAACCTCTTCCACCTTTGTTACACGGCATTCGGTCAGAGGATATCCATCTGCAACTACTGGAATGGTGAGACTCCACAAACACGTCCAGGGACAAATAAGGGTTTGATTCAAAGACCTCTTAAGCCTCAGCTTTGTGACTTGTGTCCAGACCCCCACCACAGAGACCTGTACCTGAACAGCAGTGACTATCTGGCTTTGCTCAACAGCGAGAGGCCGAATCCAAACTCAACAGGTCAGCAAGCTCATTCTGAGGAAACACTCAATGTTAAGATTTAAAAAATCTGATTTTGTGCTTTGTGTCCACCAATGAATGAAAGCAAAGAGTTCCTCAGTGGCAGAATATTTCAGAAACATTCTCACATGTCAGTTATTGTTAAAGAAAATTGCTCCAAACTTTTACCTGCAGAGTGGAAGATGAACTTCCTGAAGATCCAGAAGCTGGTGCTGATCGGAGGGCCAGACGACGGGGTCATCACTCCATGGCAGTCCAGGTGAGTTCATCTTTGGTGCATTTCTCACGTGTGAGCCGTCCCTGCTGGGAAAGCAAAAGCCCAGATGTCAAATCATTGATTGTTTACTGACAAGTGTTACAAACTCTGATAAACCAGGAACAATCAATCGTACTGTTCAGAAAGGCTGTTGGCGTTTCAGTCAGCTGAGGGATTCATCTTTGCGTCTCGGATTGATTTGATCCACAGCGTCATCCGTTCTATGCTTTTCTTTATGCCAGGTTTCAGTTTTAATGAGTCAAATAATAGCTCCTTTATGTCTCGTTTTTTTAAGATGTTTTTCTTTGGGGCTGTGGGTGATCTGCTGACTCTCATGCGATGCTCACACGTTTCATCTCTTTGTCTCCTTCCTGCCTCGCAGCCAGTTTGGATTTTACGACGACAACGAGACGGTTGTTGAGATCCAGCACCAAGATGTGAGTAGAAATCGAGCAAAACAGCTCCTGCATTGAGTTTATTATTAATTATTATGTGGCATGGCAATAGAAACAGATTGAAACCCTTTTCAAATCTCAAAAGCCAACATTTTCACAAGAGAATATAGAAAAGATCAAGTCTTGAAAGTACTTAACTAACTTTTTAGATAAGTTTTCAATGGTTCATGTTGGGTTTATTGTTTTTCTCCTGCAGGTGTATTTAAGAGACCTGTTTGGCCTGAAGACGCTGGCGGCTCGTGGGGATCTGATCCTCTGCACCGTTCCCGGCATCCAACACGTCTGGTGGCATTCAAACGAGACCGTGTTCCACCTGTGCATGGAGAAGTGGCTGGTGTAGAACAAAGCAGGCCCAAACGCACACGTTTTAGTAAGCTATTCTCTCCAGTTATGTAGAAATCACCAGCTCGCATTCTCTCAGTCTCCCCACAAACATCTGCGAGCGACATCTGGAGATGGTAGTTTCATTTGCTTTGGGATCCCTGATCTAAGACACTGATCTAAGTAATTGGCTTCCGTAGATGTATTTTCTTCATTTAAACTCATTTTATCCACTAACGTGACATTTAAACGGGTTTGAAATTTTGAAAATCTTTTCTTTTTGCTAAGACTTAGAAGAGAAGTTAATATCTCTCTAACGTCTGATGTTACAGCCAACAAATGACCTGCCTCATAAGCTTCCCAGAACCCTAAGGCTGCACACATTATCTTTAATGTGATCTTGAGTATATTTTATCAAATATTTCATGTCGCATTCAGATTTTGCAGCCTGCTTCAGCTTTCAGTTTCAGTCTATTCATCTCAAGTTTTCCAATAAGTATTTATTTAAAGCTAAAGTTTTGCTGTCAAACAAATCCAAGATGTCAGCATCCGGTTACTGAATTTTTTGGACGAAGCCATCATAAAACAGCTCACATTTGGCTTCAGAAAAAAGAGGTTAAATTTAGCTGTATGCCAAGTCTTTTTTTGTCAAAAGGGATTGTTGCTGCTACTTAAACCATTTAAATCACAGAAGTTCACAGTTTGCCGGATGAGTTTCAGAGCTGGCTGATACAGAAAATGCAGATGTGTTAAGGGTTGAGCTGCCTTTGTGTTACTGCAGTCAGGCTTCAAATGAGTACTCATCTATTCATTCAGAGAACTGTTAAGAACTGATGCAGTGAAATTAGGGTAGCAGATGATGAAATATCCTGATTTATTTATAACTTAAACAACTTCAACTGTATTAGAAGGAGGCCATTTGATTTTTTCCTACTTTAATTTTTTCTAAGTAACAATTAAATTCAAAGCTATATAACAGAATAAGCAGAAAATGAATGCATGAATTACCAACCAGAGACCTCTTGCTGTTATCTTCTAAGTTTGGAGCTGCAATTTTGTTCAGAAACAGGAACTAAACTAAACTACATTTAATTTCCTCATGCCGTCAAGCACAAATAACATAAATACGTATGTGTCTGCAGTTACCTCTCAGATTTTCAGTGGGCTCAGTGGTTTCTATTTCAGAAAGAGAGAAAATGTAAGTAGGGGGAGCAGCTTGCCCCAACATGATCTTCCACTGTCTCCACTGGACAACCCATAGCAGTGAATTTTATGTGAAGCTCCTCTTTCTGCCAGGGATGGCCAATTGAATGTGGCACAAAGGGAAAGGACAGTGGTTTGAACCAATTGATATGATGATAATGTTGTTGTATCTGGTCAACGGTAGCACAAGTCAGTGTCTCAGCTGAGACATATGTCCACACCCTTTTATGGGCTCAGATATGACTGAGTCATTTGTCAGAGTCAATATTTTTCTTGTTTTATATGTCGGAACATCCTGTTTTGTTTGCCTATAAAGAATTAGCTTCTCAGTCCTGTTGCTGTGATAACCATGATACGTCCCAGAGAGGGTTATAAGGTCATCAGACACTTTAAATTCTCTCCATGTACTGCTTTGATTTGTAAAAATGTTACTTTAATTATGCTGACATTAACACATGCAGCATATTTTATTGTGTTTGTCTCTATCAGACATCCAAATCTAAAAAAAAAAAATCCCACAACACAACCGTGCCTGAGCGACATCCTGTCGACTTGTCTCCTTGTGCAGACTCACTGCCCTGCTCATCCTATGATGCAGCCGTTTATACATTTTTATCCTTCCATTTTTAATGATGTGGACGCCCATTTTTTACGTACATAACCGCCGTGTTTGTGAATGGTATCATGCAGTGTTTTGAAGTTGTACTCTTTTGCTTTAGTATATGAAGCCTTAACTTCCCATCATGCCTCAGTGTTTCATGTCCATTACCAAAGTGCTATGACACGCTGCCTTTAGTGACGGTGCTAAAAGATATTGACAGGATAATAGAGAGGGGTGACAACTAGTGCAGAGCAACAAGTCCGGCAGTGCTGTGTGTGTGTGTTTACTACTCCAACAAACTGGACGGGGCACTCTTTACCTCCCATCTCATGTAGATATCTCAGGCTTTTTAGCAACCTTCATGCTCCTTAACAAAGGGATTCATTTTTCTATGTTGGCTTTTTTGCTACCTGATGTCCTTTTTATACATGTTTCTGAAGAGATGAAAAATGGAAATATCTTTTATGTTATAAAATAAGAAATTAACTGTTGACCAAGTCAAGTACAGATTGCACAAAAAAAGAAGGGAACTGTTAAGGAGATTATTTCATTTAGATATTGTATCCTTTGTCTCATGTATGCATGAACAAATGTTGATCAAGAACTTGCATATCTACTTGGTTATTTTTTTCAAGATGTGTCCCTCTCTGTTAGTTTTTATTGTACTGGGAATAATATGTTAATGTGGATAAGGAACGTCTTTTAAACTTCAAAAACTATTTTGACAGTTTATACAATATATGTTAAATATTTCATCAATAAAAAAATATTTGAACGTCAGTCCTTGTCCCTTTCTTTTTATTAAATATTTTGAGTGAAAATTGTGATGCAAGGCATCTACAGTCATCACCATCGATTAAACTGGCAGTTTATCAATCTGTATATCATAAATGAGTGTGTGGCTTTGTAGGAAATATTTAGCTTTGTTTTAATACAATTTTAGTCAAAGATAGATATTAATTGAAAATCTAAAGTTGATTCTCAGAGCTAGTCTTTTCCAAATATGCTATAGTTTGATTGCCAACTCCAGAAATATGAAAGTATATAACTTTGTCTTTTCAGCAATTCAAATAAGAAAAAAATGTAAATTTGTATTTATAATGTATCATGACTATCTTACAATATGACAATTTTACCTAACACTTCACATGTTAATGTAAAGATGTATCATTATTATTATTATTGTTTCTGTAATCATTATTATCTAATATTGATTCTAGCAGGAACACACTAAAAGTGCTTGGTACAAATTTACTTTGCGGCTGTGAATGAATGGCGCCTCTTCTCCGGGTATGAAACAAAAGACAACATTTCCCTTCATCCTCTGCGTGACCGGAAGAGACCTACCAACTCACCGGATATCTGAGCGCTACGCCGCGTTAGGGCCCTTTTCCGTCTCAGAGAAGTGTGGTACAGAACGGCGGACACAAGTGAGTTATAAATTCACATTTTACCTTCTTTATATGCCACCAAAATAAGTAAAACGGGACATTTCAAATCGTTAGGAAGTCAGTTCTTCGAAAAGTTCTGTCAGAATCTGTTTATAGTGCCAAACATTTTCTGAATTATCTCTAAAATGTTTCCGCACGAGCACAACACAGCACTGTTAGCATGTGGCTAACTTGGTAGCACATGTGGATGCGGCATGTTAATGGTCCGTCTCGATGGATGTCATATCCATTGATTAGTTAAATTGACACTAATCTGCCGTAATGCCTTTTTTTACTGTTTGCAATATCCATACGTAAGAAAGATGTGCATTTACGTTATGTTGTAGGTGTTAATTAGCTTAGCCTCCACAGCTTAAGTTGCTGTTAACCAAAAACGGGCTTCGGCTGCGGCCTTGCTCTTCAGAGGTGGTTGTCCTTACGGCAGAACATCCTGGTTTTGCGTTTAAGTCCAGTCAAATCCATAAGTTGGCAGATAATGTGTTTCATACTAGAGCAATGACAACAACCACAAACGCCGGGAAGTGGCGCTGACTTAAAGTGCAGTCTTTTTAATTGTAGAAGAATAGACATGGTGGGGTTTATAATAATTATCTTTTTAAATTGTTTTAAATAAAGTTGACCAGACATGCTGTTGTAGTACATGTGTCCACATTTTGTTAATAATTGACAATGTTATGAAAAAATAGGAAGTCAAGTCTAACAAGAAATGATATGGTCTTAATATGCAACAGGATTTCCCGAGTTCTGTAACAGAAACGCTCTAGCTCACAGGATGGGTACTCTGTAGGGAATTTAAGAGTTCCATTCCTTCAAATTTAATAGTGAAATGACAAGCAACATTAGAAATGTATTTGAGCACATTACAATCTTTGCAGTAAGTGCTTCCTTCTGGCTTCTATCATAACCATGTATCTATCTGCCAGCCTTATAAAGCACATTGATGCTGATCTTTATCGCTGTCAAATTTACCAAATGCACATTGGGCTTAAAAAATTGCCTTTCAAATGGTATTTCAGCCACTGGTCCTTCTGCCTTTTGGCTTGGTACCTGCAGAAGCTCTGTTAAAGGAGCTGTCTGATTTTCATCACTGATTTGTAGGAACAGCGGTCTAACAACTTTCTTTTTCTCTTTAGTGACTGAGTGGGAGACTGCCCCAGCCGTGGCTGAGACCCCAGAGATCAAACTCTTTGGAAAGTGGAGCACAGATGATGTCCAGATCAACGACATCTCCCTGCAGGTAGGCAGCATGACAACACTGCCTTGGGTTTTTGTCGTAAGCGAGGCTAGAGTCACAGTTGGACACTGACCTGTTGTCCTGGTGTGCTAGAGTGCTCGCAGAGGAAAAGATCTCTGCTTATTCGTTGGCTGTTGTCTGCAGTGACCCAGTCAATCACCAGCTCAGATACACCGCCTGCCTGAACGAGGCTGCTGCCGACATGTTGGTAGTGATGTTTAATTAAAGTAGCTCTTCTTAATTTTTAGGATTATATTGCTGTGAAAGAAAAGTATGCCAAGTACCTGCCACACTCTGGAGGACGTTATGCCGCCAAGCGTTTCAGGAAGGCACAGTGCCCCATCGTGGAGCGTCTGACCAACTCCATGATGATGCACGGCCGCAACAACGGCAAGAAGCTGATGACCGTGCGCATCGTCAAGCACGCCTTTGAAATCATCCACCTGCTGACTGGAGAGGTACGTTCATCCCATTTGATGACAGTCTGATTCTATTGAGACCCATTTACAAACAATTGATGGTGAAATAACTAAAAGCAGCTACTCTGATGATTTTGTTCCTCAAATATTTTTTTTAAACATAATTCCAAAGGAGATGTATAGATACAGCTCCCTTTTGAGTTGGGTTTTTTTTTTTTACTTGGACTTGGTGGTATGATGCCAGCCCTAAAGCTTTGAAAATGTGTTGCTGTTTTGTGTTCTGTTCAAGTTCTCCAAACAGGCCCTTTTGGCTAGCTGTGTCCAAGTTTAAAGTCTGGATTTTGTGGTGTAACGTCAGATCGGATTACTTCATGCTGAAACACTGCTGCACATCACTCAAACTGTAGCATTTTATTTTTTAAATGCCAAATGTCATCCTCAGAATCCCCTCCAAGTCTTGGTCAACGCCATCATCAACAGTGGACCCCGTGAGGACTCCACCCGTATCGGTCGTGCCGGTACCGTGAGGAGGCAGGCTGTGGATGTGTCCCCCCTCCGAAGAGTCAACCAGGTAACTGAACTTTTTCAAATGATTTTTATTTCTATGTATAAAGAGTATGATCCAGTTATGGAAAGCTTAGTGCATGTGAAGCGAGGCTAGAGTCACGCCGTGACATCACCCGTTGTCCTGGTGTGCTAGAGTGCTCGCAGAGAAACCGTCTGTGCTTATTCATTGGCTGTAGTCTGTTGTGACCCAGTCAATCACCAACACAGACACATCCCAGCCCTCGCTGGCATCCTCCAAGCCAAAGCACCCTTCAGTCCTGTTTACCTCTCGATGCTCTGCTTCCTCCCATAGGCCATCTGGCTGCTGTGCACAGGGGCTAGAGAAGCTGCTTTCAGGAACATCAAGACCATTGCCGAGTGCCTGGCTGATGAGCTGATCAACGCAGCTAAGGTATTTAAAAGAACCATGACAAGCAGACTGCAGTGGTCTGAGCTAGAATGATTGTACTGAAGTCCCCTTTGTCTCCTTCAGGGTTCATCTAACTCATATGCCATCAAGAAGAAGGACGAGTTGGAGAGAGTTGCCAAGTCCAACCGTTAAACGCGTTTGCTTTCTAACAAAAATAAATCTGGAGAAACTGAGGTGGATTGTCTTTTTGTATTTGTAACCCAAAGTGTGCAGAACTTACCTTCTAATAATACTTGGTTTAAACTAATCTGAGGGGGGGCAACAATACAGTTTTAGTAAGACGTCACAGATGAGGCAAACTTGTCAAAAAGGTGGATTTTATTACCACTTCGGTTACTACAACTTACATTCTTTGAAAATGCTTCTATATGTAGCAGCTAGACAATCTTCAGCTCATTAAAAGAAGAAATGTTTAGGCTTATGCAGGTATGAAAGGAAAAGCCAAAGGTTATGGAAATAGTGGTTTTTGACCTATGGTCCAGTTAGCATTAAGAAAGCAGATTACCAATCACCAGGTACAACAAATGGAATTTATCATGGGTGTTAATTGTGCTACGAACACAAGGATGAGTTGCTGTAATGATTTTACCTGGTCTGGAGAAACAAGTGACAGTTTGAGCCGTAAGGCTACAGCTCGACTCAGTCTGTGACACCCGTTTCCCCAGCAGGGGGCGCAGCTGCGCCACAGTTGGAGCGGGTGTTCGTATACTGTGAATCCGCCTCTAAACAGCAAATCCACAGCCTCAGCGGGTGTGCAGGGACTCGCCGGCCGCAGAATAAACGCGGCGCTTTCAGAAATACGTGTGCTTTCTGTTGATGAGGAGGCAGAGCGAGGACAGAGACGCCCCCAGTTTGGAGGCCTCGCTGCAGGCTGTTGGCAGGAGGGTGTAGTCTGGCAGCTTCTGGAAGGCCTGCAGGGAGTTGAGAGGAAACAGTTTACTCATCCAGACACACCATCATTATTGGAACAAGAAGCACTGGACACACTTGAGCGATGAATAAAAGGAAGCGGAAAAAACTGCCTCACTGCCTGGAAATGTGTCTGACATGCATAACAGAGCGCTCTCCACAGGAGTGCCAACAACCATCTTCATACTGAAACCAAAGTCACACTCAAACAAATCCTTTACATACAGACATGTTTACAAAAGATCATCCTCATCCAGGTCATATCTACAGAGTAACTATATCATGAAATTCATGCAAATTACTGATGTTTTTTTATCATTATATACTCAGACAGTTGCGTAATATTCATGGTTGTACTCCCAAATTCCTCTTATTTCTATGAAACATTAGAGATACTTCTTCAAGGACAACAGTTATCCCATCTCAGTGGGACCTGCTTGGATTGGAGGTGGCCTGATCATGTCAGAGGGTTCTGGCCAATAAGACTGTTGCGTCCAGCATTCCTGCCGCACGGGGCAGGCCCAGCCCAAGAGAGACAAATGTCCATCACGCCTGGAAATCTGGGATCCTCAGGGAGCCCGGCGCATGGATTTACTTCACTTGAGAACTGAAGAAATTCCACATTCTTGCTCCGCTCATTTCTCTGGTTTATTCTCAGGCTTCCAGCTAAAGAATCGGACTGACGATTAGGACCAAAAATGTTTAAGTGCTTAAGAACAAAACATATTACTTCAGCTATTTTCACTTCCTCAGACTGTCAGTCAAAATATCCAAGTTAACAGCTTACAAAGATTTAAAATCTCAAGTGCAAGTAGCTCAACTGAGATGTATATTTAGTCTACCATATGGTTAAACTAAAAATATGATTGAACTTATTTAGTTATTAATATAGAAGTCTTGTAACTTTTTCCTTAATTATTTTAAGGACTTCTGAATCAGTTGGATATGAAAGCTGCTGGGATGTTCGCGTCTTATTTTGAATTTGAACCTTAAAATTCTAGGTTCAGCTGCAGAGTGATGAAGAAAACCACAGAGCGGCTCGTTTATCTGCGTTAGATTTCAGAATCTCATCCCTCTTTCTTTGATAGTGTTAGCAGAGGCTTTTCCACATCCACAATTATGCAAAATGGACGCATCCACACTTATCCTGGACAAAGAAATACCCTCCACACACAAGCGTTTGCACAGCAAAAGGCTGACTCATTACGTCCCCGACCACTTCTCTTTACAGTCCAGAAGCTTTCTCTTTCACGCATGATCGGCCCTCCTAAACTGTTCGGCGTGGAAACAGCCATGCTGACCGCCGTCTTTACAGCCGTCTACCCACCAACGTGCGGGCAAAGCTGCTTATTCAGGGGGAAATTCGCTTTATTCCGCAGGAGGGACCGCTTCATTCTCCAAGCTGTCCCGCAGACAGGAAGTCTGATCAAACACGCTGCACCAAACAGGGCAGTGACCTTCATTTAGCTGAAGAAAACAAAAAACATGGGACTGGTTTTCTTGGCGTCTTGTTGCCATGTTCCCTGACTTTGAAAACATTTGTTAGCGGGCGGGTGGTGGTGGTGGTGGTGGGGGGGGCACTCACAGAGACGCTGTCGGGACATTCCTCGGCGGGCCGGTGCAGCAGGAAGTCCCGTTTGGACGGCCCTTTAACGTAGACGCAGTTGGCTGCAGATTCCTCCGGGACGGTGAGCACCTCGTAGTGGTGATCGGTCAGCTGTTCCATCATCTGACACACACACACACACACACACACACCCGGTGTCACACACTCTGAGAGGCGAGCCTAATGCCGTTACAGTGGCGGGCGGGTCGTATGAGGACAGAGGATCAGAGCTTTTGGTCTTTAAAAAGCAAGCGTTTAGCTGCCAGACGGCCTCAACGGTGAACACTTCAGAGTAATCTGCCTACGAGTAAACATAACGAGCTCATTTTCCACCGCAGGAAGCCACTCTCAGACTGACCCGCAGGGTCTTCTTGGCCCCGTCGCCGTTGCTGAAGATGATGGTGTCCGGACCCCCCATGGAGCAGATGTTCTTCAGCCGGGCCCCCCCACAGACGGGAACAGTGGACACAGCAAAGTCCTGAACAGAAAAAAAACAAACAAAAAACGTTTAAACAGGCAAAACGTTGAGCTCTATTGATACATTTTTACAACAAGGCGTTCCAGTTGGGTTTTAACGTGTCTGAGCTGAGCCCAGCTCGCAGCTCGCCTCCTTGGTTTTATTCAACCAAACAAACACAAAGCGGCTCTGGTCCTTTATCCCCCTCTCCGGCCGACCACACACACTACTCCACACACGCAGAGGCTCCAGGTTCCTGCCTGTGTGTGAAGTGAACTCCGGAGAGAAGTGAAGGAATCAATACTAATGGAGGGAGTGGCTGTGCGGTCTCCATAATTTGGAAAATGGAAGGGCCTCATCCATCACGGCAGAAAAATTACCACCTGCTCACTTTAGCAGCTGGCGTTACCCCCCCCCCCCCCCCCCCCCCCCCAGCAGCACCGCCAGACACGCCAAAAGGCATGTTCCTGCAGCTGTGTTTGTCTTTTTTTTTTACATAAACAAACAGACCCTGAATTGAGGCCGCTGCCTACCCTGAAAGTGTCCGCCAGAACCTCGGCCCCCCGGCGGTTGGTGTGGGAGGAGATGCCCACGAAGAACTCCCTCCCGGTGAAGAGCACGTCGCTGCCCTCCAGCGTGGCCCCTCCCGAGTCGCCGTGCTCGCCGCCCATTTCCACCACCGTCACACGCAGCTCCGACATCACCCTCCTCACCGCCTCCACCTGAGAGGCCAGGGAGCGCGGACAGAAACGTCAGAGAGGGCCTCATTTTGGGGGCGGGGTCTGTCATCACTATGTAAAACAGGCAGAGTTTTAACTGCTGTCAATCTGAGAAAAATAAATATTAAAAAACCTGCTTCACTAAACCATCCATACAGACGGGGGCAGGTCTCCTCCCTCCATGTCACATCTGTGTCTATGGAGGCCCAAAGAGTGCAAACCAGTGAGCTCCTTTGTGATGATTAAATGATTAAAACTCATCTACTGGATGAGTATTAATTCAAGACCAAATGTTCAACTGGACATGTAAAATACAAATTTACAGACTGCCTCGAAATTCTGTAAATGACTTGAAATATCTCTGGAAACTGAAAGCCCGGTCCATGGAGGGTTAGTGGGACAGCATAATCCCGTCTGGGGTGACAAAGACTGAACGAGGTGAGGTGTTCTGGGGCTTCTTTCTGGGGCCATAATCGGGCTGAACACGGGATTAAACACACTGTGAGGATTAGGGGGTGACCCCCCCCCCTCTTCTCTCGTGTGTTACCTCACTGCGTCTCTGCTGTTTGAAGGGCCTGGTGATGAGGGCCGTGTCCCCCTGGACCACCGCCACGTCCTCGATCCTCCAGCTCTCCGGCAGGTCGGGGTCGGGGGGGATTTCGATCAGCTGCAGGCCCACCTTCTGCCTCAGGGCCCCCGTCAGGCAGCCGAACTGGCGCTGGGCTTTGGCCAGGTCCACCGAGGCCTCCCCGTTCTCGGGGCCGCCTCCGGCCGGCTGGCCGAAGGACTCCGGGACGCCCCGCACCACGGCGTGGGTGAAGCGGCCATACGGGCACATGTTGGCCATGACTCCAAGCTATTCAACAAACGCCGGCTCTCTGCCAAAAAACGCCAGCGAGCTCCCCCTCAGCCGGGACACGAGCAGGAGGCCGCCAAAAAATGTGAAACGCTCAGCTAGAAAAAGCTCTAAACAAAGCCAACAGTCAGAGTCTGGAGCATCCTCATTCCTCCTCACCGACTCAGATGCGCCATCTATCCCCTCATCCGGACCCTGGAGCAGAGAACAGAGACAAACATTTTTTAGGATCAGCAGATTGTGGAGAAGAACAGCAACATTTGTCACCAGAAAAGGGGCGTTCTGGTGGTCTGGTGCTGGTTTAGTATGCAGGACCAACACACCCACAGACAGCTGAAACAACAACATGCACGGACAGGGCCAGAGCAGACAAATGAGCATTGCTCAATGCCCGATTGCCAGGTATTCAATAACCCTGCAATCTGCTGCAGCCCCGTCAGGTTTGGGCATTGGGACAGATTTGGGACAATTGGCCTTTTATCATCTTCCCCTGTAACTCAAAGCAGTCACCCACCGAGAGGCTGCAGAGAGGAGGAGGAGGAGGGAGGAGGAGGGGGGGGGGGCTAAGTTTCCCTCCACACAGGATGTTTCCCTCATAACTTAACAAACAGCTGGGCTTTGATATTTGCTTCATTCTTTTAAACATGAAGCAGCACACGGCACACATTTGAAACATTTGCTCCAAGTTTGGCCCGAGTTAGCACGGTTTAAATGAAGTGTTTTGGCCTCGCTGTGAACCGGTGACAACAGCGTTTTCAGGCAGATTTATTTCTGGTCATTTTAAGCTGCTTTTGTTTTGACTTCGTCCAGCTGCAATAATCGGGATAAACCTGGTCTGAGCGTGCACCGCCCTGCAGATCAACGCGATTTCCAAATACTTCTCAAGATGTTCCACTTTTTTTTCTAATAGGGGAAACTCCCACAAGTTCGTCAACAGATAATAAGACAAAACAACACGGCCAAGGCTGCTTACCTGTTTTAAGTGTTGTGTATCCACGTTCGGGCACGTTTCTCTCAGTTGAATTTAATTTGCAAAGCAGCTCGGCTCCCGTTACTCTGTGGCTCGCTTTGCCCCACCAGGCGACTAATCAATCAAGATGGCGGTTGTAGTATATTTCTATTTCCGGTTAGTTGATTCAAAATAAAATATAGGCGGGTGTTTGACTTTAAACCTGCCACTTTCTACGATAATACTGTGCCACGACTAAATGTTGTTGTATTGTTTTGGATACCTTATATAAAAAACACACAAATAACATATATTTAAATGTAAAACAAAATGAAGTCTTTTGGGAAATGATCGGTTGCAACCGCCAAGCCTTTATTTTGCTAAAGGTTGCCAGCTGTTTCTGCTATGGTGATAGATTTGTGTTAAATTTGACACAGCTGCTTTTCCAGCTTTTCATCCAGCGCTCCCCCCATCCCCCAAACGTCCGGCCCCGATTCATTAAGCGTTGATTGGAAGTATCATCGAGTCCTGTTTGTGTTTCACTGCTGTTGGTACACTCAGTTTTAACAATCTAAACACCACACATTGAGGTTTTCTGTCTGAACACATAAAAAACCCTTTCAATAATCAGGGATCAAGTGGAACATGAAATAGGACATTATTCATAATTGAATACTTTTTAGTTCAACTCAAACAAATAATCAAACATAAGTCTACAGTAGCATTGTTGGGACTGTATCCATATCAGTCCTACATGATCAACAGTAAACTGGTAAACTGACGCAGGGATATTTCACAGAAATATCATTCATATCACAGAAAGAGAGTGCATAAAACAAAGGAAAATGTTATCACAAAGATTAAATGAAACACAAAACAATACAAAAGTAACAAAACAACCACAAGAGGCATAAAGTTTCAAAGGAATGCAGAATTAACAACATGTGAGATTAAACCAACAAACCAAGTGCTAAAATGCATATAGTGCAGAAATACACTCTAAATGAGGCAGAAGAGGTAATAACATGACCATAAAAAAGAGACTAAAAGACCAAAATGGGGTCAAAATATGATTTCCAATTGACCACAAAGACATCAAAGTTACTAGAGAGAAACTATGACATCTTAATATAGCGGCACCAAATATAACAAATTAATTTGCAAAATGACTTCAGATGGATACAAAACTAGAACCTGAAGATGCAATATAATGATAGTTAAGTACCATAAAACAACCTAAACAAGCCAACAAAAGTATAAAATGTTGCTACGTTCAGTTTTGGTGCTATTCCACAGTCCATCTTTATTAATACAAACTGGGCTATTGTTCAGCAAAAGCAAGCATTTGTACTCCACAGATTTGGGTTTGTCAAGGATTAAGGACAATCGCTCCCTCCCTTCTAATCCCGATAAACTGCTCTGCAGCGACATCAGCAGTCATGTCTGCATTTCATACATAACTGTGGACGGTAACTCCAGTCCTCACAGATAACACAGGGACATGTGCTGATATACAGAGCTGTCCCGGTTTTGGCCTTAGTGACATGGCAGAAAATAACCAGGCTTTTCCTGAAAAGTGGGGCAGTGGATGCTGTTATGGATGAACAACCAGGAAGCCTTATCTGACATCAGAGAGGACAGGAACTATGTGCACCATTAACACTTAGAAATGATCCAACTAACGTCAGTTCTACCGTAATACTGTGAACAAGAGGAGATTTATGCTTGCAACATGAGGCAGCACAACATTCCCGTCTAGTGACTGGACTGAGTTACTGCAGCCAGAGGAAGTTGCATGCCAGAGTTGAGTGAAGCCGAAGGTTTGCTCTGACGTGGAGGAGAAAAACAGACAGAAAATGGGAGGTGGGTGTGACACCAGAGGGATATGTGGAGAGATGGAGGATGGGACGCAAAGGGCACAGACAGGATTAAAGAACACCATCTGTCCACTGAGCTCCGTCAGCCAGCCCACACAAAACATCCCTATTGAAAACAGCATCTGCCCAATCTACCTTAGGGGAAAATAATTCAGCTATAGGAGGAATTGTGTGATAGAATTCAAATTGATCATTTATTTGAAAGCATTTGTATTTTCTACTCTTAAATGGAAAAAACAAAACAAAACTGTAGAATAAAAGTCTGATTTAGTTAGAAAACTAACTACAAGCAGTCTTTCTTGTGCAGAAAATCAAGAATATAAAATAATTTCTTACTCATGTGCCATGGTTTTCTAAGCACATCTGAGAATAAAATGTCAGACACCTGTCAGAACTACCCTGTTTCCCCATTTTTCATATAGCAGCTAGTACAAACACACAACTCTTTTTTACACCAAAAGAGCTCAAAGTATGATGAATCATAGACTCTGTATTATGTTTCATCTTGTCAAAGCTGCCCAATCAGTTCTGCAAACAATATTAAAACCGGTTTTTACTAAATGGAGCCAAAAAGTGACAGAAAACCTTTTGAAGGAGAATTTCCAAGGAGTCGCTCAGGAGCTTGTAATTATCCAGTAAACAGCTTATTCAGACTGAGCCCGCTTGGCTCAGTTCATCACAAGACTGCTGTCAGCAGACCGTCCTGCATGCTGCCCTCACGTCTCCCATTACAGCCCGCGGGATAATTCAGTTAAACTGGCTCACTGACCCTCTGTTTCTGCCATGCTGACTTTCTCTGCCTGATTATCTGTGATTCATTCTGCTCCTTCTGACTTTTCTGAGTTCTCATTTAGCTTTCTTCATTATTGTTTACTCAAAAAAAGATCTGTAAAAGGTTACAAGTGTGCAAATGTAAGATATTCATAAGGAATAGATCCATGCCAACAAATTAAAAGGTAAATCCCCAAATATCTCTTTTAACTAGAAATGTTCCATTGTATATTTGAACTCTTTCCCTTTTGGATACTTCTGTCTTTAAAGATACATATTTTGCTTATCGTTTTTCCTTTCGTGAACAAATTTCTATTACAGACAATAGATTGTGTTGGAGGAAACTAAAATATCATCAACTAATGGTCCAAAGTGTTTTTACTACAGATTTACTTGTCTGCCGTTTCCATGTGTGCTAATGCTGACTTTAGAGTCTCAAGACCACTTCCTTTTGTTGCTTATATCTTCCCACCTGTAGCATCTTACATGTTTTCCTGTGTGAGAACTCATCTGTTTATTCCATCACCGAGGAAAAATGCCATATGTGAACGCAAATCCGATACGTGATAACATTCTGCATTTACGTCCCGTCTTTAGCCAAGTCAGCTGTTAACAATTACCCCCCCAAATGAAATTACAAGTCCCAGAGTGAGGGACGCTCCCTGCCTGAGCATCACCGCACAAAGAGGCCAGGAGTGAGAAAAGCTCAGGTGATCTGCGGCTGCTGAGGGTATAAATGACTCTGGTAAAAGCAAGTTTTTTCAGATTGATGAAAATATAGAAAGTCAGGAAGCGATGAAGATAAATCTAATTATGGAATGAGTTAGAGGACGTTTCAGATCAAGCAGTTAGAGCGCTGTGACGTGCTGAGAGGGGACTTGTGTGGCGCTGCATTGCTTTGAGAAGCTGACCCGAGGGACTTTAAGGACTTTTAAGGAAGCATCATGCCTCGTTTTCACCTTTTAATTGGACTCCTGTGCTGTCTCCCTGTGGCAGGTATGAGCCTTATCTTTATGGATGAATTCTAAAGCAACCTGACAACATGTAACAAATATTTGCAACAACACTTCTTATCATCAAGGAGGATGACATGTCTCTATCTCTGACGCTCAGGCGATCGCTGAATCTGCCTCAGAATTAAAACTGATTTATTTTTTTAAAGTTTAATCTGGGAACACTGTGGTCATCACACATCATTTGATATCATTCTTTTTTTAAGGAAAGGCTTTGAGGAAGGATTTCTATTTATTGCAGCCACATTGAAAGACTTCAACATTTATCAATTTATCAGTATTACTTAATATTCACAATATGTCTTTGATATCGATGTAGGCAAACAGCCAATTAAAACTTCAGTTCTGTGTGTGATTAATTACTGTTTAAAACATCTGAACAGATAGACTTACGCCCCAAATTTAGAAAATTATTGTAACTTGTTATGGAAATGTTTTATCCATCACTGAAAGCAACCAAACAGGAATTATGGTCACAACACAGCAAAGCTTGGTTTCAATTTAAGCCAAAATTTAGGGAGCCATCCTGTGGATCTCATCTTGGGAAGAACTTCAAGGATTCCACCGTTTCACCAACAGGGGGTGGTAGACTGAACCATTTCTTTTTTACCAAACAGTTAGGTAATCAGGGGCGGCACGCTGCTGTGGTGGTTAGCACCATCGCCTCACAGAAAGACAGTTCTGGGTTCCAGTCCCTGGGGAACCAGGACCTTTCTGTGTGGAGTTTGCATGTTTTCCTGTGTGTGTGGGTTCTTGGGCTTCCTCCCACAGTCCAAAAGCCTGCATGTTAGGTTGATTGGACATTCCAAATTGCCCTTAGGAGTGAATGAAAATTTGGGAATAAGCGATTCATACATCGGATGGATGGAGTTTTATAATCAATCATTTCTGAGGCTTGTTAGATTGTAGACGACTGTATTTTGAACTTTCAGACTGATTTCATTGAAAGGTCTCAAAAGTTAGATAAGGGTTCACGTTTTGCAAAAGTGAGTGAATACCCAAAATCATCGGATGGATGTCATCTTTTTTTCAAATGTATGTGTGTTTGTGAGTGATGATGATGGTGGCAATCTGTCAAATTATTAAATGACTAAGCTTTTTCACAAACAGGATCATGTGATTTCCTGTGCATCGTGATTGTAATACCAGTTCATTCATTCATTACCATCTTTTTCCTCAGCCTGCTTGCGGTGCTTCACCTGTGTATTTCCAGCTGTTTCTCCTCTGGACTGCTTGAAGTTTCCTCTGGAGTGTCCAGCCGGGCAGCGCTGCCTCTCAAGCGAGGCGTCTGGAAAGCGGGGTGAGATCCAAACCTATAAGACAGTTGATTTATTCCGGTGCCTGAACATAAGATTGTTGTTCAGAGAATGAAACTGTTGAATTTACAGTCAGTACTGGATTAAAATGTAACCAGTATACGTCAGGAGATATATCCAGACGTTTGTGTTTTTTAACAATACAAATTCTTCTGAAGTGGAAAGTGAACTTTAATCCACGTTTGTTGTTGCCACAGATAATAAAATGAAATATAACAAGGCGGGTTCTCTGCTCACTAATGGACACAATGTCTTTCAATTAAATCTAAAAATAGCTGTAGGATCTGTGGGTGTGGCAAAATGTTGACTCTGTCTCTGGATGAGGCTTGATGAGTAGCATGTTTTCTTTATGAGTGTTAAGTGGAAACACTGCCTTCACGCTTTTGGCCCCAAATCAGTTCAGTGGACTGATCAGAAATCTGTGCAGCAGCTTTGCTTTTTAATATGTGACCCAGTGTTTTAGATTTACTGCCAGTGATGAGGCTGGTGGCACGAAGTGAGCAAAACTGAGACTTTACCAGGTGAAGAAAAACTGATGAGTTTGTATATCAGCAAAGACTAAAATGACTCGATTTCATGGCGGTGGGTACGCAAACAAGGCACTACAATGGCAGAGGTAACAACACATAAAAACTCCTCTTTTGGTAAAGAGACGAGGATGAAGAAAAAGACCGGCCTGATGGGGAATAAAGGAAAAACTGTAGCCTGAATAAATTGAGGGGAATAATGGCTAGAGCAGCACAGGTGTGGTGGCTGGAAAACGGGTGTGGGGAGAACGGGTGTGGGGAGAACTAACACACACACGCACAGATGTACAAAATGAGAAAATAATATTAACAGTGCAGGTCATGAAGAGGAACAGAATACCAGGAACATCAACATTACAGTGAGGGAAGACTACTAAAACTGGATCTAAAGCTCACAGCTGTGGGCTTTTCTCCAGAAAAAGGGGGGGTTTCCACAGTCAGCTGGGCCCGCTCCACCCTCAGGCTTGGCCATGTTGGATTCATTGTGTCCATACTCACGTTAGCTACCCTTTGTCCATGTAAAATACGCCTATTATTGTTCACAGATCACATGCTTTTTCCCTTCTTTTGTCCAGCTTTCAATTTAATGAGTAGTGACACAAATATTCAGTACGGGAGCCAACAGAGGTTATTTCTGTTTCCCATAAATTCCTAGTAATTAATACACACAAGAGGCCTGTTCTATGTTATATATTATCTTGTGGGTCGGTAAATAAAAAAAATACCCTAAAGTGGATGTGGATAAGTGTAAACACCTGAATCAAATTACAGAAACTGCGGCTTTTCTGTACACGATCTTCATCTAAATCATTTCACGTGCTACAAACAGAGACCTGTTGAGCATCTCTGCTGCTTTTCCCCTCTCTGCTCCCAGGCGGCATCCAGCTGACGATATACGAGAAGAGCTGCGCCGTCTCCTCCCAGTGCGGCCTGGCAGGACAGAAGTACTCGGCGGGAATCTACTTCAACTACACCAACGACTGCTGCGACACAGACCTGTGTAACGGGGCCGGCTCCGTGGCCGTGGCCGGCTGGGCGGGGGCGGCGCTCTGCCTGCTGCCCGCACTCACCCTCCTGCTGGCCTGACCAGCAAAAGGGTCCATGGAAAGGAGAGATGTCTGCTAATGCACAGTCAGAGGCGTACGAGGGTTGGCTGTTTTTTTATTTAATTTGGGCCGTCCACAGCTGTGGATGCAAATCATTTAGGCTGCTGTCTAATCCCAAGTGCTCTTTGTTTCCTCTAAAAGACCCTTTAAAGGTCAGAGAAAGATATTAACCTGTTTTCGATTCAATTTCTGTTCACCAGAATAAGATAGGAAACAGATTCAGGAAAAGATGACAATTGTTTCTGAAGATTTGGTCAAAGGAAGGAACATAATATGAAAAAAATCATTTTTAAATGGGAATGAAACCACTGCAAGGAGATGGTGTCTAAGCTATTAAGCCTAGGATGGTGCTTTACATTATCTGTTTTTGCTATGAAAACCTAATTTGCCAAATTGTTGTATCTGACTGAGCTTTTAACCGTCTGCTTCTGTTAGAATAGACATCCTGCATCAATTCCTACACTGGTACTTGATAAGGTTAAAAAAGAAATAAAGCGACTGTCACAGACTGATTTATTATTAAAATGTTTTATTAGGATAAGTGTGAGAGCTCTATGGTAGAAAATACATTGAAGCTGTGGGATTAATTTGATTGTCTTCCTTCATTGTTGATTTAAACCTACAGATTTTACTGTCCACATTAGTGCTTGATCATGTGCTTTTAACTACCAGATACAAACAGCATGAAGAGAAACACAAAGAGAAGAGCACAACCCCCATTCCATATAGTTATGGATACAGTTAATAAACATAAGTACAGTTCAGGCATGATAAAGATAAAAAAACAAAGTTAATTCAAACTATGTCAATGTATTCAATTTAATTGAAATGTTCCTTTAATTCATATGAAGTCTACAGTAAATTGTGAAAAGTTTTTTCTTTCTTTGAGAGGACAAACACTACAATTAATCACCACTGAAATGATTCAGACTCAATCCCTTTAGAATGTAAATACTTTTTTAAAAGACAGATAACATCCACATTAATTCAGTCAAAGTAGAAAAGAAAATCTCTTTCATCAATACCGAACAGTTCATCGAGGACGGATTCACTTATTAATCTTAATCTTATCTATCTTATATCAAACAAAAACATAAGCTTTTTAGCTTCTTCATATTGCCTTTATATTATAACAAAGCTCTGTGTAAAATCAAATCTCTTTAAATTGCACTTCGGTTCATTTTCTTAATGAGCATCCCCCTGGTCTGAGAGACATGACAAAGCCAAACACCTGCACAGCCCTTTTAAATGCAAAATATCTCGTAGTTAATCAGATCATCTACACAAATTAGGTGTGTTGCGACAACTTCCAGTTCCTCCCAGTAAGTTAGTTTGAAATTAAGTATACAAAAGTTCCCCGCGACCACATTGGGGAAGAAGTGGTTACGATAATGGATGGATGGATGGATGGACAAAAGTTCTACATAAATGGACTTCAGAGAGCATCAGTCTGTAATTTTTGAGCATTTTAGAAATCAGAGAGCCTAAAATGAATAATATTTCCTTATATTGATAATTTTAGATGCAGATTTCATTCATGAGGATGAAGATGACGATTAGAGTAGCAGGCAAAAACAAACAGGGTCATTCAACCTGAAATTAATAGCAGGTTATGCATTAATAGGTGCTTTTCAGCCAACAGAACCCAGAATTTAAGTGGCCCAGAATATTGTTTATAGGACTTAAAGAGTATTCAGGCTCTTGGTCTGTTGCATTTCCACCCAAATCTGAGGTTCAAATCAAATCTAAACAGATCATCCTGCAAAAACTTACATGCAAAGACTTTAAAATCGTTATATGTGTGTGTTGAACATTTCTGTGGAGTTCTGGAGGTTTTTATCAGTATCTTAAGAGCATAGACTCTAAAAAGCTCCTCATTCTACAACTAACTCGGACACAGAATACACCCATTAGCTCCATTCATTTAAAATCTGTTCATGTTACAGATCTCTCATGTTTTATGTCTTTTCATATTTGATTAACAGCAACACCTTTCTAAAATAATCAGATATTAAGGTTCAACTGTTCAACTTTTTTCTTGTAAGCTGAGCTCTGTCTTATCACTCATTTTAGGGCCTCTGAAATTAAAATCAACAATTAGTATAAAAATTACTAACGCACAACTTAAAGAAACAGATTGAGCTTCTATATGAGCTTCTCCGGTAGTACCTCTCTACCCGAACCCATTTTGGGCTTCAATTTTCATCCCCAAACCTTTTTTTTAAGCCTGTGGTTCCTGGAAAAGCTGCCTGCAGTGGAAATGCAACTTCACTGACAATAAGAGGGACGTATGTATTAATGAGAGCAGTAATGGGTTTTAATGAGTAGCAACCAATGATCCACTAAGGTTGTTGTTGGCAAAAGGCCCTCAAAGCAGATCCGAAACATGTTTAGTAATCTTGAATCCTTAACGCCTACTTAGGAAGTACAGAAAGGGGAAGCCCGAGTCTATTGAAATAGCTTCCTGTTAACTGTTGTCACTGTTGCCTCCCCTCGATGAGACCCAGCGTGCCGCCCCCTTCCGCTCTGAGATGCACCGTGAAGAATAGATGGAACTGATGTGGAGGTTAAAAGTATGCTCTGTCTGGCTGTGAAAGCCTGTGTTCGCTCAGTGATGAAGCCAATGTAGAAACCACACGACTCTTTGGCAGGTGCTGGCATGCAAATGCTATTTCCTCAACGGTAAAAGGAGTTGAAAGAGAAAGTCTGATATAGAAGGCAGTGTTGTGTCTGTTGAAGTTACCCCCAAAACATCCAAAACACACAGATGCAAATAAGACAGAGTGGAGAAGCAGCATCAGTGTGTATCTACTGACGGTGAAACTGTACACAAGCAAGGCTGTAGTTAAAAAACAACATCAAAATAAAAAAATGTGAACGTGTGAGTGTGTGTCCTACAAACAATGTGATCGAAGAGTCACATGGTGAACAGCCAACAAGCTCTTCAGCTCATTTGACTCCTGTGCTTCCTTGTTTCCCAGTTGATCTAAACTTCTCCCACCTGAAGGGAGAAGAAAACTACAAAAAAAAGCTGTGGATGCAGCTTAAAGGTCAAAGTTGATATCAAGCTACATAAAATGACCAGGCAGATGTTAAGGAAACACTTCTGGTTAAGTGGGGAACACATCGACCATTTTGTTTGCAGAATAGCGTGTGTGTGTGCGTGCGTGCGTGTGTGTTTATGCTTTTGTATGGTGCTCCCCATTCGTATGTTCCCTCATTCTCCTCCTACTTGAGCGCCTTGGCCACAGAGGAGTAAGCGATGTGGATCTCATCATCTATTGGGCAGGTGGAGGCAAACTCCTCCCTGGCATACGCTGCGTTCAGGTACCTCCACAGATTTGTCAGAGACTGAGGGATGCTGAAGTTTCTGTATTTCAAACAAACCACCTGAAAAGAAGAAGAAAAAGAAAAAAAAACTATGAAAAGTGTGAGCAACCAACATCCAAAGCTGATGAGGAAGCGCAGCGACAACCAGCACCTTGGCGATGTGAAGCTTGGGCAGCAGGTTGCAGTCGGCCAGCGTGAGCTCTTGGCCGTCCAGGAAGGGGCGAGAAGAGGAAGTGACCTCATCGGCGCTATTCTCGTCAATCTCGTCAGGAAGTGGAGAGCCGAGGTAGTCATCCAGCTTCTTCAGCGCCTTGAGCAGGCCCTTTTCTAGATCTGAGCACACGTGCACCGAAATGACTCACACATCACTGGTGAAGACTGTTAAGATGGCTGAAAGTTTAAACTAAACAGGTTCCAAACGGAGAGCAGCGGGCGACTTGTTCACTCTGAGAAGTGGACTGTATTAACAGAGTCTGCTCTCCTGAATATGCCACCAGTAACGGACAGGGAGCAATCACAGAATTATACACTTATAAGATGAGGATAGGAATTCAGAGTTCTGCAAAGAAGGGCTGAGACACCCTGTTTTTGTCTACCCCTATTTTCATATCTGTCAAACAGTATTAGATTCAGTCGTTCTCCCATGTGTCTTAATGACAGACATAAAGTTGTCTGTTATGTGTGTACACAACACGGGTTCATCCCTTGAGTTGTGTGATTTTTTCTCTTGTCTAACTGAATCAGTTTTATCTGGGTAAAAACAATGGGAGTTCTTTTGAAAATAGTCAGGTGCAAGGACGGCTATTGCTCAACACCCCAACCTGGGAGCCAAATACCCCCCAAAAATCCCCAGATTTTGTCCACATCACTGCATGTTTGACTGGAGCCTGCTTACTTTCGTTGGCCTGAGGGTTGGAGTTCTTGACATAAGCGGAGAACTTGGAGAAGACATCCAGGCCTGCTGTGTTGGACTCTGGATTCCGAGCAGCCAGGCGGGGATATCTAACAGAGAGGCAGGCGATCAGTCATACGAGAAGCAAAAATTCCCTTTGATATCTAAAATATTACATAATAATTCAATCTTAAAATGACATCAGAGAGAGTGCTCTGATCTGGTGAAGATGCATACAGCAAATAAAGACATTTAACTTGCTGAGTTGGCTTAAAATACTAGATATTCACGAGTGAATTGAGTGATTTACTTAGGAGGGCAGAGATTTTCCTCCAGGAACTCCTCGATCTTGTTGGTGTCCGTTTTCACCTCGCTCCCGTACAGCAGGAAGGGAGGCTGGGCGCCCGGTGCCAGATCCTTCAAGATCTCCGGTTTCCTGCACCGTCAGACGGGGTAGACAGGCGGAGGCGGGTTCGGAAACAGAAAAGAGAATGACAAAGGGAAGAGGAAGGAAGGAACTAAGGGAAATGACTCATGTTTGCAGTTTAAATGGACTTTCACACCGCAGAAGCTTTTAAATCCTTTAACGCATTCAATCTGGATGAAATGTCCTCTGTTTTGTTCTAGCGCGCCACGTTTGGCCCACCATAAAAATAAAAAAACAACAACAAATGAGCGGATTTTCCTCTTCTGTGGCGAGGAAAAAGCGCACAAAAAGCGAGCAGTCTTTCACCTCTTCATATCCACCGTGGTCACATCAAAGGTGACGCCCTTCAGCCACAGCACCATGAAGAGACGCTGCGAGAAAGGACAGTTCCCGATGCTCTGACCATCGCTCCCTGCCTGGGAAACAGAAACAAAGCCAATCTTTTTAAACCATCCCGCTCCACCACATGGTACAGCACATTTTCAGTGGCCTAACTGTGACCTATGACTTAGGCTGCTGTTCTGTACAGCGCAGATTTCACGACTTACTGTGATCAACATTTTTTTTTTCCCCACGCCGCCCCTCAGAACGGGAGCTAAATAGGTTTTTAGGGTAATTAGCTACTTATCAGGCGATTTCTGAAGATGACTGGTTGCACTGGATTTTATTTCTGGGGTATCAGAGCGAAGGCGTCTCAGAGCAAATGCATAGCACACTTTTAAGATTTTTATTGTGAAAGATTTCAAACATACGAGGACAAGAGAATGCGGTAACCATCCACAACGTGGACTAGTCTGTGTGCGAGAATTTTCAAAGCAGTTTGCAGATTTCTACGTTCTTCGTAAGTGTAGCTGAGTCGGTCTGTAATGCTGAGGTCCTAAAACCCAGTTTCTTAGTACAGAGTGACGTTGACAAACAGGGTCAAAGGGGTGTAGTTTCCTGTTTTTACAACCCAAAAAATGTATATAAGATGGAACTTTGGAGTATGTGGACAGTGACTATAGACTGTGGACAGTCTAGTTCAGGTCAGTACGTGTAAGACTAACATGCTCCTGTCCGGTTTTGGTTGGACTAACAGAGTCTTCAGGTTTGAAGCATCATGCGAACAAACACTGACTCCACCGGGATGCAGAGTGGTGTCATCTCAGAGCTGGCATGGCGACAAGGCTGAATCAGATTAGTGACAGCAGCGGTGTCTGGAGCGGCAGGTTTTAGCGCGCCGGCTCTCCTTTACAGACGACGGCCCGTGCCAATATCTCATTCTGCCAGATTACTGTAGAAATCTAGTGGCAGAAAAACTCTTTGCAGGCACTAACGGAGGCATCTATTCAAAACTCCCTCGAGTGGGGACAAACGCCCCCAAGTGGATTACACTCCGCTTAGATGGATGGATCATAACTTAAAAATAAAGCGTAACTTTCTTCCATTTCAAGCTCGTCTGCTCCATGCACTTAAGTTTCCTTGTGGCCACAGATGTGGCCAGTCTGCTGCTGCTTCCCAAATGTTCGATTATGTTTACCATACCCTTGTAAAACAAACATCTAAATCTAAATAAAAGGAGACGCAGGAAGTGTGCTGAAGCGCTTCCACATTTAAGTCAAACTGCAAAGCCAGCACTCAGGATGTCGTTTCAAGGTTGAAGTCAGGGGAAACCTGCTGACAACCTGCAACCTCATTTCAAAGCAAAACTGAAAGAAGGGAAGTAACTGAGAACTACATGAAAAAGATCGTGGGTTTAGAAATATTTTTCACAGCTCTTTAGGTCATTTGAAAAATTGACACTGAAAAAACAAAATACACCCAGAGAATCTTTTTCTTCATGGTTCAATTCATGGTTCCATTCAACTAAGTAAAACGAACAGACTTGCAAAATGAAAGTAACTGCGCCCACAAATGCAGCTCACTGATTCGTCTTTTCCAGCAGAAGCTGAGAGCCTCTCATGAGACCATGTGCCAGCTCATAAAACATGCCTGTTGCCACTTTTTCGTGTATTTGCCCCCTCCCTCAGCAAAAACTTCAGAGTTCAGAGCATTTGGAGAAGTTACAACGGCATCTTTCACCTCTGAAGAAAAAAAAAAAAAGAAGTGCAGAGTGGCACACATGTTCATACAGAGGACTCATTATGTGTGGAGGAAGACATGTTGGTTATAAGCAGCATGTTTTTTGGCTCAATGGAATGGGATTACCCTGCCTGGACAGCATACTAAATATAGTCGGCTGCACGTTATCTTAATGTGTACTTAATTAGATTAGAGCCGTCAATAAGCCCGGTGAGTCAGCAGAGGTGGTCTGAATTACATTAATCTTGCAACGCAGACACCGAAGGTTATATAAAACGTCATATTTTAAGACCCTTAAAGGGCGTTAATTGTGTTAAGTGTGTGTCGGAAGGCCAGTGAAACACAAAGGTCAGAAATCGGCGCGTCTCTATAACCGCTAAACAAATCCATGTCACACAACGTCGTCTCCACGTCACATTCTGGGTGTGATGGCTTTCATTTCTGTCACAACTCGCTTACCTTCACGAAAAGTTCAACTCTGGGTTGATTTGCGTCGCTCATCTTCGCCAAAGCCTTCGCACTGAGAGAGAGACGAGAAAAAGTGAGACAAATGGAGCGCAATTACGCACAAAGTTAAGTTTGAGAAACGGAGCGAGCAAACAGCGCGGGCAGCCCAGCCCATCTTCCGCTACATGTCCCAGAGAGCAAAAGACAAATAAGACTCTGTCTGAGCGCCAGGGGCAGCGGAAACAACCAACAAACAGAAACTATACGAGTTAAGAGATCGTAAAGTTAATTTCTGTGCAGTTCTGAGTGCGTAAAAACCTTCAAACGTAGAGTGTGGAAAGTTGTCGCTGCGGTGCTGCTGGTCCCTCCTCCCTGTTCAGAGCCAGTCTGCAGCCACCCGCTCATCATCATCCTCCTCCTCCTCCGCCTCCATTTCCTGGTGTTTTGTGATGGGCTGAGCTCTCAACGAATAAAATAGCTGATGCGGGAGCGAAAGGAGAGGAGATGCAGGGCGAGGGACGCTAGATGAATTTACGCCGGGTAAAAAGTTGTATTTTTTGTTTGAAAGTCTTTTATTGTTTAACACACAATTCATACATGTATACATTTAGACACTTGCTGATGAACAATTTAAAGATTTAGGTTAAGAGTTATCTAGTAAGGTGAATACGTTCAAAGCTGTTTCACATGTCTGAGCTTTTGCAGTTTGTGTCCATCACTGCTGCTCCTGCCATTCCTGATTTAAAACCAATTCAACAAACGGTTTGTTGAATTGGTTTGAAGAACAACTTTTATTGAACACATTCCTGAATTAATCTAATCTATCTATCTATCTATCTATCTATCTATCTATCTATCTATCTATCTATCTATCTATCTATCTATCTATCTATCTATCTATCTATCTATCTATCTATCTACATATCTATCTATGTATCTCTTTCTTCCTTGGATATGCTTGGATTTTTTTTAACCAAATGTGATGTTGCAGTATTATTAAAGGCCAGTAGAGGGCGGTGGACGGTTATATTAAATCATTAAAACATTCATTTTGTTTTGACTGCAGCTTGTGAAGTAAAGTTATAGTTGGGTTATCCAGCCACTGGTTATTTGACCCTGAGAGTTTAATTTTTGAGTAGGCCCGTCTCCTATCATGGGGGCCCAATCTGAGATCCTCAAACCTTCATCCACAGGACAGTTTAGAGCAGATTGAGATTTGGGAGGGTGTTTCTCATTCCCATTTTTTGATGGTGTCACTTGAAACAAGAAGAATGCAAAAAAATGAAAATAAAAAAATCTTCAGCAGCTTTATATGTCACAGACTAAACATACTGACACGCAATTTAGTTAATGCCTAAACAGATAATGAGTGCTGCAGAGTGGCATTAAGAACACCTTGAATAAATGGTAGTACTCTGTAACTGTACATGTGCACTTAAAAAACACTAGAGGGCATTAGAGGTTTTGAGTAACCTGGATGATGAGCAGTAAAAAAAGAAAAAACAGGATTTTTTTCACCTTTATGGAACAATGACTGTAACTGACAAGCCTTGATAATGTATCTCGGCACAAATCCTGCTTACAAAACCAGTCCAGCTTGTTAGGAGCAAACACACCTGTTATGTGTGCGATGCTTTAATGTGGTAACCATTCTTTACAGTGTCAATTCACCAATATTTGTAGTAGGACAGAGGTACATTTCAACACAGCTAAAAAAAACACTGCACTAGACTAATGCTCCTCCCTTTAATCTTTTCCATTTTACTTTGGTTTTTGTGATGTTTTTGAGGAATTACGGCCACAGAATCCTTCTGATAAACAATAAAATATAACTTGGTGTTGGATTTTTTGACAAAAAGCAGAAAATTGTATGGAGGGGGGAAATTTGCAGCACAAACGACTGCATTCATTTGTGTGTTTTTCTTATGTAAATCCACATTACGTCTATGGAAAAAATCCCACTTTAATCAAATAACTGTGACAGAGAGTAAGTATGTGCTGTTCCTAAAATCACTGTGGCCCATTTAAACCTTTTATACCGAAATGTAAAGTCTATCAGCTTTCCCAAATGAAATTACAAACAAAGGTGCAAAGGGGTTGTTTATTTCATAAATTAAAATAATCACAGTAATAGTAAAGAATCATCAGGGAATCATAATCAAATCAAGAATTGATCATACGCAACGAGGCATATAGTAAGGTACTACAACTCCCAGAAGCCAAAGAGGGAGGACATGATGGCGGCGCAGAGGGCCAGAGTCAGCGGCAGCTGGACGGCAGTGGCTCCGTTGCACAGGGTTGTTTCGCAGCACTTGAAGGTGGTGGTGATTCCGGCCGTAAACAGCATGCCAGTCAGCGTCTTGTTGCACACGTCTTTGTCCACGCAGCCGCGGGTGTGCAGCTTCACCGCACCTGTCGCGTTGAACTCTGGAAAGACGGACAAGCGTGACGTCAGAGTGAAGAACGCGCGAGATCCTGCTTAACATCTGTTGCCAAAGCAACCGCAGCAGCGTTAACTCCTGATTATGTTAACAACAACAAAAAAAACATACATATTTTGTTATATTATTTTAAACTACGGATCAGCTACCTACCCCAAAAGAAATTATGGTTTAAACCTCCTCAGCTGTAACGTTGCTGGCTCATTTGTTTTCAGTTCAGTATTTAATTCTCATCAGTCAGGATTTCCCTATCTTCAAATTGTCCTCAAGTAATGTTAAAAATCAAAGCTTAAAGTGTGACAATTCTCACCTGTGTCCCTTTTGCTAGCTGATGTGTGCAAATTATGATAAATTAAATGAGTAGTTTGGAAATGTATTACTAATAAATGTCATCTAATCTTTTTGTTTATTTTGATAAAAACTGAAATAACTATTAGTTCATCTCTCAGTGTTGATACATTTTCATACCATCCTGAAGAAACTCCCTTATTAAGCACTAACCAAAGCTCACTTCAATATGAATCAAAGAGGCCCTTCCCTTCAATGTGAAAATACCACATTTTTTAGTATATCTTTGCAGATTTTTGGAGGATTTCTTACGTGCATCGCCGAAGTAGCAGCTCTCTGTGGCGTTGTTACATGTGACTTCACTTGAAATCAGGCAGGATCCAAAGATACCGATGGGGCACTTACGGCAGGTCAGACAGTGTGCTGTTCAGTAGTAAAAAAAAGAAAGTTTGGCCTTCATGGTGACTTCATATTGTGGTCTTGTAAAGTAACAGTGGTGTGAAAACAAAACAGAAATTCCTCAGTTTAAGTAAAATGCTCATTTATAGGTTATTGATTTAATGTAATGCAAGCAATCCTGTAACTTTTTAAAGCTTTACACACTAATTCTTGATTTTAAAATCATAGGTCTGAAAACAGCTCTAATGCTACTATACATTATAATCCCTCATTTTCTCAGAAACTGACTTCCCACCTCAGTTTTTTCTTATTGTCACAACAGCATCCTTTGACAGGACTCAAAATACCTCACATCACTTTAAATTATGTTGAATAACGGTCTCATGATTGTATTGATGCAGAAACCACAATATAATGAGCTTCTTGGATCCATGCCAAGTGCTGTCCAAGGTGCTTTACTAGTAAATCCAAGTAACGAAAACATTAACAATTATAATGCTGTTTGCCATTAAAAACATGTTCATTCCCACCCTAAAGCTTTTACATTCATACAATCTACCGTTTGGTACATGTTACACTCAAAGGTGATGCTGTTTCATTCACACACCAGGATATCGACATTTTTTTCTTAACTCACATGCTGCGATGACTGCACACAGGATAATTGCTGCTCTCCAGAAGTTATTCATGATTCACAGGCTTATTTAGGTCAGTCAGCTCCTTTAAAGCAACAAACTTCTTTAAGGTTTAATGAATCGTCTGTCTCAGCTGAATGATCCTCTCAAACAAAGGCAAAACAGTTGGGCTGAACAAGAATGAGGCTCGTCTGGTTTTATAGTCCAGCAGCGTGACAAGGAGTGCCTCTGACTCTGCCGGAAAGACACGGCCAACATTCCCAAGTTGAAGAAGAGTCAGACTTAGTTTCAGCCAATCAACTTTTATTTCTTCATCAAATTCCACCCAGTTGACTAAAGATCTAAGATCATGCTGATAAGGTTATCATTACAGGAGAAAGATGCAGATTTGTGAAGTTGGGAGCATGCATGAGATTTTTTTGGCTGTTTTCAGATGACCAGCTGGCTCCAAACAGCCGTTAGCATAGCCCCCACTGCAGCGGTCCCAGCCAGCCGGGCAGACGGGGCTCCGTTGCAGAGGTCAGTGCTGCAGCAGCTTCTGGTGACGGTGTACCCGGCGGTCAGGAGGGTGCCCGATTCTGTGTTGTTGCAGAGCAATGGAGAAATACATCCTCGAGTCTCCAGGCTCATCAGTCTGCTTATGTTGAAGGCTGATGGAGGAAAAGGGGGATACAAATTCTCAATCACCTGTTTAAAGGATCTTTTAAAGAAAATAACGCTGTAAATTCAGAGCAGTTATCTATTAAATATTTAACACAAATAGACTGACTGATTCATTTTTTTTTAAAAACACACCCAGATGGTTGGAGATTAATCCAGGAAAGATATTCTGTGTGTGATAAATCTGTAATGACCTTGTTAACAAAAGAGGACAATTATTTTCCATGTTTACATTCTATTACTTATTTCCGAGTATTTTTCTTTTGTTTTTGTTTGCCTGAGGTTTAACAGGCATATCACAGGCTGGAAACTTTGAGAAACCTTGTTTTACATCTTCTTCTCTATTTCATAAATTTAAACAGGGCCATGCAATTGGCTCTATTAGGACCTAAACCCTTTTAATATTATTATAAGAAGAATTAAGCTGGAAGACGACTAGCGTAGCTTTACATAAGCACAGGACACAAAGTATAAAACAAATGTTTTAGAAATATTATTGATTTATTTATATTATTTAAACTTCATATGTAACAGGAGATTTTAAAAAACAACAACATCATATCTTTGGATCAGGTTGGGTCTTTTTTTGTCTGAAGGATCAACTTAAGGAAATATATTCCGTGAAGCCACAGCTTCCTGGTGAGTCATTGTTGATGTCCTTGTTAAGGTACGGCATTCGAATTATGTTTGACTGGAACTTGGTAAAAACTGGACACTTTCCATCTACCCCTTTCCTCCATTCTTGTTTGTATGATAACGTAAGATAAAAATAGCCGCCCCTTAATAGTTTTTTTAAAAATATATTAATGCTGGCATCTTGTGGCAATGTTCATTTTTGTCAACAAATAGTTTTTTTAACTTAAAAAAAAATGTATTAAGAAATGACATCCTGAATTGGTACAATTTAACTCACCTTACTGATGCGTTAAACAACAGATAATCAGCAGCTGGTTAACTCTTACCTTCAAAATAGTTAATAGTTCGTGAGTCCAAAAACCAGCAAATTAAACAAAAATCAATAAAATGAGTTCAAGCTAAAACACAAACAGCTCCAACATATTGACTCTGTTTGCTTCAGCCTATAATCTGACGGTGTGTATGTTGCTTTATGGGGCTTTTAAAATTGTTGTCTGTTTGTTTGGGGCTTAACCAGTGAAAAGGGTTTGACCCCCCTGTGACCTCCTGATGCAGTCTGTGTTACGTTTTTCGTGTCTGAGCGCTGTGGGCTGTCGTTTGTCTGTCAGCTTGCAGGTGATGCTCGGCTTCCTGGTACTAAAAGATAGCTGAGGATGAACAGGCATGCTGCAGATTCACAGGGCTGTGACGGAGGGCGGAGGACCAATGTTAGAAAATAAAAGCGATGACTGAAGGGTTTGTCCCCGCGGCCTTGCTGCTCACTCTGAGCTGCTTTCACCCTATGAGCCACCAGATCCAGACGTTAGCCCTTTTCAAACGTTTAAAAGATCTGAATCCCGGCCAAGTGTCTTTTAGACACACCTGTTTACATCTGTACGCCTTTAACATCCAGTGCAAGTTTTTCACATTCACCCTTTTAAAGGATTTCCGGTTTCAACATGGATACAAACTAAGCAGTAGTGGGAAAGATGACAACATCATTCGTTTGTAGTTCTGTAGTTCCTCCTGAAATGATCAGTTAATTCCCTCCGAGTTTGCTTGCTTTGCACATGCTGCCCGTTCCCTTTCTTTTTCTTTGCTTCTGACAGACTTTGGTAATTCAGCGGACGCTCAGCGGTGATGGATCACAGGCTCACACGAACAGTCCCCGCTCTGTTAACCATTAAACTGACCGAAGAGGTCGGCGGACAAACAGAACAAAGTGAAACTCACACAGCTGTCCGTAGTAGCAGCTTGCCTGAGAGTCGCCGCAGGTCTCAGTGGAGCGGAAGAGGCATTTACCAGCGAAACCCACTCGGCAGGTGTAACAGGTCAGAGACTGAGCTTAAAGCAGGTCCGGAAAGAGAGGTCATCAGTTAATCTTTCATTTCCAAACACAAAGGAAGGTGTTTGGATATTTGGATAGATTCAAATGGAAAAACATGACACAGATGTTAATATATATAAAAAGATTGATATAAACATTCTGCGATTAAACATGTGATATCAACATTTATTTCTGCACTCTCCTTTTTTAATGATCTGCCACATTAATGGTGAAAATCACAGAAATCCTGACAAATAGGTTTAGATTTTTAATATATTTTATTGGTGAATATTGCTATGCTATGGCTCTCAACAACTTCAAAAATAAACAAGCTCTAGACAGCTCAACACAACTTTTTTCCATTTGAGTGTATAAATGTGGTAGCTCATTGAAATAAATCTTGCCTGAATCCATTTGTGAGGAAAATCACACTAAATAAATGTGGAAAATATAAGAAACTGTGTTTAAAGGGTTCATTGTATAAGCTTCTTTAATTTCTGACTGATGCCGTGATCCTATTTAAGAGGTTTGTCACTAAACTGATCCATCCATCCAGTTTTTATATTGCTTACTCATAGTAGAGTTGTGGAGGGGAGAATGTGAATTTGTTCCTTGGATATTCACTTGTATGACATTATTTCCAACATCAATTAACATTCCGAAAATTGAACTTATAGCATTTTATAAATGAGCTGTTCTGTTCACCCTGTAGCCAGAAAGAATGATAATATCATACGAAATGTGTCCTAATTTCTGTGATAAATAGAATTATAGGTGAGAATATGACAAAGCTGAAATGCGCTGTCACAGGGCAAAGTTAAACGGTGACTAAAATTAGTTTTCATGTCTCATTGCTAATCTATGAAATATAAACGAGTAAACAGCACATATGTCACACGGAGTTTGCCTCTTTGTAAGTCCTATCTTGTCAATACCTGTTTTGTTATAGCTGTCCTGGTGATGCTTACCTGTAATAGCCACTGCCATCAGTGCTGCGCTGAACAACAGGAGATTTTTCATCTTGCTTAGGTGATGGAGTTTTTTCTTGAAAAATTAAAAAAGTAGCTCAGTGGTTAAAAAAGGACTGGTGAGTTTTCGAGGAGGGCTTCAAATGATGTTCCTGGGCTCAGCTGAGTGGCTTTTATATCCAAAGGTGTGCCATTAGAGGCTCACAATCATTTTTATTTGACAAAACAGAGGTTTGTTTGACGAAGAACGAACCCTGATACAAAGCAGAGTAGATGGATGTTGTCTCAATATGTTTGAAGCTTTGTGAATGACACAATACCTTTCAGAACCATTTCATTTCAAAAGAGGGCAAAGACTCTGGCCTCTGGCTGACGAGCTGGATTCAATGTTTCCATTGTCCTCTTAATATGGAGTCGGATAAAAAAACACAATGTGATCCCGAAAGTCTGCTCTTTATCTTAGGAAAGATGATCATACAAGTTTGTTTTTCAGGCTTTGACCAAAGGTCATAGGTCTGCTAGACTCAGAAAGGCCCTTTACTGATGCATTTACCATTCACTTTGTCAGTTTTAGATATTTTCTTTAGACATCTATATGATTTTTGCTGTGCTTTACACATTTATCTATTTTTGAATGGTCAGTGTTGAAAACTGAAAACTTTGGCATTTTTAACACTTAATGGAAAAAGAGACCAGTCCAACCTGTTCTGAGAGCCCTTTGAGGCCTCTAAAAGAGGAATGTAAAATATACATCTTGCAGAGTAGCATACGAGGAATTCTCATACTTTCTTAAAATGTTTGACAGGTACACCTGTTATCAGAGAAGACAAAGACCTCAGGCAGGACGGACGTGATGTGGAGAGGATGCTGGTTATCTCTCTCCCCAGGACTTTGGTGAATGTTGGTGAATAAAAAGTAATGCTTCTTCTTAATGCTTTTTCCAACCTCATGCTCGGCTTTTGTCCAATTTGGGTGTCTTGTCTAATCGTCAAATAAGAGAGCTGTTAGAATAAAAAATACAGAGCTCAAAGGACACATCGGGGCGATTGATGCTCAAATATTCTTATTTAATTCTAATCTAGTTGTTGTAATTGTCTGTGACCTGAGAAAAACTCTGAGGGCAGATCGGTGAGTGTGACCAGCCTGCGGCAACTCCATTTAGTTTTCTTTCCCTTTTCAGTGACAAACTTTGGTAATAAAGCAATACTTGCTATAATTCCCAAAATGTGATTAATGAAAAAGGCATCTAAAGCATATTATGAACAATATGTATTTATCATCTGTGGCCGAGGGTGAGTGCGGTTGGGCTCATCTTAGATAATTTCTTACAGTCTAAAATCACTTCATTTTTAGAAAATGAATAGGTTTTACTGATCATTCACAAAAGGCACATATTTTTTTCTTAAAGCATTGTTTTATTTTGTCTATCTCATGTGCAGGTCCATAGAGAAAAAACATTTAAAAGCATTTTTCAGATACTTTTTTGAAATATCATTTTTATTCCCGTGTCACTTTTTGTTAACAAACAAACAAATTACAAACACAATTACTATTTTGTCTTCAAAGAAATTAACAATGAAGCAAATCGGCACAGAAGAATTACGAGCTCAATGTTTCCCTGAAACATCCCATTGATCAACTTCCATGATTCTGACACCTGAGTTTCATATCAGTGTTATCCCTGACATGCTGAGCATTTAAATAAGTGTATATCTTTGCCTTGAGCAGCTTTTGATTATTGGTAATTCAACCATTTCTAGTTGAAATGGATTTCAGCAGAGGCTATATGACGGCTGTTTTAGGGATTTTAATGCATCATGCTTCCCCAAACGGAGGCAAGGACGGCTGCACCGATGGTGGCGCTGAGGGTCATCTTGGTTGATGGGGCACCGCTGAGGGTCACTGGGTTGCAGTTGTCTGTGGAGCAGCACTGGATTTCGGTCTGGTACTGGACACCGAGCAGGGTGGCGGTGGCGGTCACGTTGCAGCCTGTGGCGTTAGCCTGGCAACCCTGACTGTTGAAGCCGCTGAAGGAAGTGAGGGATGGGAATGCTGAGGAGACATGGTGGACACAGATTAGTTAAAGGGGCTTCAGAGGGAGAAAATCAGGTTCGTGTCTAAGGTTCGGCTTTATTTCTGCTCTGTTCCACTCTCTGCAGGCAGACAAAGCTGAAACAGTTCAACAGACCAAAACTGGACATACCCGTTTTCCAGTTGACAATTACACTTTGTGTGACCGCTTTTTAACGCGCCGGCAGAGCTTAGCAGTATTTTTCCAGTCTCACACAAACAAGGTTCAAGGCATTAACACATTGCATCAGAGTTAAGATGACACATCAGTAGCCGCAGCCGCCTGATGGTCGTGTGCGACTGGATGTCAGACATCTTTCATCAGGCTGGGACTTTGGGACAACTCGGAGGGGACTTACTGGCTTTTCCGGTGAAGCACACACTGCTGGTGCCTGAACATGTCTCATTGGCCTTGTTGAGACAGATGCCCAGCACTCCAAATGTACATTTGTTGCACACCAGAGAGTCCACTGAAACAGATACATGAAAGCAACAGTTTAAAACACAGAAGTCACTTGGAGATGAGTGAACATCAACAACATTTAGAAAGATGGAAGGATCAAGCCGGCTGATCAACCAAGCAAATACCGAGCTGTGATAGACATGTTCTCAACCCTTTTTTCTTTGGCAGCGACCAATTTGTTTTCTCATGTGACTATTTTGTCCAATCAGCATTGGTTGGCTGGTCTGAAAGATCCCTTCCAATGAGTTTGGCTTGTGCAGCATCATTACAACTTGGTGAAACCTGTACTGGGATTTCTGATCCACCACACCTCCAACTGCAGTGCAAATTAAGGTTAAACACCACCCAACAAACAATGAGACGGGAGCTCAAATCAGAAGGCTGTCATGGTGACTTTACTTGTCTAATTAACAAAACAAAGGGTGAATATAAATTCTCAGATAATCTGAAGATCAAAAACCTTAGCCCTGTGTTGTTTTGCTCAATCATCAACACCACCAATGTGCTTTTTTTTTACATAGCTGTTGACTATGCATCAAAAATTTAAAAATGTTGATTTGTGTCTCCTTCAATCAAGCAAGAAAATTGAACACAATACCGGTAGATTTCGATCACTTGCTGACAAAGACTATCAAAAGCTGTCCATAGATCAAGAATAACTAGATAACACTTATGTTGTCCTTGTGTCTTTTTGGTGAAATTTGACAGAACTAAATGAGAATCTGGAGTGTGATTTTATCTTACCGAGGATCAAAGATGCCAGGCAACCAACGAGCACAAACAGGATCTTTCCCATCTCAGTGTTTTGATGAGGTTGTTGGTTTTGTTTTAAAGATGCTTTGATGCAAGGTGTGACGACCCTGGTTTCAGGAGAGATCCAAAGGTGTGAGAGGTTCTAACTGATGTGCTTGTTAGGGATGGGCATACATTTATAGGATGGACAGGTAAGGGGAGGGAACACAAAGGACAATGGGTTGTTTTTTTTGTACCTCAAGGAGCTGAGTGGGGGGAGTCTCTGAGAAAAGGAATCTGAAAAATTCAGTTAGCACTAAGAGTATGAACATGACAATTTTAAAACTCTAATTTCTGTTACAGCACATAGTTGTTTTCTAAAAAAGATAACCGACAAATATATTTTTATACATTAGATATTTTTGAGAGAAAAAAAAAAAATAATTAGGTGGGGAAAGCTATTTAATCATCACATTTCAAATACAAGAGTATTCTCAGACTAAAATTTGAGATTATTTTGTCACTGAAGCCTGTAAAAAAACAAAAGTTTTTGTCAATACATTTTTTTTTATCCCCAAACTAGTAGCTCTGAAGTTCCCATTGTATGAAAAATTAGACAATGAATTAAGACGATGAAGAAAGAAGTAAGTTTAATTGAATCCCTATGTTGAGGGGGAAAACACAACACAAAAAATAAATATAAAGCAGCAGAAATGACATTGTCAATAAAGTCTAAAAAAGTAGAAATGTTGTAACTTTTTCATGAGGGACTTATTGTTCTAAATGAATTGACGCCAGCTGCTTCAGAATTTGTTTGAGAAGTCATCTTCCAAGACGGTTCTTTTTATTTATTTATTTGATTCATGACTGTGCTTAATTAGCGTTTTTCTTCTGCACCAAAATACTAATCAACTCCCTCTTACATAGAAGCTGAATCAATGCTGCAAAACCAGTCTTGCAAGAGGATAATAACTCTGTTACTATTAACAAGTTAAACCACACCACAGAAATACACAGAAGCATTTTCCTTCCCACCTTAGACATTTATTCATCTGCTAATTTTACAGGGAAACAATTTACGTTAAAAATTCAGGCCAATTTGACAAAAGTGTGATGAGTGTTTCTTTTAAAAACGAGAACTTGTTCAAATCTAAATTGACAAAGTCATCTAAATAACCCATCCCCACCTGCACACAGCACAGTTTATTCACATCGGCCCCATACATCCTGAAAATATACACATGTTCAAAACGAGACACAATTTTTATATTCTACAGTTTAGGAAATGTGCAGTAAAGATGTGATACCAATGTCAAAAATAAAAAACAGACAGATATATAAGAATATTTTTTTACAAGACGAAATCCCGAGATAAGTGAACAAGACGTTGACTCTATAATGAAGATACAGGTTACTTAAAGCCATTAATCAGAAGACTGGTTGGACCTTTTGGAAAATGTGAACATATTAGATTAGCTTATCTGACAAATTACAAATGGTGGGAAACCATTAGCCAGGCTTTACTTGAAAACTGCTGAGTTACATGGGAAAAAAAACATTCAAGTTTTTATTGCTGTTACAAATGTGTTTGTATGCAGACATTTTCTCTTGTCTCCGGTGTTTTGCTGTTGGGTAACTGTTATTTCACATCAACCCAACAGACGTGAATGTGTTTTTTTAAACTGAATTGACATAGGTCTTTGCCACCAATAAATTTGTGATGCTTCTTTTCAGACGTCAGAAAAACGGAATATGTCAATGCCACATTACAATTACTTCCTGTTTGTAGCTCCAAGTCGAAGCTAAGAACATTTACATTTGACTTTTAACACCGGACAATTTAGAATTGCTGATGGCGCACTAACTTGCGGGCACACACACGGAAGTGGAAATCTATTCAGACAAATGCCACAGGAGCTTTTTCTTTATTTGTTTGGTTTTCATGACATTCGTTTGACACGGTGCTGCATGGTTTCTGGCTTGATATCGTTTATTTTTGGCTAAATAATTTCAGTAAGCATAAGACCTAATGGTTAAATATCATTACAGACTATCATATAAGTGTTAATGTGTGGAAAAATTGGGTTTTATGAAACTTCCACAACCACACTAAGAATTTTTATGGTGATTTTACATGTTCAAAGCTTCAACTGTGAGCACTTGGCTTTCTTGATATATTTCATCGATTCTCAGCTTAATGACTTACTGACGTAATGCTACTTCTGTAACAAACTGACGGATAGACTTATGTTATATATCCCAGATTTGAAAAGGGTCTCAAAGTGAACGAGGACTGATCTATATATCATACAATGTAAGAAAACAATTCAAATTATACAAAGTTTTTAAAAATAAAAATACACCTCAAACACAGTAAACAAGAACCAGGTGAGAAAATGGGTCAAAAGCTCTGGTTAAAGGTTGTGCCCTAGGAGAGCATTTAATTGAATTCCTCTGTAGTGAGCAATGGAGTGTGATGGCTGTTTTTACTCCGTGTCAACCTTCGGCTGCCGTGTCCTCCGTCAAACCAACGCATTGGCAGCAAACATGGCAGAGATGGTGGCGACTGCCAGGCTCAGGACAGAAGTCCCGGGCAGGCCGGGGGCAGCGTTGCACAGGTCGCCGTCGCAGCACGTCTTCAGCATTTGGTAGAGGGTGGCGTTGGAGTTACTGGTGGGGAAGTTCACCTCTTCAGAAGCGTTGCATTTTGATCGTTCGAGGCAGCCCTTCATTTTGATATCCACAAAGCCAGCTGTGGAGCGACAGAGAAACTGTGTTGGTATTTTCTTAAGTGGGATTTAAACACTGATAATTGACATTTTCAGATTTTATACTTAACCACGAGACAATTTCTATGTTACTTTGTGTGGAGATATAAAGCTTTGGTAATGGTCCACAACTGTATCGGGAGTGGGCCTATGTTAATAACTGGGCTATGCTAATTGACATTTAGAATATAGATGAAATCGTATGTCTGAAACTCTCATAAATACTCTAAAACTCAGATTACTGCTGAGTCACTATCCATGTTCTTGTTTTACATAAATGGCTTTTTAAATTGGCCAACTCTCAGTTTGAATGTGAACATAGAATTTTGGATTTAAATCACCTTTTTCTACCTGACATCTCAATGCTTTCTTTACATTAATCCAAATTTATCCTAAATTCAAGCGGTAAAAATATTTTTTTGACTATTCATCCAGGCTAGATCACTAAAATCTGAAATAACAAATCTACCCCAGACTAATTTCAAAAGGGAGTGTGAGCCACTAGGTATATGTTTATTTATGCTGTATTTATGATGTATATTCACGATAACGTTTACTTAACTGTCACCATCCCAAGTATCTCACATTGATAATCTTTCTGCAGCCTGTCACAACTGACATATTGGTCATTAATCAAAAAGAGTGAGAGATTCAGGCAGCGATTAGCTGATTATCGGGGTTTATCATTTGAGAACTTAATATTATCGATACATACCTGTAACAGCCACATTTTTCAAAACGTAAGACTGACAATGGTAGGAAAAGTTTAATTCTATCATTTATGGTAGATCATTTAGCTGTCTTTTCTTTTTTTTGCTTTGTTATGCCTCTTATATGTTAACTCAAGTTCAAATGACAGATTACCAGCCGAATAAAGACTAGTTAGTTAGTTTCTTCAGGTCCCTAGATGAACCTGTTTTTCCAAAGTAAATGAATCACTAACGTTTTGTCTCAATCTTTCTATAAACATGTTATACCCTTTAAATTCATGATTAAAACCCCTGTATGTGTGTTACAGAACACTGACTCCAGGAATGCTGCGGGTGGGGTTTCATTTGTGTTGACAACAGGACTGTTTTCAGGTCAGATGTTTTCTTTTGATAACAAGTGACTCACCTGCTTTGCCGACACCACTGAAGCAGAGTTCCCCTTCATTGCATGTGGTTTTCGTGGTTATGCACAGGCTGCCGAAGCCAATGCTGCATTTGTAGCACTCCAGAGCTTGGCCTGTCATGAAAAGAATAACAAAGAATCTGTATGAATAGGTTTGAAACAGGTAACGAAGCACCCGGCTGAAGGCCGAGAACACAGGGACTGCTACAGTCACCATGAGATTGTGCCACAAACCCTCTATTAATGGACCGGAATCACATTTGATCTGACGGAAAAAAACTTGTGGTGAGAGCACAGAGTAAATCTCTACCATTAAAACAGTGTTTTTACTTTAACATTTTAAGCTAAAACCCCATCAAGGCTATTAGATGTGCATTGATGCTAGAAGATTGCTTCCCATTTCAGGGAATCTTAGTTGGAATTTATTCAAATTTGGTTTATTTCAAACTAAGCCCCCTGTTTCCAGCCTCATCATGAAATCGCTTCTTCCCACATAAGTTGAACTTGTATTTGCAAACCCACCCAAGACCAATTTTAAGCCCTCTAGACCCAACAGCTGTGAGTCCATACCTGACATAAACTACCAACTAGCATGGCAGAGAGAAGATAATAGTCACCTGTCTCCATAGCAAGTCATTCCTTTGCACAATGGAACCTCTTAAGTGAGTCAATAGTCACGGCATATTGACAGAGGACACAGATAACTGGGTTAAAAGGTATTCATCAACTCAGGATTGCTACCCCTTTGAGATTGTTCAAACTACCTCTCGAGGGTTGAGAAAAAACTTGTTATCCAAAGAACGTTTTTCCAAAGTTAAATCTGAATCTAGTTGAAATGGGGTGATATAGATCAAGTATCATAAAACCAAATATATGCCAATTTTTTTTAAGTGGAACTACAAACGTGTTATTGCCAAGTTTTGGTTAAATGTCCCAACCACAAAACACGTCACTCCAGTTTCTACCTTGGAATCTTGTGACTGTTGCTATTACATGGAGTACACGCCTATCAGTAAGAGAACATGTTGTGGTACACAATGTTTTGTGTTGTTATTTGTTCTTCTGTTACAACTCTGTGGCAGCGGAAGTTGTGATCTTATGTGACTGTAGGGAACAAAATAGTCCAGTCACAGTATCAATGTGCCAACTTTCATGTAGAAGGCCTGCCAATACCTCCTAACATTTAGCTTTTTGGTGTAAATGTAAAAGCGTTGAACCTGTATTCGGTGGTTTGGGTAATGGGTATTTATCGGCTTCGGCTCTGATCGGCATTGATGCAACATTGCAGTCTCAAACCAAAACACGAAACATGCACACACTGATCCAAATGTTTTAATCTCATAAAACAGCCTCAGATTATGAAAATAACCCATATTTTTCTGTTTTTGAGGGTAGTCATTTTTAATTAAATTGAAAAAGACAACTACCAGCAACGTGAAGAGACTTAATTGGCTTGTTTTCCTTCAAAGTTTTCATTTTAGGCCCTAATTCTAAATGGTTTGGCTGTAGTTTAGATTTTAAATCCATTCATCCACACTTTGTTCAAAATATGCAACAAAGGGCACAAAAAATAAACTAAAGATATTACCTTTAGCAATTAAAAGTAATAGTTGGAGTGAGCTGATGTGAAAGGCAGCGATAGATTCACATTAAAAAAAATTCCCTCTCACGCCATAAGATAGAAGAAAAAAGCCAGCATTAGTGCTTTAACATGAAAGCAAATTTCTCTGGTTTGTGTGACACACAGCTTCATAATGGGCAGCGGGACATCATGACATAAATTAAGATTTAAACAAAGATTTGGCCATTGCCGCAGGTGCACATTGCCTCATGGAACAAACCTTTCCATCGGGTCGCCCTGAACTAATGCGCTCACATGTTCGCTTGCAACATTTCTCAATCTTGATCAAGTTCATATTTTAAATCCCACCTTCTTCTATCAAACTTCAGTGGAAAATGCATCATAAACACTCTAAACCAAAGCATGAAATTAAACTGCCCAAAAAAGTCTAGGAAACACTGTATTGATTGTTTATGGCGCGCACACACACAAACAAACATGCACTTTGACACCTTTCTACACAGAGCAGCACCACACCCTGTTTCGCTGGTTTCGGTCACACCCAACCTATTGAGGGCCTTCAAATCCTTTCCTGCAGCTCCTATTAATCTCTGACTTTACAAATAAGACTGCAATGTATTTTGTGGTGAGCTGGAATCTCAACTCTTCATTTATGAAATGTGTCTATTAAAAGAAATGCACATTCAAAGCTTAAGTGAGTCAGATATGAACCTCCTTCTTTATTCTTGTTATTTGATCTAATTTTTTTTATTTATTTTGGAAAATGATTCAACCAAAATAATGATAGATTTAAACAGCTTTCACCAGCTGAATCAGTGGGCTCTGCTTTTCTGGTCCGGGCCTTTAGCCAAGTCATGGCAATCAGTGAAAAGTTACTTTCGGGTGCAGCTGTCACGCCCGATTCCGAACACCTCAGCGTCCTGCAATGCTGTCAGACCAGTTGCAAGTTCCCTTGTCTCCTTTTGTTGTCTGAAATCCAGTCCGACGGGATCCTCGTCGCCACTTGGCCGTTCCGAAACACACTCATTGACGCAATCGTGTTGTGGGGGATTTTTTTCGCGATCGTAAAACCGTCTAAAGTTTTGTGAGGCTAATGACAGAACCTGAGCAGATGATGACACCCCGGCCCAGCAGCCTGTTTCCTCTCGGCAGCAGACATACGTCAGCCTCTAGCTGGTTGTCTCGCGAAGCCATTGACGGCAGCCTGTGGCATTAAAAAAAAGGGTTTTCTATATACGTCAAGTCACTCTGACACCAGACCACAGTGGGTCAAAAGCTGTCTCACTCTCAGAATATGTTTAACCCAGGGGGCCTCAATTGAAGAATCAAATCAACAAAAAATAAAAAATAAAACCAACAAAAACTCCTTACTCAATTATCTGATTGGATTTCTACTGGTTTTTGAGTCATGAACAAATACTGATTAATGTAAGAGCATAATTAGTTCACCTTTTCCAGGTTCACCAAGCTGGACCTATGAAGGTTTTATCGGAAAAAAAAAAGCAGGACTAAATTATTGAGATAATTTATTGCTTAATATAAGTCAGTATTTCTAAGTCAGTATTTTTAACATATAAACAGTATTTTTTAATGGTATTTTTTCTGCTTAATGTGTTAAAACAACATAAAAACTGATGATTAATTGTGACAAAAGTCACAACAAGCTAACCTAAAAACAAATGTCTATCCCTTTAAACTGACTTAAATTTCTGTTCAGAGCATCTTTATTATGCTGTTTATACTGATAACAACTTGAGGACACCTTTGAAAAAGTAAGGGAGAATGTTTTTGACACAACTAGCTATTAGAAAATGAACCTCTGGTGAGTGGTTTAAAATGAAGAACCATTTGTACAGACATCTGTCCAATCTCAGTGTGTTATTTCTAAAGGAAGACATTTTGACATGGTTCATATTTGGCGCCAATTTGAAACTTTTAGGTGTGGCACTAAAATTTTATTAGTCTGCTGGGAGAGGCTGGTCTAACACTGCCCCCTACTGCTCTTCCGTCACAACTGCAGGCTCCATCTCAAATTTTAACCTCAGGAGCCTTACAACAGACAATAGCCACAACAGAGCCGTCACTAAACCTCCATTAATAATCACGTGACCGATGGACAGTAGGAAATCATTTGATACCGGGAAAGAACAGCTCTGATATGGAGTTTAATGTGAGTCGCAGTAGGCGTGGCAGCCTTGGGCTCCAGTTCTAACTCGATGCTGTTTGTTTTGTGTTGGAAGGGTTGTTTCATGTGTCAACATCTTGTCATAATCTCCAGTGATCTAACAACCTAAGAGGGATTTAAAACGTCTGAGACGTAACAGAAAACACAAGCTCTTCCCAAGCACAGACTATTCCATAAACACTCCCTCTTCGAGGGCTGGCTAGTGGTATTTCAGGACACTGACGGAAACATGTCACAAACGACACAGGCTGAAAACCCGCATCACGTGCCAAAGCGTGGAAAAGTCGCCTGGCAGGACGAAATGACACCAAGAGTCCTGTTAGTGAGAAAACAGCTTCATAGCGTGAGACGGACTGATGTTTTCTGTCAAACTCTTCAAACACGAAGAAGCTTGTGTCCACATCGTACCGTGATCAAATGAGAAGATAAATCCTTCTGTATGTGTCTGTTCATGAGTGAGATCAGGAATGAAGGCATCTTTTGTGGGAGTTGCCATATTTTCCATAATCTTCTAAAACAGTTTAATTGTGGATTCATGTCTAAGCAGAGAAACTATTGCAGAGCTGGGCCTGTTTGGCTTGAGATAAAATCCATAATGTATAGAAGAACCTAATTTATTTAATTTTCATTTAATTGTTTAATGTTACTTCTTTAACCTAACCACTTCCAAGCAGATTTTTCATTCTCTTTAAGATTAAAAAACTATTTGTTCATCCTCCAATAAAACAAAACAATCATGAAGAGTTTCATTTGTACATTTTAAACAACCTTTTACATTATCTCTTCTCACAGCTGCCCCCATATTTTCTGTATCCCTGGAAATTTGGTCTCATATATTTGGTCTCATCTGGTCTTATAAGTAGCCAAGATCTAAAGGGAGGTGAGAGGTTTTTCGTGGGGAATCCTCTCGGTAGCATGTAACATGTCGACTTCAAACAGTTGCAGAGCATTTCTCTCACAAACAAACATACTAAACATACTCATCCCGGTTTTGGTCACTGACTCAGTGTGTGATTAAGTGCGCTTATGAATCATTTTTCCTTTCGCAACCAATCATTAATGTGAACCCTTCAGGGGTGAAAACTTAAAAGTTAAGTTACTTGGAATGTGAAAAAAGCATCCAGGAAGGTAATAGGGGTCCTTTTTAGAAGGTGTGGTTTGTAATATGAGATAGAAAATACAGGGATGAGGGTCTCCCAAGGACAAAACCAAATGACAAAAGCCCCACAACACAATGCAAACAGAACAAATGCTATAGTCAGTTACCATCTGTGGAGGAGGAATTTGAGACTTGGGCAAAGCCCTGGAACTGTTTCAAGGTGAGGAATTTCTCATGTAATGCCTGGCGGGCTGGGGCATTTAAGAGAGTGGAAAGAAACTATGATCCTCCCTGTTCCACAAACAGACTGACTCAAACCGTCATGCAATCCCAGCATTAAAGTAAAGCCTGGGATGTGCGCAGATGGTAAACAGACCAAAAGACAAGCCACAGAAATTAAAACAATTCAATATTATCAGTGATTATTACTTTTTCCAAACCAATCTATTTTTGTAAAAACCCTTTTGGTAGAATGGGGGGATATTTCGCTTTTTGATTTGACACACTGAATAATCTGGCTTTTTAGCTATAAAAACTTCAGGCTACCTTTGATAAAGCATGACCTATATTTTTAATGCATTTACTTGCTTTTAGTAAACTAGAATTTTGGTAGATCATGACTTCGCCAAAAAAAATGTATCAACTGTGAACAATAACTATCCAAAGCGTTGGGCTAACCAGCCAAATGCTAACTTCAAATGAACTGGAATTCATGTTATTACAGCTCACCATTTTTGTTACTTTAGGCTATTTTAGCATATGAAGTTGATGTTTAATGTAAGTGTCATACTGTCTTGTTTTCAACTAATTTAAAGATTATTGTAAATTGTTAACATCAATGCGGTGAGGTCAACCCACACCAAATAAATTAAAACTCAACCAAAGGCATTATACTTTGATCATTTTTAAAGATGGCCCATAAAACCATCACAGATTATTTTATAACACTGGCTTATTAAGTAGCTAATGTTCCACACAGTAGTAGGATTTTGCCATCATTTCTGCATTGTGTCACTACCCCACACTGGAGTACCAACAAGCAACAGTGTAAAACTGTTATTAAACTCTTCAGCTCATTTTGACTGTCAAATATTTGGTCGTTTTTGGTGATTAGACATGAGGAAAACACAAAAGTGTCCAAAAATAAAATATAATCATTGGAAAAAAAAACCCTTCAACCCCAAAATGCTGCTTCAAACTGGGCAAAAGGAAACAGTGCCACCAGCTATCCACTCACCTCTCCCTGTCAGCATTCTTATGGTTAGTTGTGAAAAATAAGATAATATCATCCCTATATATAGGCATAACTTTGAAAATATACAGGTTTCCTCAATTCTATTTCCAAATACACCAAGACAAACAGAAGTATTCAAAGGCAAAATAGTCCCAAAGCAGCCTATACTAGTCAAATGAGCTAATCTATCACCTTTTTTTATTTAAATATAACTCTATGCAAATATATATGGCAGCACTGCTGTCAATGTTTTGCAACGAAAATCTGCGTTTATTTGATTGGTGAGCAGATATAATATTGTTATAATTTATTGGCGCATCCCCCGTTAAACTGGGAGATGTTTTCACTTGTGGACACACCCAGTCCAACTACAGTCTCAAATTCTACACCCCTCAGCCTGAGCACACCCAGCAAAGCAGGCAGGGGCAAAAAGACGCGCTGAAAGGGAAACGCGGTAATATATCCAAGTTCTTATGCAAACAAAACAGGAGATCTTCCTCTGCTTCTGCACACAGCAACAAAGTGACGGGACACTTCAAACATTTGCTTGGAAACATAACAGGTTAAACAAATATGAGCTTGCCGTTCATATTTTTTGGGATAAAAAAACATAAATTGTGATGACGAGACGTTGCAGAGAAGACAGAGAAACACACATTTAACGAATGTTTAAGAAAAATAAACGTTTTCCGAGGAATCGCTTTAAAAGTAACAATGCAACTTCAATTTCTTTAAAAAATACTTAATAAATTTAACTTACCAATGGCAAAGCAGACTCCGACGGCAAAAAGGAAAACAATTCTGTTCATGTTGGAAAAAGGGCGAAAATGAGGATCTGTCAGGAGAAGCTGGTTACTCTGGCAGGTTCAGACCGTTAGAATCTCGATCAGGGCTGAACTTCTGTGGTGCCATGGCTGCACTTATAATCCCTTCCCACCATCCGAACGTCACCGTTATCCAATCAGAAGCGTCCATCCGGGTCACCCACACAGGTAGATCCTCTATGTGAGGGGACAGGGCCAAAGACAGGAATGCGTCCTATGAGGGCTGATATCTGAAACCGGTATCGATTCCTCGTGAAATCGGGCGAAAGACATAAAGCTTTGTTTCAGAAAAATCCACATTCACTCACTGTTCTGATCTTACCATTGCACTTATTAGTATGCCTGGCATCACATTATGGTAAAAGGAAGGGAAAAGCAGGAGGTCTGAGTTTTTTTTTCCATTATTTCCATCAATTGTTGCTTTTTTCTTGTAAGAATTCTGTAGATGTTTTTCAGCCTAAAATACCCTCTTTATGAAATTAAATTAAATTTTCAAATTCAGGGCTTTTTAAGTTAAAATATTAATCACCTGCTTTGTCAAAATGGTCTCATAAGAGGCCACAGCTCCCTGCTAAAGATTTTTTCCTAGTTTCACACTTAAATGTAAATTTGTCCCCCTTTAGCTTGTACACCAGGGACAGTTTTCTATTTTTCTATTTTAATGCGTCTTCATGTGAAAAAGGCTCCACAGAGACACATCACACTTAACCTATTGGGACTGATTTTGTATTGGACACTATTATCATATTTGAAATGCTGATAAATGAGGGTAAAACACAAAACTTAAGTTATAACATAGGACGTTTCTGAACCCCGCTTTTTCAATAGCACTTATCAAGTAGCTCCTGCTTTCCTCCTGCAGGCCTGCATGGAAACTTTGGCTCTGGTCTCGGTGTTCCCGTCCTGGTGACACTCAGACCTCACCTGCTATTTAGATAAAGAAAGACAAATGCAGATCAACAGTGTTCTCCTTGTAGAGATTCATATCTTTTTAAATGAATCCTCCTTTTTTCTATTACCAGAAGATAAGAGTCAGGTGCTCATAACAAGCTGACAGAGCCTATGCAGTAGTTATTTGTGACCTTTAGCATCATCATAGAAGAGTGCCGGTCTCACAGCATTTACCTCACAGCTGAAGCAGCTTACCTTCTCTGTATTAAAACAAATACATTGGAAAGCTGTGAGGTTTCTGATCCAACAAGAAAGAGGAATACATCTATTCTTAACCAGCGTGGGAAATAGGTGTAAGTTACGAGTAGGATTCATTTCCAGGCGTATGTTCTTCTACTGGCTTCATTGCAGCTCCCAGCCGTCCAAATCAAAGGTTGGGATGAAGCAAAATTTCCTGAAAGCATGTAAGAGTGTGACTTGACTATTTCTATAAAGACTGAAGGCCAAGTATATTGCAAAACCTAAACTTAAATTTCACGCATAGTTATTTCACTCATTTCACGTTTGACTGGCTCTCTGACATTCACCTTCTTATTAAGCCTCTGACACAGCTGGCAGCCGGGTTGCTTTTGTATGAGTCCTCTCTTGGTAACTAATTTATGAGAATTACTGTATCCTAAAAAGAGAAAAGTTACTGGGGTGTTTTCTTTTTGTTGACTGCGGGGTTAAAGCAGACAGGTTTGTGGAAAAATCGTCCGTTTCCATTGTTAAACCAGAAGAACAGAAGACTGAGCGTACATTTAAAAAGTACTGCATGAATCCAATCTAAAAGTGCATTTTTGCTTTTCAGAATCAGACCTGTAAAGTTTGCATGTTCTCCCTATATGTGTGTTGTTTTTTTCTGTGGGTACATAGATCAAAATCATGCATGTTAGGCTAATTAGCTACAAAAAATGGATCAGGTCTTTATCGACACAACAAACACTTCAACTCTGTGAAATTGTCTTATCTTAACCTTGACTTCCTCCCCCTTGTTTAATACTCAGGTATTATGACTCTTTATCGCTTGCTATTGTTTGTTCTTCTGATGGCTTAAGACCAAACTAAACGTAAAGGTTTAAGTCACACTTGTGTGCTGTTAAACTAAAGGAAGGGAGGTTTCTGCCGTTGTTTCCTCTCCCTGTGAAGTCTGGCTTTGAGCAGGTCGGTTCTTGCCCAGAGTTTGTGCCCAAACATTTTCTTTGTGAGTCCGTATGCTACAGTGTGTTTGCAAACAGAGGACAGAAGCTGGAGGGCTGTGGATGATGGTCATGATTAAAAGTGAATCTTTGCACAGTGAGCGAGGGTCGTGGGTGTGTTTGGTCGTTTCTGTGTCCGCGGTGTGGTAATCATCTGACTGGAATGGAAGCAACATCCAGTTTTCTGCTGCAGGCGGGAACAGTTTTGAAATGACATCGTCAGAGTCGTGGTTTTGAAATAGTTTGCTGAGAGGGAGGCGGTCTGGGCTCTGTGAAATGCCTCTGTTGTTTTGCCCACAGATCCTCAGTGTTTCTCAATTCTTGACACTTGGAAAGAGGGCGTGAGGCAGGGACCTGACAAACCTTTTTTCTACCAGCTGCCGAAATGAAGACTTGGTTTGAAAAGGCCGACAGAAGACAGAGACAAAAGCAAACCTTTAATGGAATCATCATTCTAATTTGCTCTGTTCAGTTTGTGATCTTTGTTTTGTTTTGAAAAATTTACTACATTTAATCTACCTTTTGTGCCTTGACCACATCACTCATGATTGAATCATGGATGCTGATGTACAATCACATAATGTATTCTCCATCAAAAGGATGCAAAAAGGGTGGAGAGTCAAAGAGAGTTGGAAAGAGACTTTGGGCTCTGAGACTTCTCTTCCCTTTGCACAAAGTATTGGAAGCTACAGAACTTTGTCTGTGTCTGTGTTCTTCTTGTTGTAATTGTTTGTAGGGTTTTTAAACCTGACAGAAATAAAATGATCCAATGAGATTAATCCACAAAGGTTAAATACAAACATAATTTTGAATATTTATTCAGCCCTTTTTCATCTGTAAGACAACTCTACCTAATATCGGTGCTGTGGGTCGCATGCGGAGGGCTCGTGACTGGAAAAATGGACATCACCGGTGTGCAGTCCAAAGGTTTTGTCAGGAAGTTTTGGGCAAGTCAGTAACCAGGTATAGTATAACAAGAAACACAATGAAACTCTCAGCAGCTCCACAAAAGGTGGGTGAGTAACAGAAGAGAAAGGGTACATACAATAGTCCCTGAGAGTTACCCGGACTATGATTAAATCATTCTTTAAAAAAAGAAAAGAGCATATCTCACCTATTAATCAAGTGAGACCAGGAAGAGCACAGCGGTGCTTTGAATAAAATGAACAGAAGTCAGAATGCAAAACCAGAAACTGTTTCAACTCAAACCTATGCAGGATAAAAAGCTAACACGTGATAATCTCCACAGTCTGGGTGTCACCGAGGACACACATAAGGAGCTCATCCAATCTGGACAGAGGAACAAAATTTATCTGACAGTCGTGACACATTTTTAGCTGACACTGTTGTCAAGAAACTATGAATCAGGCAGTTACCAGCAAATGATATCAACTGACACCCCGTGCAATGTGGACATGTGAGAGTAGCTGTAAACATGTTTAGAGCTCAGTACATAAAGGCTTTGGTGTCTGTAAGCAACAGGGAGGGGCTGTTTAACCATGGATTTTTCTTTTTATCCTAATGAACTTCCATGTTGATCTGCAACTGTCCGTCCACCTTTTATGTACAGCCGGACCGTCTCCCTAAAACCTTCTACCTCCTCTGCAGTCTCAAGGGAAAACTGTGTGCCATTTTTATCCCCACTTATTTGATGTATACCTCTTCAGATCCTGTCTCTAACATGATTTACAGTGTTGTAGCTGTAGGGCATACAGTCCCATGATACAGTCCTCTGGCAGTTCTCAACTATAAAAACATGTTCCTGCCTGGCTGTGCAGAGCATTTTGGGTTGTGATAAGATGCCTTTAACAACGGTTTCCATAAAAACTTCATTTAGGGACTAAAACATTTAACTTAGTTATTGATTTGGATACGTTGCATTGGAACCAAAAGGTTTGGGTCTATATTCATCCATCTTAAATCAAATGCATATAAATTGGAGCTATATCACTTTCTGAATGGGTGACGTACTCCTCAGTGTAATGTATTTTGCCTCTTTATGAGCTTGAATTGCTATTAGTAGTTGGTTTCAGAGCACAATCTAACAGGTTTTTCTTTACAAATTCCAAATTACTTCACATGGCCTAATAAATAGAATATCACCATATCTAATAATACATATATAGATGGACAGAGATACATCTTCAGAACTATTTGGAGCCATAAAAACTGAGTTTGATTTCATGGTGACTGAACATGCAGAGCATCATTATCAACTCTTCTGGGAGTGACATATAATTCAAGAATAAAAAATTCAGTGAAATAAGTACGGTGGCTGTTTATAAAGATAAAAGGGAACATTAAAGCAGCGAATTTAGCAAAAGTACAGCCAAAATTAGGCCAGTCCTGCAAAACCTGAATAAAAAAAAGTACAATGTAAAAAGCTCCACATGGTGTGGCTTGATCGGAGGAAGAGCTGTTAACTTGTGCTTGCCAATAAACAACCTGTTGAGCAATAAGGGACTAAAACAGCTGGAAGGTCACACATGTGCAGACTTGCACATGTATGCTGAGCAACAGCCGTAAACCTCTCACAAGAATTTACTATCTATTAGCATGTTGTATAAGATTTTTCATTTAGGCGTTTCTGTTTACGTTTCAACTTTACGTCTTCTCTCTTCGTTAATTCCAACCACGATTTGCTCTTTTAAGGCTTTGAGAAACGTTATGCTTTCAAAAACAGTCAGCTTTGATTTCTGAAATGCAGCCTTGGTTGGATCTTCACCAGAAATGGTGACATTCTTGCAGACCTCTGCACACGCTCTAGCGGCAGAGGAAAGCCTCTGAACAGGCAGCATGCATTAAGGACTTTTTTTATTATTAAACGTCCCACTCCCAGGAGACATGTGAGAGAAAGTGTTCACTCTGTTGCTTCTGGGTGTGGCAGGGCCGTATCATTTTACACAGGTACAGCTTATGCCGACCACTCTGATACACATTACACAGGGTTGGAGATGCCTGTGGGCCTGACACATTAGCCGTTGTTTGCCGCACTGTTAATGAGGCGCTAAAGGCATGGGCAGAGGCTGACCGGTTATATAACTATTACACACAGGTGAGTTGATGTATTCGCTCGCAGATGGAGAGAAGAGGGGCAGTTCCCAAGATGTGGTTTGAGGCTTTCCTTAGTCATGAGGGAAACTCCTCCTCTTCTCCCACTGGAAAATATTACTGTGTTCAGCCACATGAGAACAACTCAGCCCTGTTGGTTGGTTCCCTAAAAACAGCTGCTGTGCAGAGGGGAAATTACCCTGTCTGTGATTCATTCTTAAAGCAGCCAAATATTAAGGTCTTAAGGTGTTTTGTGTACTTAAAGATCGAACTAAAGTGTTTTATTTTATGATACATTTTGCTCCCTTTTAATATCAGTTCTGCCTTTTTTTTTTACATATATAACAAAAAGCTAAAGAATATCAAATGGTTGATTTAAAAATAAACAGGGATGTGACGGAAAACTTGTGTTTTTGTGTCATTAGTCTGTAATTGCTTTTCTTGCTTCATGCTGCTATTTGTCAAGTCATGTGAAAAGTCGCTGGAACCACACCCCAAAAAAACAGTCATCACCTCCGCCACACGAAATCCACCAGACACATATGTGAAGAATGCAGGTACATGTGGGAGGCTGTGGTCACCCTGTGTTACACCAATAGCCACAAAAGCAGAATTTCCTTGTGTTGAAAGAAAAGTCGTGACCCGGGAGAATATGAAAAGAAAATAGAAGTTTATTGAGTGTTCTGAATCCTGCTCACTCGTCCACAGCCACACAAAGACAACACAAACATCAGTTAAAATCTGGACACATAAATACCATTTCTCTTGTTCTGTGAGAACCAAAAACAGTCGCACAAAGAGGAGTGGGACTGAGAGAGGCGCGGAGGGCCTTCGGGTGAGGATGTGTGGGGCGTCTGTCCGTCTCTGAACCTGTACTTAAATAGATGACGGGGCTGGAGAGACAGCAGATGGATGGGTGAAGTGGTGGAGTGAGCAGAAGGATTCAGATTGTCAAAATTCTCTGAGAACCCTCATTCTGTGCAGGAGCAGTTTGACATTTGGGGGAACATTCAGGGGGAGCAGAGGACCGTTAACTCACTGCTCTCATACCTGTCTGTTAAACGTGCGTCACCACAGCTCAGCAAGAGTAGAGATGGTGGTGAAAATAAAATAAAAAAAATCAAAATATATCCAATGATAAACAAGTAATACATCGAGTGTATGCATTGTGAAAAAACAAACAGGGAATCGAGTCTGAGTCTGATGCAAAATTACGTTTAACTGCAAAATCCTCTGGTCAGCTATCTATGTCTTTCTAAGGAGGCCAGCAAAGGTATTAATATAGCCTTCTTTGTAATCAGGAAGTCTTTAACAATAAGCACTTGCTGATTGTTTCCCTCTTTGAAACCCAGAACACCAACAAGCCGCTAAACGCATTTGCGAGAGTGGTTACGATTTACAGGGGTGCGGCCCCCCCCCCCATCCTGGTGAGAGCTCACCAGCCGTTCCCCGGCAGCCGCTGACTGGGGCGCGACACCTGGGTATAAAAGAAACGCAAACTGCTGCTTAAATTATTAAAAACAAGAAGTAACACGTGAGCTTTAAAAACAGCCAGCACCCATAAAGCTCAGGTTTGCATCCTGCTTGGTGAAAATATACCTTTACGAGTCGACATTTTAGAGTTTCTGGAAAGACTGAACAGACAAAATATCTGGCGTGAACTAGAAGAACTAAAAACACCTCCAGAGTCGCGCCGCCCTGGCTGTGGAGACACAAGCCCGATTCACTCTCAGATGTCAAACTGTTTCTGCAGTGCAACTGAAGCTACGATGGAGGGAAGCCGACGGTCCAAACCCGCTGCTAGAGGGGGAGGGGGGCCTTATTCAAAAGTCCTAAGTAAAAACAAACATAAACCAGCACAGGCTAAACTCTTAGGTATCAGTAAAGATGTTTGACACGAGCACAGACAGCTGGGGGAGGGACGCAGGCCCCATACAACTGTCCGATGTTCTGACCCTGCGTCCTCCGAGCGGAAAGAAATGAAGAGGAACTCAATGTGGGTGTTTTTCTGTACCTTAAGGCAAATTTAACAAAATGCTCCACCAAACACGTCACACCAAGACCAAATTCTACGGATGAGCGAGACGGGGGGACAGCCCCCGGCATCCAAACTGTCTCTGCGAGTGCCCGCCTGAGTGGACATGCACGGGGAAACGGGGGGGGGGGTTACCACCCGGAGACGGAGGGTTTACCACCACCGGTCACCAAACTGTGCCAAACACAGAACCCCCGCAGAGCCTGAGGTGCAGCACGGTGTCACCGTGGGCTCTCAGATGCCCCCGCCCAGCACAGCCTCCCCCCTGCCCCCCCCGGTTTGGCACAGCAGAGTGTGGGATGGTAAACCGAACGTGTGGCTGTTTTTTGTGTATTGCATGTGTGTGTGTGTGTGTGTGTTTTTAACATCTCGCTCACACTCAAATGTTTACACTTTTCTCATATGTGCTAATCTAAATCAAAATAATACAGTCCTCATGGTGGGGAGGGGTCATCTGAGCAGCTCTGTAAAAGGCAGGCGACCCCTCTCCCAATGATTCATTCCTGTCTCTTCTCTCAGATTCTTCCTCTTCCTCCTCCTCCCCCGTCCCGGTGGCTCTAGCGGATGGCTTTGACGGGGCTCTTGAAGCTGGAGGCGGCTTGCAGCTGCAGCTGGTAGGCCATGGGGTGGATCTTAAACCCGTACAGCCTGCACAGAAAGCACAAAGGACCATCGGTCAGCTCAGTCATCTGCTTGGCTGGCAGAGCAGCGATGTGTGCTGCAGCGCTCTCACCGTTTCCCTCCACCCCGCCCCGCCCGTCTCTCAGCCGTTTAGCGGAAACTTGTTGACTTGCCATCCCAAACAGACGTCATGGACGGACACAGATCTCACAGAAAAACATAGACCACCCCGCCGATAGAGGCCAAAAGGCACAAGAAATATTGGTCGAACCAATTAAATAATTAGCAGAGCTGGAATAAAAACCCGTCTGATGCATGCAGCTTCATCATGAGGTCTCCGTTTCAGAGCAGCCAAAAGATGCAGTCTTATGAGATAATTTACAGAATTACACTCATAACAGTCTTCATATGAGGACATAAGCTGAAAATCACTGATGGTAACGGCGCTCTAATCAGTCCTGACTGCCTCAGAGAGTCATCTGATGCCGTGGAAACCCGCATCTCCCTGGATCTTATCTGAGGGAACGCCACGCTCACCTGATAGCATCAGCACAAAGAGCAGCAGGTAGATCGAGCAGAACTGATCAAAGAGAAGTCTTGTGGTGGATAAGCCGGCTCTACTGTGTGGAAGATGACAGGCATCTGGTCCACACCACACGCCATGCGTCCTGCCTGAGGTCTGCGTGTTCCCTGGAGTGCGCGCACGACGCCCGTGGCAACTATGAGAAACTACTTTGGCTGTTCTTTGTAGGCTGCACAGTGAGATATGGTGCGTTTGTGTTCACCGCGTTTCTCCCTCAGATGTCCTGATAACCAGTAATTTCTACATGATAACTGGTGATCCTGAAGTGACTTTGGACTCCTGGGGTCCTCTAATACCCCCTTTGCTTTTAGGGGGGCTGCTGAAATGCGTGATAAAAGTGCAAACACCAACATGTGGAGCTGAGAAAATTCAGCCGAGTGAGCGCTCTGCGTTTCTGTGACGGGCGGACTGGTTGTTGGTGTTTACGGGGATTAGGACCATGAGCCTGGAAACTGAAACGTGTAGGGTGTGGACAGTTGTGGCTGTCCGCTGTTTCCGTGAGACAGGAAAAACCTTTCATGCCGAACTCACGGGTTAAAGCAATATTTTCAAGCCAAGGTAAGAAACAGACGAAAGACCAGACAGTGAAAATGTTTCAAGGTAGAATCAAGAAAGTATTTCAATAAATCTGAAAATCAAACCCAGTTCCAGAGGGGTGTATTCATGTTTCATTACCATCATTATGAGCCTCTATGCAGTCACCTCTAACCCCATAAAACAGTTAAAAACTAAATGATTCATTAGTAACAGAACACAGATGATTAAGAGGTGCACGTCAGCTTCTATTAAAATGTATGTAATCACATATTCACATTCCATCAAAATATCTCATCAAAAGAAGAACTAAAAAACTAATTTTCTTAAAGCTTTTAACTATCCTTAGATATCTTTTCAGCAGTAAAAACCTTGAATACAAGTAACCTCAGTACATATAATCAGAGCTAATATAAGTTAAGAAAACTGATGTGAGGTTGGGTTTTTTCTCTGATTTCTATCACTTTTGGTTAATGTGAAATGGACCCAGGCCATCGGACACGACACCAATGTAGAGAAACCACGAAAATGTTGCTTTGTGAAGAGAAGTGGAATACTCCCACAGCCTTTATGTATCTTGAGATTACAATTGATATACTATGAAGCTAAGTGTGCGAGCAGAGACTTGTACTAGGGGTCAGCTGAGCAGTGACCTGGTAAATAAATTTGTCATAAAGCTTAAAGACAGCTGTGCTGACCTCCAAACCAACATGCTGCCTCACCACATCCTCAGAGTTCTTACTTCTTCTCAGCACTTTAGCTGATAGGCTTAGTTTTGTTATAATCGCTGGAAAACTTGAATTTAATGACCAAAATCTCACTTCATTAATTAGTATAGTCTCATGTGATTTGTATTCTTCTTTTAGTGGCATTTTATTAATTTATTATGTAACCTGCTATGTATGATATCAGATTTTTTATTACTTCTTTGTTAACTTCTCATCTGATTTATTGGTGATTTGGAAGTTGACGTGATGTGGAAGACATATTGCCTGTCCAGCCTGAGGTCTGTGTGTTCCCTGCTAACATCGACAGAAGAAATATACCGTAAATATGAAGAAATACAGCCACCATTTGTTTGCCAGTCTTTGCGGTCTAATGTGTGAGATTAAATTCAATTCAATTTTATTTATATAGCGCCACATCACAACAACAGTTGTCTCACAGCGCTTTCCAAACAGAGCAGGTCAGACCCTACTCTGAAGTTAACTACAGAAACCCAACGATATGATGCGTTTATGATGTTCCTGTGAATAAAGGTTCCCTGAGGCTGCCAGGTTGAGTCTGACTACTTTGTTTTGTGTTTACAACAATATGAGGTCAGCATGCATTTCCTAAGACAAGTTTACCTTTTCAACTTAGCTTATGTCACTAAATGTGATTTACTTTATAAGATGGGGCTGTATGTGAAGCAGACACAGGCTGCTGTGGTTTGGGAGTGGAATGCACGTCTCATTGACCATGAGACAATCCAGCTTCTCTCGTGTTCATCATTTTTATCATGTTACACACAAGAAAACCAACCAAAGTTGAGGACTAGATGTTGTCAAGCAAAACCTAGAGAATCTATCCATGTTTTTAGTTATTTGGTTCCTCCTACTGCTGGCGGGTGAAACTTTAGGTTTAGGTGTTCATTTAAGTTGGATCATTCGGTTTATTATCTAAAGCTATCAGGCAATACAATTTTTAAAACATTTCTCAACAGTTTTTCAGCATCACAATGGTGTGAGTTTTCATGCACTCCCATGACCAATAAACTGAGGTCCTGCTCATTTTATGATCGTTTGTCACAATGAGTGTTTTTCCAGCTCTGCTTTGTGGCTAAAAGGCTGTTTATCATCTGAGCAGTGGCATGATGGGAAGTAATATAGTTGTGTTCTTCCAAATTGTAACACTGTGAATATTTGCTAAATCTTTAGTGTGTAAATTTAAATTCTAAACTGGAGGGGAAGAAATGCATTTTTTCGGGAAATGTGTCCACATCTGTGACTGTGTCAGAATGATGAGTGGCTGGAAACCTGTATGCTTTGCTAACCTTGGGACAAACTGGTTGGCGGGCCTCTTGGGTCTGTACTCTGGGTGAACCATGAAGAGCATGTGCGGGAAGCCAGTGCCGAAATATGCTCCATCTGTGTGGTGGTGCCGGGAGGACTTGGGTGTGTAAACGTCCATGCATTTAGGACAATACAACTTCACCATGGCTTCTCCTGGGATGTCTGACAAACCTGTTGAGGAGGGGGAAGAAGAAGTGGATAAGTGAGTGAGGAAGAGTGTGAGGAGTTAACTACCTCAGAGATCAACTAAAACAAACAGAATAAATGCGAGATAAGGAATTGCTCATTTGGTTTCAAACTATTGATGGACAGAAGAGAATTCCAGGGAATATCTATAAAAATGTCTCTACTCACCGATAGGAAGCATTGGCTGATTCTCACAATAGACTCGGGGGCAATAGCCGAAATCTCCCTGCTGGTACTTCTCAAGCTGAAAAAGTATGAATGAGAAGAATAAACATCCCTGTAAAAATACGCTTCGATTTTTACCTCCAGTTATTGACATAAAGAGAGCTGAAACTGCACATTGATTCAATTCTTGGGGGCAAATGTAAAACATTGATTTACAAGCTTTGACACCAAGATTGCCACAACTCTTGTACATCCAAAAGTAAATCCAATAAATAAATATAAATGGCTATATATGTAGCTGAGACGAAAAAACACACACACATCTCCATGGCAAACATCAAAAAGGTGGATTTGGCGCCTACCATTTGTGCGATCCCTCGGTTGGTGAGGATGTAGCGTGCGTGGATGAGGCCATAAAGCATCTCAGCCGCCTGCTCAATCAGGTCACTCTGGTTGGGATTGTCCTCCAGTTCTTCATCTGAAAAAAAGGAGACCGAAAGAAGTCTCAGGATGGAAAACCTTTTTCAACATTTGAGTCTTTGTTGACAGCTGAGATGCACAAAGCTGTGCCGAAAGCGAGCATCAAAGGGACGGGAAAAACCAGGAGCTCTAGAGGAAGGGGGGCAATTGATGTTTTTCTGAACGAGCCACATCAATGGAAAGACCAAAATCTGAAATTGTGAGCCAGTGTGTTACGACATAACTTGCTAGAATTAGAAATCAAAGACAAACTACACAGTCGGGCCTCTGAAGAGTTGAGATCAAGCTTAGATGAACCTTCAAACAACTGAAACACATCCCATGTGTGTGTGTGTATGATCAACAGTCATTTCATCTGTGATGGACAAACCTGGTTCAAGGTCCAGAATCATGTCGAGGGCCTGACGGTAATGAGGGACTTGCTCATTGAGTCCTGTCAGGTTGAACTTGTCCTGGATATAGTCTTCATCCACCTGTTGTTTGATTATATGAACAAAACAGTATTAATCATGACAGAATCGGGAATTATTCTCGTTGTGTATGTGAGCCTGTGAGGATTGTTTAAATGTCACAGTAAGGTCTCACAGATTCCCCTGTGTGCAATGAAATTAATCTGCTTGAATATTACCAATTACTACTTAAACAAGGATGTTTGATAAACGCATCCGGATGAGAATGGGGAAACTCACCTCGCAGAAAAATTCATTTCCCCTTAGTCCACAGAACCAGGAGATCCATGACACTTCCTCTGAACTGCTCATGGCTGAAGACCTTAACAAATAAGAGGGGGACACAAAATACATGAGCAGCATTCATTTCCTGAAACCAAGGCGGAAACACCTCTTAATTTCGCTGTAAAAAGGTTAAACTGGGCAGACTGTATTAATGAGCCGTGATTTTTTTTAAAGTATGCACATTGAGTCCAATAGTAAATAACCAATTAACTCAGTATCTTTGTAATGTAATTAAAAGTTTAATCGGCTAAACCCTATTAGAGCGAAGCAGCTAATCACTGTAAACTTCTACAAGCTTGTTTGAAAACGAAACCCCCAGCCGATGCACGTTTATCGCCTTTACATCCACATCAAGTCCCCACTATAAGGAAACAAATTTTATATATCTGACGTTGAATATGCACATTATTTAAACGCAGAGGTTAATGTAGCCAAGGTTAGCTCGCCGAGCTAAAAACGCTAACAGCTAAAGACGCCGACAGATCCAATATGGCGCATCATCGGGAAAAAAGGCCTCGTGACAAAAATCATCTTTTCACGCCGCTCCAAATCCCCGCACTTTACAGATTCTGCATGCGTGGGCGTTCAACTTAGTACACTTACCTGGGTTTAAACTTTTATATTTCTATAAACTCAAAAACAACAATTAAGCGGCCTCACGGGTGTAAATAAGATGGACACCCCCTCCTAGCTCACCCCGTAGCTTACGCTCTTCCTCTTCCTGCGGCCAAAGACAGGAACAGCGCGGCTCCCGGCGCGCTGCTGCCACTCAGCGGTTACCGCCAGCTACACACCCAGAGTCCAAACGATAACACAGAGAACATACCAATGTTTTCTTAAGTTTAATGGGTGCAAATTAAATGGACTACAGGCAGGTCAGTTTAGCACCTTGCCGACGGAAGCCATTTAAACAAGCTCTGTCTTAGGGAGGTTGATGGTATTTCTCGATTCTTTTTTATTGATTTGCATATTAAAGTTTTATCCTATCATTTGTGGGTAAAACAAAAGGCATGTGTTTAAAGGTGCCCCAGGACCCATGGAGGTTCTAATATTGTGTACTGGTCCTGCCACAAAGATGAAAGATTGCAAGCCTTCAAAACTGGTTTAACTGTCTTTTCCATGGTAAAAACTGATCCTGAGCACATCTCAGCCTCTCTATGAGTTTGTCTTTATATATTCTCATTTTACTATGTTTCTGTCATTTTAATCCATTGATAGCCCTCTTTTAAATTGTTCATCATGTAAAATAACAGAAAATATATTCGAAAAATTCCCTTAATACGCATTTTGTGAAATTGTCATAATACAGGGTTACAAACCCTTTAAGTGAATTAATTTAGTCTCAGCTTAGATAGCTGTTGTTTAGTTACTAGAGCTCCCTTGTTCAAGAAATATCCTCCCATCCCCACTGTTTTTACTTAGAGCCCCATTGAAGTTGCTCTGAGCAAGAATGAGCTATGTATCAGGTTTGTACAGAAATTCTGATTGTAACCTTTCAGTATTCAATTGTCTCAAATACCAACAGCAACACGCGTCAGTTTTTCCATGACCTGAAAATGAATCAGATTTCGTGCTTATTTCGTGGGAGGAACATCATTAAAATGTTAAAGTAGACAGTTATAGTTTAACTGTATATTTTTTGGGTCCCTGCATAGATTATTCCACAGAGAAAAGAAGAGACGTGCAATTATTTGTTCCATTAAATCAAAAGTAGTTTATTTAACTTTGCCTTCTCTGTATAACTTTATTATAATAAGACACTTCTCTGCTTGTACATTTGCTCCCTTGAACTAAAAATGGCAACATTTGTTTGTGGGAATGTAAGTTGGGGTAGACAAAACTTAGATACATACCAATATACATACATGTGTGTATATTATGGTTCTATTACTAAAACCATAAATGCTAAAAACAGTTTGAACCACTCCAGGTACCTCGGTAATGCTGGAAACATAATACAATCTTTGAGATCCTTTGCTGGAATTACACTACGTCTGTTTTCTTTTAACATGGGTACATACAATAATGCGCACATCAACATGAAGGAGGGATGAAGGACTCTTTGAGCCAGTGTTAAGTGTACAGCTATCAATGTATAACCAGTCACAGGCAATGCAAGCTGCACCCATGGGTGTGTTCATGCTAAGAAGTCATAATGAAAATAAAATATGTCCAACTTCAATTGCCTGCTGCAGAGTGCACGCTTAAATTACACAACAAGGTGAAGCTCTCCACTGCAGGCTCTTCATCTGGATGCTGAACATATACACACAACTGAATGTATACATGTGGATGTATTTAAGAAACAGTAGAATTGTCTTAATTATATATCGGTTAAATCACATGTGGGCAAACAAGGCAGAAAGTGCTTGCCATTCATGTAAAACCCTCTGGTCCCCCACCCCTTCCCGAGTTTTTACACAGACACCAGAAAACACACATCCACACAGGCACACACATACACGAGTCATCGAATGCCCTACTCACAACATCCCCGAGACAATCTTCAAACTGTTGTCAGTGAACAAACAAACAAACCCCAACTTACAGCAGTGACAGAATTGATGCACGAGAAAGTCAATTTAGTTCACCTTGGATGCCGTCTCAAGTCGTTTTAGGTCTCTTTATGTGTCATACCAACTACGCTTACAAGTGAAACCCTACTCAATCGCATGTTTTTCTCTCTCCAGGTCAGCATTATTCACTGGAGGCAAGAACTCAGAAACCGTGTGAACTGCAGAGGGTGACGCCCCGCCACCTTCTCAGCAATGTCCTGAATTCATTTGCTGGGGCTCCTGGGTGCCGCCCGGCCCGGGGAGCGGCCGGCCCCGAGCGCACACCCGCCCGGCTGTGAGAAACGCTTCCTCAGGCAACGAGTCCTTACTGGTGTGAGGAGCCTCCGCCGGAGCCGGGGGGCTGCCGCAGCAGAGGGGGTCTCTGATAGCGCAACACGGGGTCTGTACTCTGGGCCCAGACAGAGTAGCCGTCGTGCTGCGGCACATGTAACTTGCCCAAAAAAATTCAAATAAAATAAACACGTCAACGCCAAGAAAATAAACAGCAACCATGGATGTTCGCTTTACTACGAGGAGTGCTTATTAGAAACAGACTCGATTAACTACTGAAGCATAAACAATTTCAAGCAAGTCAAATGGTTTTTTTTTTTGTAATGTCATGACCTACATTTTCACAAAACTCATTTTCTTCCCGATAATGTTGCCTGACGCTCAAATTTGAGGGAGAAAACCAAAGATGGAGGTCACAGAGGAGACAATGGTTGTTAAAATAAAGCCATCACGCTATCAATACAGTCTTCAAAGGGTAAACGAAACTCAGAAGAGGGTAAAAACTATCGTCCTGGGGGATTTTTGCAGAGTGCAGACCTTCTGCAGGTAAGGAGTTTGCTACAATGAGGCCAGGAAAAGCCTCAATTCCCACAAAATAGAGCAACCAATACCTTAAAAAAGGTCAGAACAGGTCAACAATTTGGAAAGAAAAATAAATTCACACCTTCTATCTGAAATAAGCAGCAAAAACACTGATAGTAAAGACAAATTAATGCAAGAGTGGGTGAGCAGTGAGCTGTAGTACTTCAAAAAGGTCTTCTCACAGTAACCAAACACTTTGCAGGAGACCAACAAGCAGGAAGTGGGGGGGGGGGGGGGAAAACTTAGTAAAAAGGTATTTAATGACCTGCTTGGTAGAAAAAAAATAAACAACATCCCTAACATTTTCAAATTTACAGGGGCTGAAACTCCAACTGAAACGACACTCGCACACATAAAAAACACACACGCACACACACACGAGAAAGAAAACTTCCTATGGTTAACGTTAAAAGAAGACGCCGCACTCTTCCTGCGTGAGGGAAGAGACGCAGAGCTGCACTACCGAGCGCCACCCCAGGTCAAAGTGTGCTAGAAATATACACAGGTACATAAATACAGGTTAGCCCAATTCAAACACCTTTGCCAATTTAAGCCCACGCTTTGCTCTGTCTGCGTCTGTGTGGTTTTTTTTCAGGATGTCTCTTTGTGCTTGTATATGCGAGTGTGTGTGGAGCACTGTGTGACTGTCTTCTGTCAAAGCTACGTGCACCTTTATCGCACGACCACATGCTTGTCAAATCCGACCAGGGTGAGTTTCACAAAGATTTATAGAAAAAAAAAAAATACAGAAAAAAAGTGGGGGATGAACAAAAAAAGAGTGAGAAGAAACGGAGAGATTTTCAATAACGGACGGTAGGTAGAATAATGATGCAAAAGGGGGCAGCTAAGGTGAGAGTGGATACCATCTCCATATACTGTACAATGCACTAACGTGTTAAGGATGCCAACAGATAATTCATGAAATAACAATCAAAGGGATTAAGATGTAAAGGGTGGGTTTTAATGTGGGTGGGGTTAATCTAAAATGTTTTTTTTGTTTTTTTTAAATCCTCCATCACTTCCTATTTTTCGGCGAAGGCCAGTTGCCTCGCTTCTCCCCTCTGTTGCCGCCTCCGCTGCCGGGCCCGCCAGAACCGCCGCCACCAGGTGGGCCTCGTGGGCCTCTGCCTCCGCCTCCCCCTCCTCCAGTATTGACCCGCCGGTTCTGTCGATCCATCCCAGGACGCTGGCTTGAGAAGCTTCTTTTATTGGCTGCGGGGTCTTTGCCCATCATATCGCGCTCTGCTGGACCTCCCCCTCCGCCGCCGCCCCCTCCACCCCGTCCCGGGTGGTGGTGATGGTGAGAGGCATATGGTTTCCCCCCTCCGCCTCCCCCTCCCCCCCCCCCTCCCCCTCCCCCTCCATCCCTGTCTCTGAACTCGGTGAAGTCGCTGCTCTCGGAGGCGGTCTCCCACTCCTCGTTGGCCTGGTCTGAGTTCTGGTTGGTGAAGTCAGGTGACTTTGCTCCGTGGTTGTGGTGGTGTTGGGGGTGGTTGGGGCCAGCGGTGCCTTGGTTGTAGTGGTGGTGGTGGTGGTTGTTTGCATTGTTAAGAAGCCCGCTACCACTGTTGCTATTGGATGTTAGGGCGGCGCTGTGATTAGCATTTTGGGCATTTGCCGTGATGGGAGCAGAGACTGGCGCTCCGTTACTGTCCTGAACTGAGGTCACAGAGGGAGACGATGGTCTTCCACCCCCGATGACCCCGACCCCTCCGTTGATGCGCGCCGCATTCTCTCGCTCCTTCAGTCTTCGGAAGCGGGGTGGTTTGTCCTGCTGGTGCTGAGAGCGTCCATGACGGCGGCGTCGAGGGGGTCTCTCAAACCCGCGCTGGTTTGGAGGAGGGGGCGCGTTCGGCCCTCCGGGGTTTGGTGCAGGATTGGTTGAAGCTTGCTGGGGCGGGACCCCTCCATTTTCAGAAGAACTGAGAGGAGCAGGGGCTGTGGCAGGCAAGGATGGCTGAGGGGGAGTGGCCCCCTGATTCTGAGTTTGACTTCCATCAGCTACCTTGTCCTTCTTTTCTCCGGCATTTCCACCCCGACCAAATTCTTTGGGGCCGGAGGTTTGTGGCTGACCTTGCTGTTTCCTGCCTGAAGCTGATGACTTGGATGAACCACCGTGAGAACCAGAGTTGGGTCCAACCCGGTGTCCCCCAGCCATTCCTCCAATATTCCCACTTCCCCTGTAGATGTTTCCTCCCCCACCGCCCCCACCCCTGCCCCTCCTAGAGGGCACACCCCTTGGTGTGAAGACGCGGGCCTGTGACCCTCTGGGCGGGGCAGATGAAATGTTTCCTGTGGGGTTGACATTATCAGAACCATTCTTGGTGGTGGGTTTGTGGTTGTCTTCTTTGTCTGAGTGGCCGATATCACTTGCACCACTCTCACTGCCAGTCTCGGAGCCTCGCTCTCTTCTTCTTTTGGGCATTTCTTCATACTCTGAGCCCTCACTGCGGGTTTCACTGCGGTTTCTGGCTCTGGCAGGGTTATGCTGGGAGCGATCCTGGCCATGCCTTCCACCGGCTCCGTCACCCTTGGCTTCCTGGTGATGGCCACCGCCAACTGTTGAACGGTAGTCTCTACCGCTCCTACCACCCATTCTGCCCCGGCCGTTACTGGTGGGTCCGGCGCTAACTGTGTAGCTGCCCCGATAACCACGGCCACGCCCGTAGAACTCTCCGCCTCGACCTCGGCTGGCCCTGTTGCCTTTGGGAGGGACTCCGTGGTGGGAGCTGCCGCCTATTTCAAAGGAGCGATCTCTGTCCTTCCTGGAGGAAGATCCTGAAAATCCTGATGCAGCATCTAGATCTTTGGGCCCTCTACCTGAGCCTCCTCCACCTGCACCTGAGGATCGTTCTTTTCCTCCATTCCTTGGTTTGGCTACCTGGGCATGCTCATCTTTAGACTGAACTGAGGTGTTGGAGGAGGCTTCCTGCTTCGTGGAGGCCATCTGGCCACCATCTTGATCCTTTTCTTTTCCACCTGTTTTTTCTCCTCCATCAGCTTCCCCTCCCTCTCTCTTCATTTCTTTCAGCATTGGCTTCTTAATTGGACCCGCCCGCCTGTTGGGACCGCCGCCACTCTGGCTGGAGGGTTTGTGGTCCGATGCAGCATTGGAGGAATCGTCTCCTCCACGAGGGTTGTTCCCACCTCCTGCATTGTTGGCCCTTCTGCCATGAGAGGATCCCCCACCCATACTGCTGCTTCCTGGCCGTGGGCCCCATTGAGTCTCCGTCTTGTGCTCCCGCCCTCCTCTTTGGTTCGTTTTAGGATGGGGATGGGGATGGGGATGGGGATGCTGCTGCGACTGATTATGGCCACCATGCTGAGAGGGAGGCGGGCTTGAGGTGATGGTGGAATGAGGTGCATGTGACGAGCCCGTCTTCTCCTGTTTTGCGTGACTGTTGCTGGCATTACCGCTATGGCTGACGCCAGTTTCACCCTCTCTCTGGGGTGGGTGATGGTGCTGTGCTTTGCCATCATCCCTGGCAGAGGAAGAGGAAGAAGACGAGCAGGAGGATGACAGAGAAGGTTGATGGAGAGGGGGAGAAGAACCATTCTTCTTAGTTTGGCCATCGCCAGCCCTGTCCCGATTGTGTTCTGCCTTATGGGGGTGGTGCGGAAAGTGAGCCTGCTGAGGGTGGTGGCCATGATGGTGGTGGTGATGAGAGTTGCTTTCCACGGGAGGATGCTCTGCTCGGCCATTACGATCGTAGTGGGGATGTGGCGCTCCCCATATCTGGCCCTGCTGAGCTCCTCGGGATGGCCCCTCCTCTGAGTGGGGGAAGCCGTGTGGCTGGTTTCCCCTATCATCCGCTCTCTGATGCTGTTGGTGGGAGGGCATCCTTCCACCCTGATCAGGAAAGTTGCTGTAGTTGCCTCGCCCACCATGGTAGTGATGGGGGTGGTGGCTGCCTGCCTGGGCACCGGCTTGAGCACCAACTGGAGGAGGAGTTTGACTGGATGCCCCTGATGATGAGCTGGGCTGCTGGATAGGTCCCAATCCACCCTCACGCAAGCGGTGTGGAGGAGTATCACTCCTGAGACAAAAAAAGAATACCAGAACACAACTTAATCCATTGTTGTCCAGAGGATCAGATACTACATCACTTATCAAAGCAGAACAAGACAGCATTCACTGAAGGCTTTTTGCATTTCTCAACGGAAGCTAAACCTAAATCATTTAAAAATTGTACTATTTAAATACCTGGGCCCCTTTGTGTCATCATCCTCCAACGGTTGCTTCTGTCTGTGGGGGGAGGTTAGCCCACGGTTCTCCCCTCCGCCCGGGAATACCTCTGAGCCCCAGGCCAGCTTAGGATCCATAGGGGGGGTCCCGCGGTGTGGGTGTCCCGCATGCTGCTGCTGCCTGTCAAAGGGCTCCGAGCCAGATCCCCCTGAATCGGATCGCTCACGCCCTATAAGTCCTGCAAATGTTTGATCATTTTAAAGACATAAATCGTGGCTTGTGAATACTTCCTTTTTCAAGATGTCACATCCACTCACCAGATGGGTGCATCCCCGGTGAATAGTAATCCATGGGTGGAGGGCGACCTTGAATCATGCGAGGGTCCATGTAGGGCATCATCATCCAACGAGGGTCAAAGTTCATCGGAAGAGGTGGAGGGCGAACCATATTGCCGGGTTGATACAAGGGCCCCCCCTGCTTTGGTCCAGGCCCTGGTTGAGGTGTTGAGCCTGGTGATGGCCCTTGAGGAGCCTGAGGCTGTGGGGACAGCTGGCTTTGTGAAGCCTGGCTGTGCTGCTGCTGTTGTTGCCACTGCTGCTGTTGCTTCAGGAGCTGCTCCTGAGGAAAAACAAAAGTAAATCCGAAGAAAATTAGTTTTTTTAAACAGGGAAGAATGCGTTGGGATTATGATATGTTGTTTGGTAAACCACAGCGACTGCTGAGACTAATTCTTTTGTAATGCAACATCCACTCTTGTAAACGGATTATTTTAGAAATAGATCCCAACCTGCTGCTGTCTTTGAAAGCGAGGAGGAAGAGACTTCTGATACTTTGAATATCCCTGACCGGGAGGACCACTGGCTTGGCGACCTACTCCCCCACTGGTATTCTCCATCTTCACTATGTCGACTCCTCGTTCACCTCCACTTCCAGCACGAATGTGGGGACCGCCCAAGGCCTCTTCTTTACCCTCTCCAGTTGAAGGTGCTTCCAGTGAGGACTGCTGTGGCTGGGACGCAGCCGGCTGGGAACATTGTTGGGCATCTAAATGCAAAGAGTTTTAAATAATAAATTGGTAACTTTGAAAAGCTGAATGTTTTCTCATCTAAAGATTCAAGAGGTTATTTTGAAGAGGAAGATTAAATATGACGATGAGTTCACTGCAGGGAAACCCCACCTGCACTGGAGTCGTAGCTGCTGTTGCTGCTAGCTCGCTGGCGGTCATTTGTTCCAGTACTGGATCCTGGTTGGACCACGAGAACTGGAGGCTCTTCATGGTCCACACAAGGAGAGGGGGGCTGGCTGATGTTTGGTGAGGAAGCTGAGACAGACGGACTGGGGCTGCCTGCAGTAACCGCTGCACAGTTTCCATCGAGACTGGGGGTCTTACTGCCGGCTCCCGTGCTGCTGCCCTGTTGCTGCTGCTGCTTCTCATCCAGCCGCTTCAGCTTCTCAGCACAGGCCGCACGTCGCTCCTCCTCCATCCGACGTTCTTCCTCCTCGCGGCGGCGACGGGCTCGCTCCACAGCTGCAGAGATCTCAGTGGATGACTGCTTTCTGCGTTGTCGCCAAGTCTCGTCTTCATCTTCTCCCTGGGCTCCAGGGACCAGCAGGCCAGGCTGAGCAGACGGGTTGGGACTTCCAGCTGCTGGCTGTTTCCCCGGGCCAGCAGACTGATTGTGAGACCGTTCCTAAAGTGTTACAACAGATATGATCTTAAATGATGCAGGTCTTAAAGTGCGTCAGACTGTGCTGTAACCTCAAACAACGGTTCTGTGAATGACCTCATAAACGGGAATTCAACTCAAAAGGGAAAAAAGCAACTTAAAACTAAAGATGACTCAGCCATAAGACCAGCGGCCGGTGGATGGGTTATGACAGAGATGATTTGTCTATGAGGCTCTGTCTGGATGTCTACCTGTCGGTAAAAGGAGTAGGGCCCCTGTCCGAGGAGCGGCCCAGGTGGGGGGGAGGGCTGCTCCCGGGGACCACCCAATCCCGGCCTGCGCCCCTGTATATAGGCAGACACGGTTAGCCATAGTCTACCACAATTGTCTACGCTGACAACCACAGAAACACTAACACACTGTTCCCACGGATGAGTCCGCTTGAAAATATGTCCCAGAGTTTCATCTGGACATGAGTTCTCATAGCTCAGGTATGAAGTCACCGGGCAACTTCTGTTGTTGCTGTTCATCCCACCTGGTAAGTGGACGGTGCTCCCTGATTTCCCCAACCACTGCCTCCCTCCTCGGCCCATCCTGGCTTGCTGGAGGGGGGCTGGGGGCCATTGTCAGCGCTTGAGGGAGGCGTGCGACGGGTGTCTATGCCGCTGTCCGGGGCTCGAGAGTGAGAGGCTGCTGTGGGAGCATCCTGGGACCTCTGCTGCTCGCTGCAGGAAAGAAGATTAAAACAAATCTTAACTCATTCTACTTTATACTCTGCACTCTGCTGACATTTATGTCACCAAGGAGCCCTGTAATATTCTAAGGTACACACAAAATCTATTTTGCACACACACCGTGAGTCATTGTTGTTCCCTGTTCTGTCCTCTTCTCCCTCTTCGTCTCCTTCATCATCACTGAACTTCAACTTAGCGGAGTAATCAATCTCCTCATGAGCCCCTGTTCACACAAAAAACAAAACATAAAACATCAGAATGAAATATAGCTTCATCAAGAAATCATTGGCTGCTTTTCCCCCCACTTGAAATAAATCTGGAATACATTTAAACCAAAACATAGTTTCTTTTTTCTGTACCTGCCCAGCCCTCGTCTCCATCATGATCCAGCTCATCTAGCTCCTTCAGGTCATCCTGCTTTAGGATAGGAGGTCGTTTCACCACGTCTCCACCTGAATCACGCATGCCGCCATGTGACCGGCTATCAGGGCCACCTTGCCCACGTGCGAATCTGAAAGAATTGAGGAGTGTCAGATAGTTGGTAAAAATACCGAAGAATAAATGTGAAATTAAGTTAAACAACAATCTTAGATTTGGTACAAATGCTGATCAATTTTACTGGTTTTCCTTGTCTCTCTGACTAAATTAAAAATTAAAAAACACAATGCAAGGACAACAGTAATATTAATTTGAAAGATACCTTGGAGGAGGCCCTTCCCCAGGAGGCGGGAACCTGTAGGGCCCTTGAGGGCCATAGGGTGCCGGGAAGGGCAGATAGGGGGGATACATCTAAGGAGGGAAAGAGCTTTAGACCCAAGTGCATGTGTCAACAAATGGTAAAAGACATTAAAAAGAAACTTACAAAGGGCGGCATGATCCCTCGGTAGGCAGGAAACCCAGGACCCACAGGGGGCTGGGGCAGGGGCAAGGCGGGGCTGCCAGCAGGAGAATTCCTAGGTGGCCCATGGTTCTGGGAGTTTGGAAGGGCGACCCCAGCTGCCCCATCCATTACCAGAGATCCACCGGTGCCACCCTCTGCTGCCCCCTCCCCAGGCCCGGTGGGCGCCAGACCACGGCCCCCACCGTCCCGCCAGCTTGTAACGTCTAAGGATGGTGAACATGGGGGCGGACAGCTGTTATTTTCCCACATTTTGCTCTTAGATGTGTGTGTTTCTAGGTGGGGTGGGTTACGGTTAAAGAGCTTTGACTTAATTAAACAACTTGGCTGGTTAATAAAGTGAGATTAGGTGAAAATCACTCACTCTGGGGGCGGAGGCTTGGTCCGGGCCCATACCACTGATCTGCAGTGGCCTGTTCTTTGCCAACTTTGTCCTGGTCGCCAGCCGCCTGCAGGGTGGGAAATTCCTCGCGAGAGAATGGCGACGGTAGGTTTGATCCCTTTCCACCTGCAAAAAGGGAAACAAACACGTTGTTTTCCCACACAATGTTAAGATCAGCTCACGATCAGATCAGGCCAGTCCGTCAGACTCACCATCCCCTTGTGTTCCATGTGTAACACTGGCCTGTGCCCAGGACCTTGCCCCTACGGCCTGGGTTGAAGTTGGGGCCAGAACCTGAGAGGGAGGAATACACAGATGGATACCATATACATGTATACTATGAATGCTTGACATTTTCCTATGTTATATTTAGTGCAAAATTAAATTTAGCAAGACTATCAGTACCTCTGAAGCTGGCGGGGTTCTCGGGTGGGTCGGTGCAGGTATCTGTGAAGCCACAGGCTGCTGCGATTCCGGCTGCGGTGCTGACAATGCATCGGTACTGAAAAACATACACAGGCCACCAAAGACATAAGACAAGGTCGAAACAGAAAGACAAAAAGGATAAAAATACTTCTTAGAATTACACTGGAATGGTTAGCCTGGTTTTCTTTTGCCTTAACAGTGAACTACCTCTTTGGGTCTGCTGGTTCCTGTTTGCTTGCCCATCCTGTGCCGTCTTTGGGAACGAGCGAGACGTTGGGATCGTTGCCTTTGTTCTCCGCCTTCAGACTGGGCAGGTTGGCAGGGGGTGGCATACGCCGTGCGGAGGCAACTTTACCGAGAGACTGCAGGCCATGGCGGGCGGGAACTGATGAGGGAGAAGAAAGCAGGTCATTAACAGAGATGGGCCACTGAAACTTGATATCAGCAAAATCTACTGGGTACAATGAACAACCCGACGACAGATGCAGAGTGCATGCTTGCTTGCTTAACTGAATTTGCTTTTATATGCTCTAAAAAGAAGTTTACAAGTAGTTATGGTCTGGCAACACTGACATAAATAATAATAACTTTAGAGTAGTGTGGATTGTAGGAGTATTGCAAAAAAATGAAGTGGTGTTAAACATCAATCCCAGATTTGTTCCTCGAGGCTTTGTGAAAAGCACAGCAATGTGTGTTTGAGGGGTAGTGTGTAGTGGGAACGAGGGCAGCTGCTTGCAGCTAATGGGGAGCTTCTGAATAAAACATAAACTGGGGACTCAGGGCTGAAGTCAAACAGCATCCACAACTAAGCCTCTGTGTCAGGTCAGGCTCAGTGGCTTCCAGACTCAGCTGACAAGTCAATGCTAGGGAGCCACTCACCCTGCAGGCCTCACTATTCCTGCTTTCATTTCTCCAAACAAACTCTTCTGAATTGTTTATTTTTTACTCGTATTTAAATTCAATACACTTGAACTGACCCTATCTCAGAATAATGTTGACAATATCAACAAAACCTTGGAATTGTATGCGGCACCATTACTGGAAATGAGCATCAGTGTTATAAGAGGGCCAGCAGTACAAATGTATCAGAACAGCACAGTTAAATAAATAAATAAATCTGGTGTGAAGGAAGAGATCTCTTTCTTTGGGCTTTAAGTTATACAAGGAATAAATAAGCACCACCTCAGAAACAATGTAGCCAAGGAAGAAAACATTCATCGCATTGTATATGTGTTTGTGTGTTATATATTAGTCATGACAAAATAAACACTCACCAACGGGCTTTTGTGTTTCAAGGCTCTTTCCTTTGTATGTATCAAACAGGTTGAGAGACGCATACTTGGTTTTGCCTTCCTTCCCCTTTGCAGTTTGCCCAGAGCGCTCTGACATTGCGCTGTCCGCTCATTGAGTATGGTGAGCCCTGAGACTGGGGTAGAAGGAGAGGGAGACAGTGACTTGACATCAGGCATGCTGAGAAACAAGAATGAAAGCGAGGAGTGCACAGGCAACGGAGAATATTTTCCAAATCAAAATATCCTCCGAACAGAACTGGACAACAGCCGTGTTTGTGTTCACTGGTTAACTTCATTGAGGAAACACACTCAGGGACCAGGTTCATTTTTAGAAGTTAAAGCCACTAGTTTCTGTTCTTTTGATCCAGGTGTGGCAGCCTCACTTCCATGGCTCCAGACAACCATGTGCCTCTTGAAACACTGCCCCTAACCATGTATTTTATGAGAAATATTGTTTCAACCTTTACTCCATTACTGATGTGACAATTGTTATAAATATAAACACACAACGTACAGTAAATACCAAGTGGCTGCTCTATTTTAAAGGAAAATGTACCTTGGTGAAATCGTGCTTAGTTCACTTTTAGTTCATAACTTCCTTAAAAATGTTGCAAACAAACCTAATTGCATTTTCAAACCACTCAGTTCACCCATCACCCTGTCAGGTGTTTCTTGATTATAATTACAACCAAGCTGAAAAACTAGTTTTTGCACTGATCTTGGGACAAACAGAGAACAAAACATGAAATACAACACATACATAGCATGTCTTTGTCAAGACGAGGTGGGGTTTGTTTTCAAAACCAGATAATCTGCTGATTTTCATGTCTTTCATAAACAAGAATTTGAAGGTGATCGATTATACAAATCAACTGCTATTTAAAAGCCTTTGAGAAACCAGAAGCAGCATGCTGCCCAGATAAAGGTAGATGGAAACTCTGGCAGCTTCAGCCACTCAAGTGTTGTTATGATGATCACAGGCTTGCATGAACTCTTGACAAACAAGGGCGCACAAACACACACAAATTTTGGCAACGTCCTTGTGTTCCATAAGATATGAGATACAGGGGGGCCTACTTCCCAGTCACAGTGATGCATCTAGTTGTTGAGTTACTTTCACAGCCCAAAACATTTTATAATTTGTAATGGTTGGAAAATCAAATAAAAAATGTGAAGCCACACTACTTTAGTGTAAGATACAAAGTAAGAACAAAAGCCCATTTTCTTTCCTTTTCTGATGAGAAATGCTAAAATACATACCTCCATTGTAATAAATCTAAAGTAATTAACTTAACTTTTAAACATGCATGTAATTCAATTTCCACCATGGTCTTTTTTTAAACCATTGCATAAGTACTAAATTTGATTTCTTCCAGCAGACTAAAATAAACTTTATTAGTGTGTCCTATTCTTACCGCTTCTTCAGATCATTTCCACCACTTGCTGCTATGGTTGAACAACACAAACTATTTATCTTGGGATGCATCACTGTAAACATTTGACTGAGCACACTATTGATATTGTTACAAAGTCGAAGTTTAAGGCATATTTTTTGGCGCTATTGGTCTTACGCATAACAAAAGGGGGGGGGGGGATAACAGCAGTTGTCATTTGCGCATAATTTTAATGTTCCAATTTCAAATTCTGCTACAGCTGCTGACCCGGCGCACAACCAACCCATCACACCTTTTAGTAAAGTCAGATGGAGTACTAGTGCAGACTACACATACTTATTGAGAGCAATTTCAGTGCGCAGTTTATCAGTAGAAACATTGTACAATAGAAAGCAAAAAGCAGAACCACGGTTTCTATGGCAACACATTATAAATTATATTCCTCCATGCCTTGCTTTGAGACGGGTTTTGGCTCTATGGCAACAGCCGGGTCTTCAGCCTGAACTCATTTTTACTGCACATCAATAAAGCACATGGCGCTGACATCTGTCCAGCACGGCATCATTCGGCTACCTCCAACGAGTTAAACTGTTGACCTAACCTCAACCAAAGACAATTATCGAGAGCAAAATGCTCTAACACAGTTAACCTACATCTGTTATTTCAGTCATGTGCTGTGAAAGACGTGACAAAGTAAGAAGTAAATTATCTAAATCATCCAAAATGTAAAATAAAAGAGCAACTTTAAAAATGAAAAAATACAGTAACTTTATTATGATATGCATTGTGACCACTTGAGAAAGGTGTGTTTAATAGTAGTATTTAAAATTCCCCATGAAACCTGAATCATCAATGCAAGATTAATTAGACATCAATTAAAGATCGTCTTGAATACAAGAAACTAAATCAAAAGGAAATCATGTGCAACATCCCATCATAGGTCAAACAAACATTACGTGAATGAAATTGACTCAGACACACATAGTATACCATGTAATTTGCACAAAGTTTGATTCTACGAAAACAGGTTATTCGTTTAAGATGCCAAATGCATGGAGTCACATCAAATTGTGCATTGCAGCAATGGGTTCTATATATCACAATGCATTTCAGCTCAAAACGAGGACACCTTCCACTCAGTTTCAGTTAAATGTCATTGTCTAACTTTAAAAAAATCCATACAATTAAAAAAAAAACACTCAAGACTAAGGGATCAAATCTGCCCATATCTTCAAGGCATTTTTGTGTTTACCCCTCAGGGATTAAATAGATTTATGTCCATAAATAAAAGGCTCTAGCGCTAGTTTCTCTTTAAGGCTTCCATAATAAAATGGTTAAATTCAATACTTTCGACAGATAAAAGCATAAATGAATTTGTCACCTCAAATGACACAACGACAAAATAGTAATACATCTGTCGCAAATAGCTACCTTCAGCTAAGCACGGACCTGCTATTACTCAAAACACAGAACAAATAAACCTAAATAAAGGGCTGTGCACGGTGATTACTGAGCAGCAGCATTGCACCGTGCCTCAATAGCCAGATGAGATTAGAAAATTAGGTCGTGGGATGGCTGGTCAACTACATGTTGTATGAGGATTAACAGGGACCAGCAGCTACACTGCAGCAACGCACACCACAAAGGGGCCCAGCCAAGCTACAATCAAACATCATAAAGGCACAAATTCTGATAGCTACAACACTCAAATCGGCACTAAGAGCTTGAGAAAAAAATCTGCAGCTCCCATAAATGATGCTACAGATGTACTGTGGAGTTAAGTGCCGTTAGCTTGTTCACACACAGGGCCCCAGTGTTCTCGCTGGGAGGGGGGCTGCGTGGATGTTTCATAATGCATTTTCAACGCCTTTCACTATCATTAGCTCACTCCTCTACAACACCCCAGTGTCCGATTCAGACGCTAACATCGCAAATGCGCATCTTCCTCAAGCGATGCTGCTTATTTGAAGATGAGGGGGGAACAGGGGCAGAAGCGGCATGAACGATTTTATTAAAGAACAAAACAAAATGGCGGAGAGAGGCCCAGAGCCGTTAACATAAAACGGTTGTGAAGCAAATTCCGAGCATCAGAACCACAATTCACCAAGTATCTTTTTCTACATGAGTAATACCGACTTGCAAAGATCACAGCTGTTACATATGACACAATAAAAACATAGCCGTGTTGGAAAACGACAGCGTGTCGTAAAAATGACAGTCTTGGCAGAAGCTACACCATTAGCCGCATACTTAGCTGAGGCTTATCCGCTAACATTACATTTTTACCAGTGTATACCAAATACTGTCCGATATCAAAATAACTAAAGCACCTATAATGCAGCCAGGGCAATAACAAAACAGGTAAGTGTTTATCAACAACAATAACAAGCGCAAACATTGTTATATTTAACTCCAAGCCAAGCTTGGCTAGTAAGCTAGGTAAGCACATAATGTTGGCTAACAACAACAACCAACACATCCTTTCCTAATGATACGACTTCACCACCATCCTCCCCTTCAGGTGAGTCTAATCCATCATTTCAACGACTATATTGGCAATAATAATTCGCTCTATGGCCATCGCTCGGCGCTGGCATAAAGCATGCTGAATTCCCCGGCCACTGACCTGGTCTTGTCCCGACTTGTCTCGAGGTTGTATGGCAGAATGAGGTTAGCTATGCTACCACGTAGCTTTCTAGCAGCTAGCAAAGAAACCTCCTGCATAGGCACACACGGAAAGGTCCTTGCTCTATTTCCCACTATTTTTGGTATGAGTGGAACTATGTATGTAAAGAATATGTTCAGCTTACTTTCACTCCTTGTCTTTTTTTCCCAAAAATAAATGAAAAGGGGAAAACAAAATAGTTGATGCTGGACTTGATCCGTCACCTAAAGAGCCGTCAACGGCTACTGGGTAATTTCGTGAGATGGGAGCCGTTTGGGACCGCCACAGAAAATACAGATGCGACTCTCGGACGTTTTGATTAAAAAACACAGCACAAAGCTAACTTTTGAATTATCATTGTTATTATTGATTTTTATTTAGTATTTCGCACTCAGTCATACTATGACAATGGTCATATTCCATAAACTGTGATTTATCCACTATTTGTGGAAAAACACTTGAAAATATCATCCAGGTTTTGGTCCGATTACTTTCAAACCTATTCAAACGCAAATTCCATCTGTACTCGTTAGTACTGATTTAGTGTTTGACAGAAGTTGAATATCAGGAAATCTTTAGATTTTGTGCCCACATTTTTTTACCTTGAAAAAAATTGGGTTGACAGATAAAATACTTACAACACCCTGTAAGATGTAAACTAATTTTCAAAAGTGGTCAATCCAGTAGTCTAGTAACCCTGATAATGTTATGTAATTACACCTGAACTCATTTAAGCCTAACAGAGGGATTAAAGCTACTTCTAAAATAGCTGCCCAAACACAATAACAAAGGCTTAACAATCAGCTTTTCAGAATTTTCTGAAATCCTAAAGAGAAATAGTTCTAAAAAGGCAACCTCACACCCCACAAATAGTACGATTAGTACTATATGTGTACCAGTGCACCTGTAAAGACTTACATTAATTATAATATTCTAATCCAAATAACACCATAAACAATCTGTTTGAAACAATCAAAAGTAAAGAAAATTACTCATGAATGATAATTTATTGCTTAAGGAAGAATACATTGACTTAAATGACAGAAAAATCATATAAGAGCATTTCTGATATCAACAGTCCCTTCTATTGTAATTACACACATAAAATAGTTGCTTCCCAAAACACAAGTTTGCGTGTGTGTGTTTATCCTTTACACACATGACGTATATCATTGACCAATATGAACGATTAAAAAAACACAACTCTGACAGGAGTGGCCTCTCAGTACATCATTCGGTAACAATCAATTGCACACGCCTCATTGAAAAATATCAAGTGTTGTTTTTTAATCTAAAATCAATCGTCCAGAAGAGCATATAATATAATGTATTTACTGGTTTTCAAAAAGCTGGCTGATTTTTTTTAAGAAAAGCTAGAATTACATCACAGTCCACAGTGTGTTTTAGTGTTTCAGTGTTTTAGTTTCTCCAGTTAAAAATGACAATATAGAAGCATACCGTCAATCTGCCAATAAAAAAAAAATGAAGTCAATTAATATCCTTCACATCTGTGCAGGATTACTACAGGTTTTCTCAAAGTTGTGTTTAACTTTCTCTACACTGGCTTGTACATGAGCCAAGTTTGTACCGAGAGGGCTGATTCACATTTCTTCCCCTGTGGAGGAGCTTTCTCTGCTCTTCCTTCAGACCTTGACGAGGAACGTAAACCCATCAGCAAAGAGAGCAGTAAGAACAGTAGGTCAGCTTCTTCCCATCAGTGAACAATCAGGATGCTAATTCTGTCTTAAATCCTAATGTCGATCGGTTCCCCTTTTGGTGCACAAATGATTCATCATTTGAGTCGGGGTCAAACTGAGGTCAAAACTTGTAAGACTGAATCAACTCTCCTTCTATCTGAATTTCCAATAGACAAAAAATGTAAGAAAAAAACATTTAAATAGTTTTAGTGGCTTCCTAGCTCAGGTGTTTCTTCTGTGAATTGAACCACATCCACAATGATGAGAACTGATTCCAAAAACAAAATTGGCTCTTTTTTGTTAAAAAAAGCTGATGAATGAGCACAGCAGACATGCACAAACCATGCTGATACACGCCTCTTTGGCACCTCGACCAGTTGTTAGGTGTTGTGGTGGACAGGTGGGTGGTGATTCACAGGTTAAAGAAGATAACCGAAAATGCCTCTGCTCCCTTTTAGAGATTTTACTTAACTTTAGTAAAACGTAGGAAAGGTTGATTCTTCCCAATATCTCTCCCTTGGCCATGCTTTGTCATCTCTATCTGTAATCTGATCAAACAGCAACAAAATTCGTTTGACAGTTTGCATGTCAGCATTTCAAATTTTAGGAAACAAACTAAATGAAAAATCAGAAAATCCCATCTCAAAAGGAACAAAAACAGCTGGAAATGCAATACAACCTTTTGCACCTTCTTTTTTTTTTAAAAAGTGAGCTTTAAGGGTCTTGTATTTTCCGAAGGAGAAAGTCACTGGTGAGAACAAGTTTTTCTGCTTCCTGGATTTTCTGAATGAAAAAAGAAGATGAAATTCAACCAGGAGATTTACAATGACTAATTTATTGAAATGGTGCTGTCACTCCAGTCGGACCTCACTTCCTTACCTCCAATCGGTGCTCACCGGCCTCCATATAGGTGGATTTTAACAAATGAGATGGTCTCATCATAGTCTGTGTGACCCTTCTCATAGATGACAAAGATGTACTTCTCATCGGCTACAGCGTCGCTGTCCATTGATGTCATGCTGGAGTAGCCGCTCGCTTTTTCCCATATCTGGACGGCCTTGTTTTCCCAGCTCTTGCCGTTTGTCATCGACCACCGTAACGTCAAATTCACTCCTTAGGGAGGGAAAGCGAGTGACTTTGCTTAACTCTCGTTTTAAGCAGGTTAAAATATCTTCCAGGTGACTGCAAACTGATGCGTTTTTGTTTTTAAACTGTGCACGGCTTTAAGAAGGAAGAATCGAACTTACTGTGCTGCTCATTGGAGGGGTTGGTGAAGAAGAGCATTCCGTTTTTCTGCAGAACTCCAGCTGCCACCACTGGATCCACCAGCGCGTAGTCGAAGAACAGCTCGTCTACCGGGAGGGTCAGCGCTCCGTCGGTGCTGCGCACCACAATGCGACAGCGGCAGTGGTAGTTGTTCTGGTTCCTTACATTGATCATGATGCTGCCGTCCATCATTTCCACCGGCTGCCGGATAGAGGGAGTTTTAGAAAATGGTATCTCTGATCTAAGTTGTTTCACTCAAAGAAGTTTATAGAGAACATTTCAGATGACACAATGTCTTTAAAAGACCGGGGGGGCATGCACTTTCATGTTTGTCCACAAGAGTGCAGAAGATTACATCCATGTTGGGCATTTATCTCCTAATCTGCCTCATCTCTCTATTTTCAGGACACTTGTTTTCCTTGGAAAATGAATACTGACGTCTGACCACAGTGCTGGTACTTACATGAGTGTCAGGTCACACCTCTCGTTGCAATGTCTGCACATGCTTCTCGAGTTTTGTTTGCCTGAGTCACTGCGTTATGCGTTACACGCTTTCTGAAATGAGTTTGAAGTTAAATGATCCTTGTGATATGGCTGATGTGTGATGCTGGAAAGTCTGCATGTTTAAACATGTTAGGAAAATGTACAAGGGCTTTAAAAAATATGTTGCCAATCCATTAAAACTCCTCAGAACATTGTTTTGTTTCCTCTGAGTGTGAATCTGCATTGTCCTTCACACACCTTAAATTGCTGATGAGTTTTGCTGGTCCTAAGACTTACAGCATCTACAGTTTTTATACTAATGTGCTAGACAGCAGAGAATGTTCACGCCTTCCCATTTTCCAGGCATCTTTCACAGTGCCTGGTCTGATCACATCCGCCAGCAGCAGACCAACCTGGCATTCATCGGGGTTGAAGTCCTGGGCCCTCTTCTTCTGGTTGTAAGGGATGCTCTTCAGCGCCGCGCCGTTGTACCAGGTCTCGCCGTAGTCGTCGCTCAGGATGCAAAATACGCCGTCGCCCTCCAGAGTCCCATGACCACAAACCACGAGTCTATCCTTTGCTGGCGGATAGCGCTTCTGCGGAGAGGACGACACAAACGGACACGGCACAAAGATGGAAAAAATCAAATCATCCATCATGACATCAGCATGAAAAATGTCTAAAGATCTTGCCTTCAGGAGTAAAGGCAGACTAAAAAAATACAAGTGGAGTTATTTCAGCGTTTCTTTTGTGGAAGAGTTATTTGCATTATTTTGGGTGAAATTGGTGCATTTCAAGTGGTTTCGCCAACTTTTTTCCCACTACCTTGAAACTAAAGCTAAGTTCCCACTTTCGGTGTGGGACAAAATACATTTCTGCTTTTCATGAAGTTTGAAAAAATCTTAAATGTCTTGAAATGACTTGAAATATGTCTACAGCTCATAATTCATTAACTAAAGATGATGATTCACGCACTAACAATGATAAAAGTTAAATTAGCAGCAATTACCACTAAAAATTGAGGCAATTTTTGGTAAGAAAAAATGATAAGATTATAGATGTGGATAATCGATGTGTGAAACTATTTTCTCACTTGGATGCCGTAGCCTGGCCCTGGAGCAAAGGCCTTGACCCCGAGCTGGACAGAGAGGTTCTTGGGCACGCTCCAGCTCAGGCCGTCATCCGTGCTCTTTATCATCATGGTGCTGGCCGGGCTGCAGTGGTACAGGTGGAAGCACAGGGAGTAGATCAGGAACACGCTGTTCTTCGCTCTGTCCACCACCACTGAGCCCAGGTTTAAACCATCCAGGTTGTCCACGTCATCCAAGATAAAGGAGGATGGAGACCAGGTGTTTCCTGGGGGGTAAACGGATGAAGAGGCTTATAGTTACATGGAAACCGGAACCTTCTATGCACAAAATGCTCCAACTTGACCACAGATTTTATGCATCACTCAGCGTCTGTTTAATGAAATAACTATTTTTTTTATGGTCTCGTTGTCTTTTTTTTTATTACAGTTTATAACAGTTTGATTTAGAATTTTTGCATGGGATTCAGCAGTTTGTGTTCCTATGAGGAACTGAGCTTGGAAGAATAAATTATCCCAGCTGTCACCGGCGATTGCCGATAAATCCCTTAAATCTAACAGATTGGACTGTTGTGATCCCACAAGTAAAGCCCGTGTGTGTCTTGGTCTGTCTCAGGTGGACCTGCCTCTGTCAGTGGACCTCCGTACTGCAATGAACTTTGCTCCACTGTCGCCAGATGAGAACTTTCTTGCCTCTGCAAAGGCCAAAAGGGTTCCTTTTGGGGTGGAGGTGATGAGCGGGATCCTGTAGCTGTGTACATTCCCGTTGGCCCCGCTCACCCACAGCAGCTGCTCCTCAAACACCAGGGGATCAATCTGGACCACAGACAATAGATACAGACTTGAGCCAGAGGATAAGACAGGCAGACACAAAGCAAGGTAAACAGTTTCAGTATCTATGAGAAAAAACAAATCAGAGCAGGTATGCTGTCTGCAGGACGCATCAAGGGTCACACAAACTAACAGACGTTTTACAAAAGTTGGATCAACAATCATCATTAATACTGGTACTATAACGTGATATTTACTTGTTTATAAAAGTCTCGTTTACCAGCGCAGTGACGGTTGCAATAAAGCATGTAGAGAGCAGGAGGGACAGAACAGCCACCCAGTTTCCTGATTCCATCCTAATTCCTTTTCTTGACATTTTCTTATTCCATCCGAGTCTAGGTCAGCCTTCAAAAGAGGTGCAAAAAGTCCAAGCAGGCGAACAAAACTATAATGTCACCGTAAAAATAAAGGCGGAAACGCTCTCAACAGCTCTTACATCCCGTTTCACTGGTAAGTCACATGACCAACGACGCGGTCACATGACAGCCGTCAAACAAACAAAAAAGGAGGCGGTTTTACGGTTCTTAAAACTTTCATTTGAGATTTAACAGGGATAATGAAACATTACTCTATTCAATTTTATTTTATGTTTATCCGTATATTTAATATAGTCTTACGGGTTTGACTCCTCTAATTTAATGTGTTTATGCATACATTGTAATTACATAGTTATCTGTTATCAGTCACTTTGTTAATCTGGATTTTCACAAAAACAGACTTTGCAAGGAAACTTTGCCTTACCTCGAAATATCAATCCTTTTTATGTTAAGTCACTTTTTTTAAATTTTAAATGACTTTTCAGTATCTTATTAAACAATTGTTGATGTAAAAATGTCTTAGTGGTCTTTATAGTTTTGAAAGTGGTTGTTGTTCCACTGCTTTTACAAATGATGATGCTTTCACTGTCAATGTATGGTTCATGTGTATGGTCCACCGTGAACCATACATGCCTAAAAGAAAGAAATGCCAAACAAATAAACAAATGTGATTGTTTTAGTTAGGACACGTCCTCCACATATCTGCCAAGCATCACAATACATTTTTCTAATATGATTAGCTGATGGATAAATTGAAACAATAATATCCATAAAACAACATACTATGTTATTGCAAAGTCCAGTACAATAACCTAAATGTTTTGTAAGTAATACTGGTAATGCTATTATGGTTGTCTGGCGCTGGAACCCATCACAACTGCCACCGTGTGACAGGTGGGGCATAACCTGGATGGGTCACCCAATAAACTAACATGCATGTTTTTTTTTACTATTGGACCGACTGTAGAGCACCCAGAGACAGAGCAAACTGTAGCCATTTTGGGATTTAAAATGGCAAGAGGGCTTTTAAAACAAATTGAGAAAAAACCCTTATATCCCAAAAATAATGTCTAATTCAAGTTTTAACAATGTAGTCATTTTTTTAAATTATTTTCTAATGTTGTGGTTTTGTTATATCTCTCATGGTACACAGTTGCAAAAGAATTTGCCCTTTGGAATGAACACAGAGAAACTGAATCTGACTTACACAGCACATTGGCAGTCATGTGAGTAGTATTTTGCCCAAAGACACTTTGGCGTGATGATGATTTAACCAGAGACCCTTCAATGGAAGGACTAATATGGTACTTCTGTGCTATTTTCACCCAGTAGATTGTAAAATGATAATTTATAATGTAGTTAAGGACATATTAGGACCACAAATTCACATAAAATATAATGTTTGTCTTGTAAAGTATTGAACTTAAGGTTGAAATATTTCTTGTCAAGTTTACATTCAAATCTGGAAAAAGTCGGGTATATTATATTTGTAAAGTATCTCATATAATTTTGTATCCTGAGTGAAATGATCCTGTAAATATTTGTGTTCCTGGCATGGACTCCACTGACCTTTAGGACTGTTTGAGTTAATGTGCAACAGTTCTAGTCCATGCTGCAACATGATTCTGGAGAAAACAAACCAACTCAAAACCATTAATTTTCTGTAATTATTCATGTGCGACACAAACATTGATTAAACAGGCATTTCCAGTTCCCCAAAACCAAAAAGCAGACATTTCAAAATTTAGTTTGCAAAACTTGTCAGAGTTGTCACTTTCTTGTACCGCGAAAGGTTTTTAAAGAAGAAATACGTGTGCCAGTTCTGCTAATGCTTCCTGGGCTGAGCTCAACCACAAACCACATTCCTGCAGTCATGAGGCATGATCTGAGTCACACGCTACAGAGAGAAAGGGTGGAACGAGCAACGACACATCTCAGCGTCACAAATGATAAACACCAGTCTGTGTGAGCGGGGGCACTCAACTCAATGAATGAGGAAACTATTTATTTGTGCTTTTTAACTCATTACACAAGGATCAGAGCAGGAATGACGGAGGATGGCCACCATTACAGATGCGCCCCAAGAATGGACTTTCATCTAAAGCACAGGTAGAATGTGTTTAATTCTGTAAGAAACTGCCTTCACCTGCCTTATTTAATGCTTTTGATACACTGTTTAAATGGTCCTTCCAAGCAAGAGAGCAAAAGATGATACCTGACATCCTTTTGTGCAATGTAAACTGTTTGAGCAGTTTAGAGCTGCATTACTGTTAGTTTGTTGTGTTGCTGTTTTTTGTTGTTTACTGTACAGGCTTCAGTTTCTTATGTAGATCAGAGGATGATTTATGAAACACGACAGCCTTTTTACAGTGAAACACTGAAGATGTGTCAGATAACACTCAGGCGTCTGTTCGCAAATGAGCCAAAGTTTCTTTTCCTCTACTGCAACAAGTGGAGGCAGTCAACGATAAATGTACGACGAAGCAAAGATGTGAAAATGAAAGAGAAGAAAAAGCCAAACGGTTTGAGTTGAGTTTTCTCACTTCACTGTAAAATGTGCCTTCTCACACACATGCAGGCAACACTGAGCTGTGCGGACAGAGCCACGGAAATATCGTTCTGTCTTTGAACAGCATTTACCTTGATTTTCTCATTTTGAGAAATACCATACCAGCAATATTACCACATGTGTGCTTACAAATTGAAATAATAGAGAGAAGGGCAAATGCATCAGTGACTGAAGCAAAGGCATTGAGTCTGAAAGCAGAAGTAATCTGGTTTCCTGCTGCTTTTTCAGACTTCTTGCATGTCAACAGTTAACATGTTTAACAGAGATAAAGCCTGTGACCCGTCTGAGGGGCTTTTTGAAAAGAGATTACACTCTTCACTGGCATGAAGGTTCTGCTTCTGGAAGCATGACGGGTCCAACTTTTTCTGCCTCATGTTAACCCCAAAGCTCTGCTCACACTTGGATGTGATCAAATTATTACTCACTTGTTAAAATCTAATGTTGTTCATCACACAAATTGATATGTCATCCAAAATTTGTCTCCCAATTTTTCCTCTTAAGTGCTTTAGTTATCAGTGAACCCATCTGCTGTTTATCTGTTGTTTAAGATACACATACAGCTGTGGTGGCTGATTGAAACCTATTTTGTCTCAAGCTAAATTAAGTCTTCCTATGACTTCCTCTTTGTTTTGTTTAAACTCAGCTTCCTAACTTGGTTGGTTTAGTGAACTGTGTTTTAGACAGACACATTATATATGTTTGCTCTAATAGATACAGTTGTTTCGAAATTCATAGAAACCCAGCTTTGCTTCACAGTGATCACATGTGAGCATCATCCCCATAATGCTCATCTGGGTTCCCCTTGTGAGAAGAGGAATTCCTTAACTGACAGTTTTCCCCCAAAATGTCTATGCAAGATCCACTTCACAGAGTGGAACGCGAGCCGTTCATTAGTCTCGTGAAACTCTTTTAGGACCGGGTCACCTCTCAGATGACGGAGGACAACCCCGACATTTGTCAGACAATGGAGGAGACGGCGGTGGATGTTCAAACCAGAGACACTAAAGCCGAGTCTCTGGGCAACAACGCCAGAACCAACTGGTCAAATGGTAACCAAATCTTTAGTTTTTGTTTTTTTGATGAGCTGTACAGCAAAAAAACTTTTTACTGTCATATTTAATGTAAAAAAAAAAAGACGATATCAGTGTTCAATGTTATTGCTCACTATTTATTAATAAAGTTCCTGTCATTAACTCTCTTCCCTGTCCCTCTCAGGCCAGTGTATTGTGGCGATGCCAAGCTCCTCATCTCTGAATCCCAGCTTCGATCTCTCTCTATGTCGAGCCAATCTGGAGAGGGAAGGCTTTGAGGTTAGCACAGACTCTGAACAAACTAGGGTACATCATGAATGCAAACTGTTGTTTTTTAAATGTGATTTGTGTTGTAATTGTTAGATACCACCCGAAGAAATGGAAGATCCACTGAACAGAGCTCTGGATGTCCCCTCAGTGAGGAGATACATGGTTTTCAACTCGGGTCTTTTCCACTTCATAATGGCACCAGTATGATTGTATTTTTATCTATCATTTCCAGGATTTTCCTGTACTGTTTGCCCTATGATAACTTCCTCCCTCAAATTAGCACTTTTTTTCTTTTTCTTACTAAGTCAAAACAAAAAAACAAAAATTAAAACTCTCTGTTCAATTAAAATTTTTATTGGGAACTATAAGCTAACAGCTAAAGCTCCACACAGAAAAAGTCATGAAAAAAAGAAAAACTATCTCTCATCAACCAAAACAAAAAAGATAGTTACAATTCAAGTGTTAAGGTCCTAAAATGAGTTCAGTAGTAATTTTTTATTTAATTTTATTTAATGAATTTCCGTTTTGATTAATCATTTATGAAGTTTTACTTGAATACAAAGAAGGAACTTATGTCAATAGCTACGTAAATCTGACGCATTTACTCAACTTTTAAACTTTTTTTTTTAAATCTAACAAAGAATGGTTAATTTATCTCTCTTTTGTAAAAAAATATAACCTCATCGTCTCCTTAATAACTGGAGAAAAGTAGGACCATTTCTTACTTAACAAACGGGAAAAAGAATATTTGAAATTGTTTCAGTATGTTTTCATAAAAATGGATAGAAATCTCTCTTCAGTCAAGAACATATTTGGTGATATATGACTGAATCATTTACTTCTACCAGGTTCTGTATGTGGTGGTGTGGTGTGCCGTTTTCTCCACTCTCCACCTCTACATAACTGTTAGTGACTACTGGGTCCTCTGTCTGTCAGTCAGCCTCATCTCAATCTTCCTCACCACTGCCGTCATCTTCATCCTTAATCACAGCAACAAGGGGGTACGTTAAACATGTTTCAGTTAAAGTTTTGATCACAGACTTGCCATCGTCTAAAGCTCTTTTCCTTACATTCTTTACATATTTGTCATAGAACACCAAAAAAACCTCAAAGTGACTCTTAAAGTGTTTCTGTTTCAGATCAACATCAACGTGGATGTTCGGTTGGTCCAGGTTAACGAGAGGATGGTGAAACACAAGTTGCTCGTGGGTGTGGCTGACTGGGTGCAGAACTGCACGGGACACATGCAGGTTTGTGATTTCAAATCACCCAAAACTCTGAGAAAACAAAGTCTGTTCATGCCAGTAGTGCTTTGTATCTACAGCTACATATTCAGATCTAATAAAGCAGACTTTATGACTCATCATACTGTGCCAAGAGTGGCAGTCCTGTTTCATAAACTAGATCAATTTAAATTTGTTTTCAGAGTCCCACACAGGTCAAACTGAATATTGATATTTACATGGAGGATATACCGTTTCCATTTTTAACATCTTCATAATAAATAATATATATGTATATCCGTCAAGAGAAATATCCAGCTTATAAGAAAATTACTTGACCTTTTATTGAATTATTTTATTCTTTTTCAAGCTAACTCGACTGTCTTCAGTGTTTTCAATAAGCTTTTATGAATTCAATTAAAGAATAAAAGTAATGTTAGAACACCAATGCAACAAAAAAGTAAACATCTCTAGCATAAGTACGTTGTGAGGATCAGTTTCAAAAGAAAGTGAGCCCCATGAATATTTTGCTTTTCGACCACGATGGATGTTAATTATCAGTCGCATAAAAAATGTTGTGTGTTATTCAGAGGCATTGTTGCTTTAATCTGTTTGTGTTTCTTTGTAGTTGTACTTTGTGTACTGGGACATGTCCCATTGTTTGAGGACACTGACGGAAATTTTAGAAGAGCAAAGCTTCGTGACGACTGACATCCAGGTGAGCTGAGCACATCTGTCTCTCGGCTCTCCTGCTGCTTCATCGATTTTACCAAAGCTCTCCTGTTTTCTCTACATTGTAATCAATAAGCACATCATTCTAAGAGCTTTTAGGGGATATTTATCTTTGGAGAATCAGGAAGGTAGGTTTTCTTTAGGGATAGGGTTGCATCTTGGAGCATCCATCCCTGAAGTGGAGTGACTCCATCTCCGTCATGTCTCCTCAGAGGAAAATGAGGAGCAGAATGTCTCATCTCATCGTGGTGGCTGAGATCCCGGCCGCTGACCTTGAGGCCGGTGGCTCTGGGGACGAGCAAGACTCGGATGAGAACAGGCCTCTGCTCAGAAACGAGGATACAGGCTGTGTTACCGCCTCCAGCCAAACGGGGGCAGCCCAAGTCACCACTGACCACAGCCTGGTGCCTGATGCCGCTCTGTCTAATGAGGTGAGCTGGGACTGAGCAGCATTTCAAACCTTTGTGGGTACATTTATAAATATCTTCTTATCACATTAGATTAGAACAATTGCATTTTTATTTTAATGTTGCAATTATGTCAAAAATTTTAATATATTGACTAATAAATACAGGTAAAATTTATTCTGAGCCAACATTTTAATGGCAGACTTTAAAATTCTTTGGAAACAAATGAAACATTTTTTACACTAGAATGAAAGTAGAGGTAAATTTCAGTTTCTGCTTTACAATGAATCCGTGCATAATTTGATTGAAGTACCGGAGAGCAGTGCTGATCCAAGAGCACACGTCTTTCCATTTTTTTCTTTTTTTGTTTGTGCATGTAAATCAAAAGATTATTTGGAATCAAAACTAAAACAGATGGACAAAGATAATAGTTCTCCATATACAACCAAGATATGTGATATTACATTTTTTCCAGTTTTGGTAGATTTACACCTGTGCACCCTATAGTTTAATATTTAAACTGGTTTTAAGATTAACATTTGAACTCTTCCTGAAGGTAGGTGAACTTACAAACAAAACAACATTCAGGGATGGGTTTAAAGAAAATAAAGAAACACCAGCATTTATTTCATTTGCAGTATATCAGATAAGTCTCGTTTATGTCTCATGAACATCTCTGAGTCTCTGTTTGTGACCATGTTGCAGGCCAAAGCGTACCAACTTCTGCTGACCTACAGTGCAGCTTATGTGAAGATGCTGATGTCCGACAGGCTATCGGGGCCCTCAAAGCACCGCCTGCGACCCCAGAGGAACCACTGCACCACTGCCTCCATCTGCCTCTGCCAATACATCAAATCAAAGATCCTCCAATAAGATCTGAGGGGTTTTCTCCGGAGCTGATGTGGATTCAGGACAATCTGACCCCTTGAAGGACTCCAAAACTCTTTATGTCTTTTTTTTAATTATATATTTTTTTAACAGCTGGCTCTCCGCCCTGCAGGCTGCTTGTTCAGCGCTGTCACACCAGCTCTGTGTTTGCACCACCTGGATGTTTGTTTGTTAGCACCTTGCCAAATGCTGTCAGCTAGAAGCACAGGTCTGTCCACCTGCTGTAAAACAACATTCATTCTTGTTCATGCAAGACAATCACAGCAGTAGTTCCTGCTTACACGTGTACAAATAATAGATATGTAGCATCTGTAGATTTGTAATGATTGAGGGAGCAATTTAATGGATTCATTCGGGCTTAGATTGCATAACTAAAAATAATTCACTGAAATACCTCCGCAAGCAAGCCAAAGCTTATTTAAGTACAAAACCTCCTAGACCAGGAAGGACCAAAGAAAATATGTGATTACATTTTTTTACCTGAAAACGCATCTCTCAGTTTACATCATAATAATTTATATATTTTTAAACAATATGTTGAGCTACTTTACTTTAACACATCATTAAGACATTCTTGTGATTTAACTCTTAAATCTGAAAACATCTTTTTTCTCACTGCAGTTATTTCGTCCATCATTGTAAAACAAACTTGGGTTAAAACTGACTACTAACTCTTACTAATTGATCATTACCCCAAATGTCAATACTGTATGAAATATTAAGAATTACAGTGGAACAGCACAGAACTAGTAAAGATTTTTCATCCACAGATCCATTTAATTCCATAGATAACAACAGATACGGAGAGTTCATCTTTCGTGTATTTTTTTCCAACGAAACTTGTGACTTGTGTTATTTCCCGAAAATGCAGTGCTTTGTCAAATGGTCCCAATTTTCAGCACACCTTGATATTGCCAGTGGTGGAATACTTACATTTTAAAAAGGTTTCTTCTACATTTCAGAGAAAGTTTTATTACATTTTGTACAATGTAAAACTGTCACAAATAGGAAAGTATACAATCATTACAGGATCAACTCTATTTATAAGAAGGCAGTTTGGGGTGCTTGCATTGTGTACTGTCAAGAAAGAAGACACAGACTGTGACCAATCTGACCTAATATTGTCTCTTTTTTTGCTGTCAGCTGTGCTCAGCCTAAAATTAGAAATGTGATGAAGATTTTGATGATGGTGAAAGCATTTTAAAAGCACTTTGTGTTTGTTTTGATCCCGCTGCTTTTGGAATGTGTGGAAAACATTCCTATGATGCCTTTGTTTGTCACTGGTTGTACTAAATGACTAGATGATATATTCTATAAAAGATACAGTTTAGTTTACCAATAAGGACACAGAAGAAGTAATTTGTTATAAGAGTGTAAGAACACCATGCGAACACCAAGTGAAATGAAGAATGAAGTGATTCAGTATGAGCCAAAATTGTGTACGCAAGTATGCACTATTTTTAAAAATCTCTTTTCTCCAAGGGGACGACAAGGGGATATCTTGACAAATGTATTAAGGAAAGTCAATCACCTTGATAACAATCTGTAATAATGCTGAAAAAAGGTCCAGCATGAATCCCTGGCTTCATGGCTTCACACACTGATGGTTTAACGTGTGAGCAGAGGCGTGTATTTGCCAGGACCCTCATCAGTCCTGATGCTGTGGCTGAGATGACAGCCCAGCAAGGGTGCAGCAGGATGACACAAACACGCACAGTGAGACAGTCAGCGTGGCTGACCCAGGGGAAGCGGAGGCTGTGTGACGAAGGATTGAGGCGTGCAGCGTGAGGCCAAGTTAAATGATCTCAGAGACACCAAATCTCCTCAGGAGGCTAAACGGCCATCTGTGATCCCGCAGACACAGGCTGGCTTTGCTTCCCTACTTTCACTCCAACCGGCCTTCAGGTTCACGCCGTTTTCACTGTAACTTCCAGGTTTCAGCGGGAAATATCCTGTTTTCTGTCACTGTCACTACTTTCACGGGGCAACTTTCCCCAAAGCATGCGGTCAAAATCAGCTGGAGAAAGTGGAGCAACTAGCAGCTTAAGAAACAAATATTTCCCCTCAGGGATTGTTGGACACCAAAAACAGATCTCTGAATGAGTAAATATTTGCCTTGTGCCCTTCAGATGGCCACAGATCGAAATGAGCAGCGATGTCTAAAAATAGATGATGGGAAAACTTTGCTTTTTGTAGTACTTTCACACACAATGTCGAGCTCAAGATGGATCATAACGTTTAAACACAAGCACAAAAATAGAAAAGAAAAAGAGGCAGCTATGAAGCTAAATGTGTCGGGATGACAACATTTGCTTTGAGTGTATTTTAATAATGATTTGGCCACATTAGGCCAAACGATTATTAAGGAGCCTTTCTAAACCATGGATAAGCTCCAGCCCCCCATGGCCCTAAAAGGAATAAGCAGTATTGAAAAAAGATGGGTGGATGTTCAAGTTGTCATGGATTCTGTTTTGCTTTGAGATTTTCTGTGTGGTTTTCCTTGTGGTTACTTGTCACTATCTCAAGATATCCTCAGCCTTCTCTTGTCTGTTGTTCACTGCATCTACTCAGCCTACATGCTCATGTTTCAATGTTCAGTGCCAGATCATTCTTGTCATTTTCTTGTCCTGGCTCTGTCAGTCAGTTGAATATGTCATTTTAGTTTCTACCGTCAGTCAGTCAGCTTTTACTCGAGTTTTGTTTTTGTTTTCATCAGTGTTTCAGTTTCAATTCAGGTTTGTTTTTGTTTTTTGCTTTTCCTGTCTCAGCAGCATCTTTTGTAAATTCAGAATAAAATGACTGCCATCTCTCTAACTATCTGTCCTCGCCTCCTTCTGTGGAAAGTCCGTGCTTGGGGTCCTTCATTACCCAGCCTTGTATGGGAAAGTTATGATAATCTTGCAAAGCGATCTATTCAATAGATGGATGTTAATCATCTATGGCTGTATTGTAACATGGAAAAGCAAACCATAGTTGTTTTTTAAAGGTACAGAAAAATCAACAGCTGCAATGCAAATACCCACAAGATCTTTTGTGATATGACGTGAGATTGCAAGAGCGTCTGTGGATCATGTTCTGACAGAAAGCGAAAAAGAGAGGAGAGGGAGAAAACCGGGCCAACTATAAATAGCATCTTACTGATGAGGGAAGAAGGAGATGCCACTGAGACTGAGAGGATGGAGAGGTGAAAAACAGACAAGTACTGCGCATTCACCAACATGTTGTTCATAACCCATAATTGCTCTTTTATTTATTACTCAAACAACTGAAGTCAGAACCCAATGCATATGTAATACAGCCAAAAATGTAATGAGAATTTTAAACCCCACATGTACACAGGTAGTTTTTGGCTCTTTTAGCAAGCAACCCATTGCATCTACAAGCTGAAGAACAAACTCAAAATAATGAAAATAAATTAGGAATAACTTTCCAGCCGTAGAGCAAACAGAAATCTCAATATTCAGTAGATAAACACTCACTGCCGGAGCCTCCTCAACAATATTAATACTAAACAGCACTGTGCTTCATTTACACTTCAACACTGCATATCACTGTGTGTGTATATTTACTGGGCCTGCATTTATCAGGACAAGTGGGTATTATGATGTTAAGGTTTTACACCTGTTCACCAACTACTACAGCTAGCCCTAATTCTTAGGTTTGATATTCATACACTTTTTTTTGGCTTTCCTTACGTAAAGCACTTGAAATCCATGCAGCTCCCAGAGTAAATAAAGCTGCAGCAATTAGCCATTAGCTTAGCAACAGTAAGAGCAGCTGGTTTCGTCCGAAACAAGTAAAAATACACCAGCCAGCTCCTTAAAAGCACTCTACAAAGGATTCATTTCAAGTTGTCGGATTAATGGAAATGAAAAGGTGTTGGATGAATTTAGTCGTTTCTCCATTGCCATTTTTTTTTTTTTTTAGCCAAGCTAGCATCTCCTGGCTGCAATCAAGTTTTAGTTCAGAAACTTAATTAATTCCCTATATAGGTCGCAGAAACAATTGCTAAAACTGGACCACCAATTCCGTAAATGGTTGAAAACTTCCGTCTGTAGCTTGCAAACCAGTTCCAGGTTCTGTTTCCACATTAAATGGGTCGGATTTAATGTTGTATTTGTTATTTCTATGCTTTGTGACTTGTATGTTTGGTCACTTCAACTCTCCATGAGTTTCTTACATTTTGATACTTTCTTATTCTGAGGATAGGGTTTTTGTTTTTCACGAGCATGATTTCTCACGTTGCACTTTTAGGCACATTTTGAACTCTATAATACATGCAGGAGTATGTTGGTACTGCAAATCCCATCAAACTATTGTTTCAAGAGGAAAATCTATTAAAATCTTTTTAGCTAAAAATAATATCATACACTAAATTTGAAGTAGTTTTTTTGTGATAGCAGCCCAGTAAGAAAACTCTTTTTTCAGTCATATTAGCAATTAGGAATTTTGTTTTTTAAAGCAGCTATTAGGGCGTTTTCCTTCTGAAAAGACATCAAATCACTCCACAGCTCATTGCAAATATAGATTAGATATATTTCCCATGAAGAAAAAGTGCTTTAAAAAGAAATTCAGATCGGATTTGTTAGAGGAATACAAATGTTCCTTTCAAAGTTATACTTATATATAACTTATAACTCCCTGAATCTGATGATAAATGTAGGCCCACGTGTGTTTGAATGAATGTACTATAATACATTTGTAATAATCATAATATTGTTAATAAGCTTTAGAAATTTAGTTTACACTTTCTCTATTATTGTTCACTGTTAACAAACATAATTGTCCAAAATTAAACATCTCTGTATAATTGCTTAAAAATATCTTCACCAAGGGGATTAACAGAGAAAAGGGGGGCTGAGCAGAACAGAAGATATGTTAATAGGTCCAATATTTCATGTGGACAGGGGGTTAGGGATATTGGGAAAGTTAAAGGTCTAGCCAGTGAATTGTGTCTTCATAAAGAGGAAAGTGCTACAACACAGTATAGGCTTTTTTTTTCTCCTTCTGGAAACATTCATTTCATAACCTCTGAAACCTCTCGCTATTGTTCATACTGTAACTTTTCAACTTTATAGCCATGTTGCCCTTAAGAGAACACAGCAGAGCTGCAGTTCGGCGCTACATTATTGAAACCAATCACCCGCATGTAGCCTTAATATTAATGCTTTTAACAAAAACAGACCGAGAATGACATGCAGGGTTATTTACGGCGCCTGATACACCTAAAGTTGCACTATAAACAGTGTCCAAGAGAGTAAATACGGTTGTGCAACAGAAAAAGGCTAATACATTTTTTCAAATACTTGTAAAAAGGATATTTGCAGGCCTAATACTCAAATGTAAGCAGTCTATTCTTCTCCTTTTGAAAGCAGCTTGTTTGACATTTTGAAAAAGACTGCAGCACAAACTCATAAAAATTTTAGTAAATGTTCCCACCAACAGCTGGGAGAAAAGCTACTTTGGCACTAAAAGCTCATTAGTCGACAAATATATTTATCATGCACAATCAGGCCCTAGGAATGTAAGCAGTTGCTTAATTTTATCTTGTTTCTACAAAGTGCAACAGCATTACCATAAGATTTAAGCCAATTTGGATAGTCAGACGGCTGCAACAGATTTTAGTAGACAAAAGTCAATGCAAAGTTGAGTGAATAAATTAATAAATAACACATCATAAATAAATAAACATAGGCATGATTAATACATGTCATCTCATCCAGTTGTGAGCACATAACACACAACCCACCAGTCTGAAATAAAACTCAGTGTTTGTAACATCTCGCTTGGGAGTCCAATGTCCATTTGGTGTGTTGTTAATCTACTGATCAGTCAATCAAAAGCAAATCAGCCCCTAACACAGAAAAGATATCACTCTGAATGTCAACACAACTTCAACGGGCTGGATATAACGCTTCCAAGAAGAGAACACAGGTCTACCTGAAGAAATAAAATGCAAATTTAACCATATCAACCATACTTTTTAAATGTGGCATTTCATGAGGGTCCATTTAGCTCTTTTTTTTTGTTGTTCAGACATTTAAAAGTGAAACACATAACTACCTATCCTTTCATCTGACTACATCAGTGAAAGCTGTAATTCATAAACGAATAAGAGTCAAATGAGCTGTGAATGCAAGGAGCCTTGTTTCCTTTGCAGCGGCTCACATCTGAGTGTAATATTAATTAGCTGCTGTTCGAACAACAATACTGACCCAAATAGACAACAGCTTGCTGTTTTGGATTTAAGCATCAACTGTGACTGGTTGTTTTTGGTTGTTGGTGAGTGGTTGACGGAGGCAGATTAGGTCAGAGCTTTGTTTGGAACTTAGCACAGAGGTCCAACGAGTGGAAACACTTTCCCCACTTCCTCTGATGAGGGATTGAGAAGAGTCGGGTAGCTAACATATCGACGCTGTGACTTCCCACCGGGAGTTTACCGAGGAGTTACGGCTCCCAGTCGTCATCGTGATGCTGCGAGGCTATGATGACGACCACGGTGAGGATGGTGCACAGCACGATGGAGGCGATGCCCACAGCCAGGCTGATGAAGGAGAAGTTTCGTGCCTCGCGGGAGGCTATTTCCGCCGTCACCATGTCCCCTCGGGCTATCGCCGTGCGCACCTGGGTTATGGAAGAAAAGAGAAGTCAAAATACACGTTGCATAACAAGAGGACATGTGAATGGGAGCAGCATGGGGCCCGCAACACCATGTATGGATTGATTTCACTGCAGCACCGGGCCGCTCGTGCAGAAAGAGGCCACTGCACGCACCACTGACACACTGCAACAGCATCCACAGCTCAGTCCAGCGCGTCCATGCCCTGTCAGCTCAGCTTAACTCACAGACAGCTGAGCACGCCCAGAGGATAAAATCTATTCTGTCCCGTTGCACTGACAATGGTGCGGTTATGTAATGGGGTCTGCAGAGTGAACACTGGTCAGCACAGTCCGCACACAGGAACAACAGGCATTGTGAAGTGCGAGGGCCACCAGATTGAACCCGAACAGGTAAAGCGTCACGCCCAGCTTTATGGGGCAGAGCAGGACTGTGAGGAGAGGCACTTCTCCTGCGGTCCGATCCCAATCCTGACACGGTTCCCCTCCGCTGGTCACCAGATATCAGATGCAGCATCATTCAAAAGCGCTGAAGCTACTGGCTCCTTCATATTTCAACTTCACTGATGAACTTTTGAAACAAACATTTTTACTTCTATTTCATTTCAGTTTTCGTAAACAGCACCATTAAGAATATTTGGATACAACTGTGAACATGTATCTGTTGAATGTGGGTGCCAAGCAAATGGTGGACACAAACTAAACTACGTAATCACCAGAGAGTAGCAGCACATACGTCCTGGACTCACCGATTTACCTTCTGGGAAATTTTTCTGCGTACACTGGAAAATTCCCCCAAAGTTCATTCTAAAAAATGAAATAACACTGACCCACAGATCAAAAAGTTCCCGTGAAGACGAATCATTCACCTGCACAGCTTTGATGATTGCAATGATGCCCGTTGGCCAGAAGCAGCAGACGGTGGTGAGCACAGCGATGGGAAGGTAGTCGTGCGGCGGTCGGCGGTCCATCAGGGTGATGCTGGGCGGCATTTGCATGGGGTGAATCTGACCCGGTGGGATTCCTGCGTGACTTCCTCCAGCTGGCATGTAGGGCTGACCCTGGGGGGACAAAACCAGTGAGAAAGAGGAGAGGGCTTTTTTAAAAATAACCAAACTTTTAAGAGCTTTCCTCTTAGAGGAAGCAAAGCCCGCTGGGATTACTGCTGTCGAGGAAGGACTTGAACAGGGGAAAAGATGTTATCTCCATTTTTGACAGCTAGATTTTGACAGTCAGATTGGTTTCCATTAGGTGCTACAGTCTGGTAGTCCTCTGAGTGATGCGAAACATCAGAGGCGACTAAATCATAATGCAGAACCCCCGAAGATTAGCCTTCACAGCCGAGTGGACAATTATCCTCGGGTTCAAATGATCACAGGCCACCTGCTGAGGGAGAGACATGCCTGCCGCGGGCGTGTAATGTTCATATTTTCTGACTCTAATTATAATTGGCTGAGAGATTTGAGAAGAAGCCTGCAAGCTGTTTTAAGCCTTTCTAAATGTGTTCAGAATAGTGGTCTTTTCTTTTACTGTAGAATTAAGAGCATACGCTGCTCAGAGTCTCTGTTCATGCGTTGCGCATGTTTGAACCTTATCCCAACAGGCTAGAAAAGTCTGAAACAATATCGATCATTCCATGATGTTGAAGATGACATGCAGGATGAGCACACTGCAGTGCAGATTAGCCTCCACATCCTCCGGATGATCTCCCCCAAGCTTTTTTTTCCTTTTTTTTTTTTTGCAACCATAATGCTCACTTTTGGTCCAGTGAGTTTTGCTCAGTAATCTTTACACAGACTCAGCCGTAAACAAAAAAAAAAAAAATGCTTTTCAAATCATAGAATCGATAAATGGAAAACCCAGCACCTCATACTGATCCTATGCGTTTCCATGCACTTTAAACAAAGAAATGTGTTGCTGTGAATTAAAAAGCTGGGTGGTGGGTCACCATTTTGTAAATGAGTGTATTTGTGCGATTCTTCTTTGTAAGAAGAGTTTTTCAAAGGGGAAAAGACCTGCATAGTCTGCACATGTCTGTGTACATGTTGTGACAGAGAAAGCACCAAAACCCTGAACATCATTTGAATGAACAAGCCAGGGCTCTAACAAGGCTCTAACAAGTTCATTCCATGACAGAAATCCCATACTGGAGAAGGAAAACTGATCTTAACGTTTTAAGTCATAAGATATGGTTGTTGTGATACATACCTGTTTATCTTGTTTGCCAGTATGAGCTGATACAAACAGCTGAGGTAATGGAAGCAGCATCCTTTGTATGAGCAGACGGGAATTGAAACATTAGGGTCTGTGGGGACTGTTTAACTTTTAAAGTCAGAAAACTGCAGTTTCTGGGTACATTTTCAGTCGTGCTAAAAGAAAAAATGCCGTATCACTATTTGATGACATAGTCTGACACTCTTTTGCTCTGGAAAAGTCATGAAAACTGAATCTCAAATTCTGACAGTCAGATATCAAATGTTACTTGATGAAATCTGAACAAATCCAAAGTTTAGAATGTACCCTGAAAGGGAACTATCTTAAACATACTGCTTCAGAGGATAATAAGCAAAAGATTGAAGTTCATCCAATTGGACAAGGTGTGCTTTTCACTATGACTGAATCCACAAGAGTGCCCTGCCACAACTGCTAAAAACGACTACAATTAAAGGGATGATTCCTGAAAAAGAGTCTCATGCTAGTATTCCTATTTATACCCAGGTAAATCACAAGTTAGTTAGTGTAACAGCAACTAAATGACGGAGGCTTCTCAAAATAAACCGGACATAACTCAGAGTCCGCAGCTCCTGTATATTTACCCCCATAATAAGCAACAAACATGTGACAAAACAAGACGGGTTTCTGCATCAACCTGGCGTCAGTTTGGTGAAATCTTTAAAAGCAGCTTATCTATGACTCACTGATGCCATGGGGTACACGGGCACGTAGGCCGTGCAGGGCTGCAGCTGCAGGGGGTAGCCCGGATGGATGTATCCCACGGGGGGGTGCTGCATGGTGCCCCCGGGGGCCTGGGTCTGGACGGTGTAGCCCTGCGGAGCCCCGGGAGGGGACATGGGGCTGCAGTGGAACTGGGTTTCTTGGAGGTATCCCTCAGAGCCCGGGGGAGGGGGTGGCGGGGGGTAGCTGGGCTGGCTGCCGGGCGCGCTGGGCGCGTTGGAATCCGGAGGGCCCGGTAGGTACGGAGGAGGCTGCATGGCCTGGCGGCCGGAATCATCGAGCCCTGGCAGAGGAGGAGGAGGAGGAAGATGGAGAGAAATCAGAAGATGAATAATGGAAGAAAAATGATGTAAGGGAGAGGGGCCCGTTATCGAATATGAACACCGCCTCACGCACAGGTTTTTATCTCACCTCTGAGGTGTGGAAACAATTATCCAGACCGCAGCGCCTCAGAAAGCCTTCAAACGGCTTCCACAGAGCTGATATTTTCCAACCCGCTCCGTCCGTGCGTTAATGATGAAGGCGATTGACATTTTCATTCCAAACAAACAAGATTGAACAGGTTTTTTTCATCAGGTTCTCCCTATGTAATCATATTTATCATCAGTTGGGAAAGTGCACTTCTTTGGTGGGGAGCCTCACCCTGATCCTGGACCGGCTTTTTATGCTCACACGCCGGCTTTCTTTGTGTGGCAGGGGGGGGGGGGGCTGAGGTTACACGCTGTGACAGGGACATGAGGATTGGACAGGGGGAGAAGGAGGAGTGAGGGGTTGGGGGTGGGGGGGGTCGAGATTTGACGGGTCAGAAGAAGAGCCAAGCATCTGAGCGATGACGACTTGTGCTCGGGGACCCGCTTTACGTAACGGTCACCAACCCTGTCACACACAGGAAGTGGACCAGAAACAGACAGAGGGGAAAAGGAGCGAGCGCAGGGAGAGAGGACGCCTGAAACATGGGCGAGACAGGATGAGCAGCTCAGAAATGATGCTGCCATAAACTTATTCTACATGCTGTGTGAGGCCTGTGGAGTCTGATGTGTAGTTTTGGGGCGTTTTTTTTTGTGTTTCTCCGAGCATTGCACAGCCTGACCTCGGGGTGAGCATGCCCCTGGAGGCGTCCGCTCCAGGGACAACTGACATCCTGTCTTCAAGGTTCTCCACTAGGGAATTACTTTCCTTTCTGTAGAACAATATGGACTCCTAATATTTTAAAAGTGGTTTAAAAACCCCTTCTAGATTGGTGGGCAGTAACAGTTTTTCTCTCTAAGATCATTGATATCATTGATATCTTTCCTTGGAATGATTTGTTCACCTTAAATTATATTTGCTTACTTTTTAGACCTAATAAGGACTAGATGATTCTGAGTCATATCCTCATATTCAAAAATATGAATATAGAACAAGAGAGTCCCCTTTTTTCAGTATAACCGTGTCATTTAAGTATACAAAATCCATCTATGAGTATATTGAAACTCATTTTCTTGCTTCTGTCCTGTTATAAATATCAGAAACTGAATAGTTCAATCTACTTAAAAGGAACTCCATACTCTTTTAGATGGAAAATGGTAATCTTCCACATGTCAGCTGCTTCTATAACATCTACTTAAAGTTTGAGCTGTTCTGCATTTAACTGGATTCACTTAACACAAGAACAACAACATCATCGATCTGTGATTGCAGTTTCAGGCTTTACAGGATAGCTGCAACCCCCTGACAGCTCGCGTGCAGAAGGAGCACTCCCACACACTTTATTAAAAGGCAGCTGGAAATTCTCAGGTGTAATTAAAGACATCAACTGCTTATTGTCGCTATAAATACAGTTCCCAATGCGTGCTAAATCGGGCCTGAAAAATAGACAGGAAGCAGATCCTTTTACATCCATGACAAAATGCCTAATAAAGAACAGGTTTACAGATATGTTGTCAGCTTTAAGTCCACGTTCTGCGAGCATTTACCCCACCGTTGGACTTTGCAATTACGTTTTACAGTCACGTTTCACATTTTCCTTTCCTGGTTAGCAAGTGTATGATGTCTTTTCGCCCACTGTTTGATTGGAGCCCCAAAGATTTGATCAGACAGCGGACAATCTGCGGTCTGTGCTCCGCTCAGCTCCTCAAACTGCAGCCCCTGATTTGATTTCCACTCATTTAGAGCAAGATAAATAAATAAATGCAGATCACTATATGTATGAGGTCCGCGACTCAATATCCTGAAATGAATCTTGCAAGACTGGAGACATTTGTCTTTGTTAGAAAGACGCAGGGCACGCGCAAAGGACACCCACATCAAACAGGAGATGTGTACGTAGGCCCGTGCGTAATGGTGATAAGGAGGAACATTTAAGGAGAAAACTGAGAGTCTACTAAATATGGCAAAGAGACACTAGTTCTTTGCAGGCAGATTTCTGATTTCTGGGTTAAAAAAATAGGACATTTCCCCTAAATTCCGAACTTGAGACAGAAATAAAACCCCAGAAAGTCTGATAATGCCACTTCTCGTTTTGCAGTGACACACACGAGGCCCTGCGGTGATTTTCTGCCCGTCCAACTGCACCCACACAGCGGCGCATCCTCCCATGGAGGAGGCAGCGGATGGAGATGTTGTCAAGCGAGAGGATCGAATGGAAATTTGGCACACGGGGCTTAAAAATCTCGCGGAGGAAACGTTTCAATCGCACATCTAAAATGCCTCACCGTGTTTTTCAGACGACATGCCTCCCGATCTGATGTCCGCCTCCTCTGATCGGATGTGTTTTTACTCCAGCTGCTGGTGGAAAGCCCTCCCGTCGATGATTCAGACTTTTTAATCCAAATATCCGCAGCCCATCTTCATCTAAGGCGTCTTCATCTTTTAACCTCCTCACGTATTGAAACGATAAATAACTTAGGAGTGCTTTGTTTTGGGGGTCCAGTCAGTGCGCTCCGTGGGTTTGGTAGCCCTCCTCCCCTCTCCTCTCTCGCTCTGCGCGGCTGGTAGTCTAATAAGGTTTCTCCACTAACGCGTCGCTGTACATTGAATTAATGAGACACAAAGCTATCGCTGTCTTAAAGCGACAGCCCTAACTAAGAAAACGCACAGGCGCTGGGCTGGAACACCCCATCACTGAGCAACAGAGAGGGATATTCTGAGCTAGATGGATTTCTCCCCCCCCCCGCGACGCTTCACCATCTCATTTTTTTCTCTCCGAGCGTCCTCTAATGATTTTTCTGTCAGATTTTTGGGAGCCGGGTTTCAGCAGAATGGACTGGCGGTGAAGGATGGAAGCAAACTGTTAAATAAGTCAACATCACTGCAGATGGGGTCCAGGTTTTTTATTACTGTACAATAAAATACAATCCCAATGTCATGTTCATCTGATCTGAACTTTGGTCTGGTGGTTAAAATCGGTTTCCTGCTCGTGATTATTCACTGTCATGTAAACATCGACATGTTTTGTAGGCACATCCAGCACCTCCCCCATGAGGACAGTGCTTCGCATCCTTCTCACACCTTTCACACACACACAGACTGCGGCGTTCGGCAACACCCTCAGTGGGTGTAGAGGGAGGCCGTGAAGACGATGTCCCTGCGGATGGCCAGGGAGGCTTTCTCCATCTTGCTCCCCAGGACGGAGTCTCCCACGATGCGGGCGGCTTGCCGCACCTCCTTCAGGACCTCGTCCAGACGCTGGATGCAGCGGACCACTGTGCCCTCCTGGACGTCCGTCAGCTGGGCGATCTCAGCGAAGGGCTGGGACGGCGCAAAAGAGAGGGAGGCACAAGGAAAAGGCATTTACAAAGTTTGAATAGGTTAAAAGTGCCACAGAGAAACAGCTGGAGAAACACGCGGTCAGACTGCACGGTTTAATTAGACCCCTGAGTCCAAAGTCCCGTTGCTTCGGACGGTGTGAGAAAAGACAAATCATTCAGCTGCTCCCCAGTTTCTCAGTGGGGGAACTCTGCGAACAGACGCCGTCTTTTCCTGACATATTCTTCCGACTGAAGAAACAGTAAAACGTGTTACTGTGAGCAGCTCTACTGAGAATGTTTTACTATATACTTACACTTTACTGATTTCACTGGAGAAGAAAAAAAAGATGAACTTTTGAGCACATAAAGGTGATTTAATTTGAGAGACGGACGCTGCCACCTTATATTGGGAGCTCCGCTTCGGCCGGACAGACCAAGTTGTTGCTCAAGTTTAGTAAAAGCACACCAAGTCACATATTTTAAGTATGAAACGGGCACCTTGGAGAAGTAGATGCCTCTCAGAAATCATTTCAGTGCCATGTCTGACTAAACAGGGAAGCTAAATCATATGGTGACTTGCAAGATTCTTCTTCTTCACCTGTGATGAAACACAAGCGATTTGAAACCGATGGAGCAGAAACCAAGATGGACACAGGATGTCGTTTTAATCTCTCTGATGAGCATTGAAACGGTTTTCGTATTCAGTTGTGTCTTGCACCCCTTCTCTCCCCCATCAGGGCGGCTATAATCGGGTCAGAGTGTGGTAGAGCTCACCATGCCTCTGGCCCAGCAGTACACCACCTCCGTCAGGCCGAACTTGAACTGGCCAACAAACTCCTCGGCAGTCTGTGGTATCCCACATTCTCGCTGCAGCTCACCGATCCTCTTTGCCACTGACAGCACTCGATCAATGCCCTGAAAGGACAAAAAAAAAAAAGAGGCACCCCAAGAGAAAGAGATGAGTGCATGGACGGCATAAAGCGGATAAAAAAACCTGTCAGACACACATGTCTATGTTTTCTCTGAGTCTGCTCTTCTAGGACAGCTGGTTTTGGGTCATAACTAATTCAAGCCCTTTCATAAAGCTCTTTCATGTCGGGGCCGTTCTCCGCATGCACTGACACAGCACAGGCGTAGTTGACAGAACCAGAGCGCACGAGTGTTGGAGAGGTGAGTAAGTGGGACAAACCTGAGAGGCTTTTGTTAACACCTGGGCAAACATGAGGCCTCATAAGAACGCCGGCTCGGACCGGAGGCGCTGAACAGGCTTCGTGCTCACCTCCTGCAGCGTGTTGGTGATGTGGGGCTCCACCTGTGTGTTCTGGGTGAAGACCAAGCAGGACAGCAGGGCGGCGCTCTCCTCGGGCGCCAGCGGGCTCAGGACGTTCTCGAACAGCAGCTCGGTCAGCAGCAGCTCGTGGCTGCTGATCTGGCACGCCACCCGGCCTTTTAGCTGCACCGCCCCGCTGCTGTCCACGTACTGGAGGGCCTGGAGGACCTGACGGGGGCCGGCAGGGGAAATAAATCTCACAGGATGTGGCAGCGCTCTATTAAAAATACATCCAAAGTGCTCCGGAAGAAGCCCTCAACCAGTTCGCAAAAGTGGGATGGAATCTAAAGAGATTTCATGTTTGGACACAGATTGTGACTCAGAGTTTAATACAGGCCGTTTATCCAAGTTTTGTGTCATGATTCACAAATCCTTACAGCTAGCTGTTGAGGTATTTTTTACATTTCAGTGAAATTTCCAGAGAACTATCTGATACATTTCCCTGAGCGTCCCCTTTAGTTCCTCCAGTATATATAAAGTGCAACAGCTATGGTGGTGAAATTGCTGTGCTTTAATGGGATTTAACAGAGGGATTAAAAAAGAAGATACAGCAGGTAGTGATGCAAACCTTGATCCTCTGGTGATATTCAGGCAGTAGAGTCAGGGACTGGTCCGACACGAGGAACAGCAGCCGGTCCAGTTCCTCCTGCACGCTCATCCTGTCCTGAACCCGAGCAAACTGAAGAAAACACACACACACACAAACACAGCTTACTTTAACATACAACAGCACCACTGCAGCACTTGACCTAATTTTGAAGAAAAAAAAAAGCGATGCTGCACTGTTGAAAGAGGAGAAAAGAACCGCTCCCATTTATAGACTCATTACCAGCATTTGATGAATAAATTTGTATATCAACTCCTGCACAGAAAGGTTTGCATCGCAGCGCGTGTTGCATTAATCCCTTAAACCCCACACTGTTGAACAAAGACATGAAGCGGAGTGAAGAGGAGACACGGATCCTGCAACTAAGAGCTTGTTATCTTAAGGAATAATTAAAGAACCTCTGTGTGCGTGATGGCTCAGATAACCTGATGTGTCCATGAGATGGCGATGAGCTGCAGCCCTCTACTTATATGGGCGATTATAGAAAGAGTCAGCTCTGCCTCTTGCATCTTATCTCTTCCATAAAGCCCCCAGACAGGTTAGACACCACAAAAGCAGACATATCACGAAGGAGTTTGATGTTATTGTTGTGAAAACTACAGGAAAAGGGATTGGGGGCGTGCAAGATAACTGGAGCTGAAAAAAAGGGAAGTCCGCTTTAGAAAAGGGGCTGATGGCAAGATAAGTGTGTTATGCAAGTGTTGTGTGCGTTATGCAAGGTATGATGTTAATTAGCTGCATCAGTGCAGCACAGAATGAATGTGATTCCTTTATTGACACATTGTGACACTGAGGCACTTCTATCTTCGTTCATAGTTGCAGCTCATCTCTAAAAACAATGTAAATAACTGATGAGGTGTGCTACTTTTAAAGGACGGTGCAACACACACGCGTTCACAAGCTGATGCTCACATGCTCGGCGAAAGTGGGCGAGTGGATGCAGCTGAAACTCCTGAGGCTTTCCTGCAGCACACGGAGCCTCATGGAGCCCTCCACCACGTCCACGCTCTTCAGCTGGAGGTCGTTGACAGGGTCCAGGCTAGCTATGCCGCCGGGGTTCGCTTCGGCCAATCGTAAGAGCTCCTGCGTTGCCGTGGAGATGGCCTGCCCAGGAGGGTCAAGCCTAGGAGGAACAAAATTAGTCAGGAGAGAAAAATGAGAATGAGATGTGATGAATTTCATTCTAAAAACAAATGCACACTCTCAGCTTGCTTTGTCAGTTATACATTATTATGAGGGTTGATTCATAAAATAATTTCCAGCTTCACTTAAATAATCAAAGAGCCTTTACTTTCTTTATCTTGCTATCCACTACCACCACCTGTAATTCTGTGGAATAACAACAAGCCACCAGTAGCATTTTAATGTGAACAATTAAACATACCCAGAAATGTGCAGGGGTGTGAGCTCTCAGATAACCTTAACATTACCTAGATTGTTCAAAGAGCTATGACAATATTTTACTACCAGATACACCGACACAATATAGAAATGTGAATTTAAAAAAAAGAGGAAATATATGACTAAACACCCAAATCCATACATGCACCAATATCTTGTTTGTGTGAGAGGCCAGAGAGCCTTTTGGAAACACACGGCTGGGGGCGGATGGACCGTCATATCGCTACTCCTGACCCTTTGAACTATGGAGTATTTTTCGAAAGAAACGTGTAGTCAGCCCCACAAGAGTCATGAATAATTGATGAGAACAAGATGTGAGTTTAGAGGGTAAAGGCAAAGGAAAGGAGTGCCATATATCTCAGAGCCTCCTTTAAATGGACACTGAAGTGATGGAAAAGCTGAGATTCTGCATGACAAAGGTTCAGACTGATAAACTATTCAGAAATGGAGTCAAAGTGAAACTGCCTGAGAAACTCATTGGAAGGGTCAATAGTAACACAAGCATGTCGACTCCATCCAATCCCCGCCACTAGTGCATTTTTTGGAATACTGCACTCTGAACAAAACTCTCGTTTTAATAAATTTAAAATCTTTGTCTGATTGTAAAACATCTTACCTGTCAAAAGAAAGACTAATGTAACAATTGACTTTATTAAATAGGTCATAAATTGAACCACACACTTGAATCGTGGTTGTTGTCTCTTCTTGTAGTTATCGATGATTCTGTCGGGAATCACTTTGAGGGTTTTCACTGTGATGGCTGAAATGTCCTGAAGCTTCAGCTTCTGCACAGTGTGGCTGCAAGGGCCTGGAAAAATGGCATCACAGCAGGTAAAACAATCTATGAAATCCAGAGTTTAACCCGCACGAAAGAAATTTAAGCAGATGAGCAAATGCATAAAATTAATGTTTTTAGATGGTTTAAATCCAGCTTCAAAAAGCATCGAGCTACCTTCAGGAATGAAGAGAGCCGTGTTGAAGAGGTGTGGGAAAGCGGAGTCGTTGGTGCCTTGTTCTTCTGATTCCTCGTTTCCCTTCTCACAGATAACGAGAGCTGTGAAGGTGCGATTCACTGCGTCATTGGACACCTGGCACACGGAGCGGACAAAGGTGGGAGTCAGAGCGGTGGGAAACCGAGGGAGCCACGAAGCTCACAATTGAAGGACCCCAGGTTTGTAGCTCAGGTGTTTTTCCAGCAGCTCAAACGTGCCACCTGCACAACACCACAATTCTTCTAGGTGTGAATTAGTTACCGCAACATCTGGGTTCCGTTTATTTCAGAAACAACATCTCTAATGTAATCACAGTGACTTAACAGCTTGCTACTTAACTGTGCCTGTGACTGCAAATATCCCAGCTCCCACTAATCATTGAGACTCCCGCAATCCTACTTTAAATTATATAGGATTTCAAATTTATTTATCAACTTTAAGATAATTAATCCCATGTTCAATATTTTGAGGAAGGATTAGAGCCACGGGAAGAACATTTTGATGGTGAGGGGAAAAAGTCTTCCTCAGTTTAAGAGGCAAGCGTGGGCAGCACTTACCTGTAGAATGACTCCCAACGCGTTCAGATGCTGTTTGTTGTTCACCACCACGACCCGACCCACAGACAGAGCTTTCAGTCCGTTCACAGACTCCAGGATGGCTTGCTGGCGTTCAGACAAAAAAAGGACGCATGACAAATAAACAAGCACCTCATCACGGGGGTTCAAATTCGACGGGGGTGTGGCAGACCTGGAGGGCTTCCTTGGTGGTCCGCAGCTCTGTGACGGTGTGGTAATAAGGCATCAGGTCGGACAGCTGGCCCTCTGTGTCCAGAGGAGGAAGGGAGGACAGCGTCTGCTTCAGCTGGGAGATCCTCTTCTCTTGAGCCTGCAGGAGGAGAATGAGGAGGGGATGTTTGCCATCTGGGTCCTCAGAAACAGCCCGCCAGCTCATACCTCCCCCCCAGTTCATGGCAGTAACTATGCCGTCTCACTTAAACACCTCGTTAATCATAGTATCACCCCATCATGTCCCACAGGGTTTACCTGAGTGTCCCTGTGGCTCTCAGAGAAGCTCCTCCTCATCATGTCCGTCACTCGGAGTGCCTCCACTCGCAGCAGATTGAGGATCATAGTGTAGGTCAGTCTGAACTGGGACTGGAGAATGGTGGGCTTACCCTACAGAGGACAAAGTAGACAGTCAGGGAGTTTTGGCAAACCACGGCTTTGAAACCATTAAATTGTTTTCTTTTTAGTTAAACTTTTCTTGTAACGTCAACACAGAAACACAAGACTAACATGGTAACACAACTATCATCATTTGTCCTATTGAGAAAATTGGCCATTAGAACTGCTTTGCTGGATTTATTGGTCTCAAGCCTCCAGAATGAATCAGTTTAAATATTTTAAATTATTCATCACCCTCTTGTTTATAAAAAGTTTAAAGTAGGACTGGTGCCCTGATGTGAAAACACAAATCAGTTTGTTTCCCAAAAAAGACAGAACTTGACAATCCTTTTAGGTAAATTTCATTACGCTGCACTGGAACTTTCTCTTAAAGAAACAACTTTTTTTATCAGCCTAAAACTTCAGAAACACATTAAACCAACAGAGGTAGACTGAGTTCAAATAGCTCACTCATCTGTGTAATTAAATTTTGAATGAAAAACTCAGGGGGCAGCGTTTTGAATGAAAGCCAGAATAAACAAGCTGAGGAGAGATCGGCTTCACATATGCAGAACTATGAGGAGACGCTGTGATGCCATGCGTGAATCGAAGAGGCAGCTGGAGTTTGTGAAATGAAATCACTGCCGTGGGACTGTGGGACATCTCACCAGCATCATGACGTGCAGATCTGCCATTTCGTGAACGCCGGCCTTGCAGAGTATGATCACGGTGCCTGTGGCGTCCAGACCTCTCCTGCCTGCTCGCCCCGCCATCTGAATATATTCACCTGAAAGTGGGTTTCAAAAGGCAAATACGTTTGAATGCTACCGTTTCCCTCGCAGCCGATTCATCCTCAGATAAAAGACTAACAGAGAGGAGCGAACCTGGAAGCAGGTTCCTGAAGCCGGTCCCGTCGTGCTTCCTGATGCTGTCGAACACCACCGTCCTGGCGGGCATGTTCACTCCCATGGCAAACGTCTCTGTAGCAAACAGCACCTGGGAAGATGAAGTGAGGATGAAAAGATATGGAGAAGACAACTAAGATTGGAGTAAAAAAAACAACAACAAAAAACGGCTGGGTTTCCAATCAGTAATTGATATGATGTGATTTTGAAACAGAAGATGGAATAGTGAATTTGGCTAAAACTCTGTTCTTTTCTGACTCACCTTCACGAGACCTCGGGAGAAGAGCATCTCAATGACCTCCTTCAGGATTGGCAGGATCCCACTATGATGGACGGCGATGCCTCTCTTCAGGAGATCCCTCATCACCAAAATCTGAATGATTTTTTATTCCAGTGTGAACATGTGCGCTGTCAGACACTAAAATTGTCAGCTGAAGAAGTCAATTCAGGCGTTGTGCCCAAGAAATAATTCAATTAAATGTCATTAACAGAAACAGATAATGTCACATCTCTGAGCAATCTGACACTGCCTGTATAGATCATTCATTATGATGCAGTTATCTCAAGCCGGTTATTCTATTATCTCAAGATAGCACTGTTTGTTTAAGCATAGGTTCATGTATCTCGTTTAACAGGCACTCAGTTGTGTGCTTTTTCAAGCTTGTGACTTTTGTCATGAGTTTATTACTAGTTTATTATTGCAGCCACATCACCTTACATTAAGAACAGGTATCCATGTATAAGTTTAGTAAATTATAAGAGTCAAACAAACACTACCTCAGCCGGTCAGACCTTTATGAGGCCTGAAGCTTGTGGAGATGGATAAATTTACTTTAAAAGACTTAATCTATAATTAAGAGAAATAGACTGTACTAACGGTTAGTGAGTTCTGACTACCTGAGGCAGCTGTCGGTCGCCTCCTCGCAGGCGACTGAGGCTCTTTTGGAAGAAGGAGTGGATCTCTGCCTTCTCTATGGAGGTGGTTAGATCCATGGACTCCAGCGAGCGGGCGTTCTCATCACAACGAGTCCGAGAGAAGGTGAATGCCACCACTGGCGTCTGCTGGCGCTGGGACAGGAAGTGCAGGAGGGTGAGCCACACCGATCTGTCCTGGAGGAAGACAAACACAGAGGGGCATGGAAAGGAAACGTGATGCTGACCGTGCTGGGGGGGCTGAAAGGCAGTGCAGGGACAGAGGAAAACTACCTGACTGGCTGTGGTGTTCTGGGATGTATTTTTTGTACCAAATGATTGGGCATGCTTGCTGGTGCGCTCCTTCTTAGCATCGATGGCGGCGTAATATCTGAACGAAACACAATGATCGATCCCATGAGAAAAGAGCCGTCTCTTTCTGAAGTTCCCCCCCAGCCAATTTTTACCCTTTAGTAAGGAAGTTCCCTGTGGCATCCATCAGCAGAAACAACTCCTTCTGAGTCTTGGTGCTGTTTCCAGTGTACAGGTAATGCTCCAAAGGCACAGGCCTCTTCATGGTGCTGATCACATAAATGTGCTTCTTCTTAATGCGCCTGTGGACGAGGACCACGAAAACACAGCTCAGCCAAGGAGTTTCGAGTCAGTTCCAGGACTGAAGTCCAAAATAATCACAGACTGCCATTTTCATCGGTGCTTAACAAATAGAGATATAATTTACCCGATCCACTCGCTGAACTCCAGAGCATTTGGCACGGTGGCACTAAGGAGAATGATACTGACGTGGTCTGGGAGCATAATCAAGACTTCTTCCCATACAACACCTCTCTGAGGAAACAAAAGGTTGGAAAGAGGGGGAGAAGCTTACATTATTCTATATTCCATCAGTAAACCAGACGACCAGGGCTTCCTAATGTTTCTAAAAGTTCCCTAACCTCAGCGTCATTGATGTAGTGAACCTCATCGAAGATCACCCACTCCAGATCTCTAATGACTTCTGAGCCATTGTACAGCATAGACCTGGGCGAGGAGAGCAACAGAAAGTAAGCAAGCGGGAATTTTGCTAATTTATACAACAACAAATAAGTCATTCTGATATTTATAACATGTTGTCCGAGTACCTGAGGATCTCTGTGGTCATGATGAGACAGGAAGACTCCGGACTCAGCTGAACGTCCCCTGTCAGGAGGCCAACATCTCCAAAGGTGTTTTTGAAGTCTCTAAACTTCTGATTGGACAGAGCCTTAATGGGAGATGTGTAAATGGTCCTATAAAAACAAGAGAGAGCCCAACAAAAAATTCAAAAGCGATCAAAGATTAGGGAAACCTATTTCTGATTTTCCACATCTCTTACTGCATGTCCAGGAAAAATAAAAAATAAAATAAAGCCACATGCTAATCTCTGACTGCTTTGTTTTTCCACAGGTCCCCTGATGAGCGATGAGTTAGTCCATCTTAAAACTGCTATCTTATGTGCATATTCCTTTCTGACTACAAAACAGAGACATTGTTTGTCTACCTCCTGGAACAGAGGCGTATTCAGCTTGTTGCACACCTTCACACACTGACAAACACACACCTGGTCATGTGCTTCTGTGAGAGCGCGATGGCGTACTCGGCCACCACGGTTTTGCCAGCTGATGTGTGAGCAGCGACAAACACGGAGTCGTGAGCCTCCAGCCTCAGCACAGCCTGTTTCTGGAAGAGGTCCAGCTCAAAGGGCCACTGGAGCAGAGGAGGGCAGACAAACGATCAGACAACAGCCCCCGGTTCAGTCAAAAGTCATTCATAACGTATATACGGAGGTGATAAATAGAGGGAAGTGGGAGGGAAGTGGGACAAACAGACATTTTGCATTTAGGGCTAACTGGGTGGTCTCTGGAGTCCCCACCTTGAAAGCTGGGTTGGGAATACGTTTATAGAAATCATCACACGGTGACGTTATGTCCACAGGAATGGCCCATTTCCTTTTGTCCTCTGGGTTTTCTTTTGGCTTAGATTTTTCCCCTTTTCTTTTGTCTGAGGGAGATGAGGATGACACAGCATCCTGAAGATGAAGACAGGGACAGAGAGAGAGGAAGAGAGAGAGAGAGAGCTCAATTTCAGGACTGGGGCAAAAATTTGAATTTGAATTGGGGAAATAAAAATCATTTAAAAAAAGACACTACATGATAGATGGGATTTTGCAAAAGACAAAGCTTATAGTAAAATATGTTTGCATAAGTTTTCATTTTCTTTCAGTGTGACTTCATTTTTAACTTTGTCCATTCCTTACTGCATTTGTCAATCTGTAAAAGCAAACTCAGCCAGAAGGAAGATTTAACCTGTCAAACCTGAAGTGAAATCTCGTATCAGTACACAAACACTTTGTTAGAAATGGACAATTCACATGATATAATTACAAGATATTTCTAAGAGAAAGAAAAACGATTTACCAGGAGGAAAGAAATACCTTGATGCCCAAGTCTTCAAGGCTGTTTGTTCTAGGTAGTTTTGGGGCTTCTTTGCTGTCTTTGCCTGCTTCCTTCTCCTCCGTCTCCAGCTGCAGATCGGGGATGTCTTCCAGAGCGGTCAGCAGGGACATGAGGTTGACCTCTGCCTTTGCTATTTTGGCATCTTCAAGGGACAAATTCAAAAAGAGGTAAAGGTGGATTAAATAAAAATTGAAAGATTGAGGAAGATTTTTTGAAACAATCAAAAAAATCTCTCACCTTTTTCAGTGAAATCCATCCCAGCTTTGAGTCCTGGAGGGACTCTCAGTAAATCTATGACAAATAAAACAATACAAATGTTTACAGAGCTTAAATGAAAATAGAATTAGGGTAATTAATTTCCAATCATGCTTGTTGACAATCACCGCTCTCAAAGTCTATTTCTTCCTCCAGATCAGATTTCTTCTTAATCTGGTCCAGAGTGAGTTCTTCCATTCCACCTGTGAGAATCACAGTTCATAATAAACAGTCAAAGATGCTAATAATAGCTCACTCGCAACTGATTTAACGTCAAAATGTATCTATTACAACATAAAGTATCAGGTTAACACCAGCCGCTACATTATAGGTTGATACAGATGTTATCTAGAATAATTTGGTGGACACTAACTGACATTTATTTCCCCTTAGTGCCATCTGTCACTCTGTAAATGCAGTAAAAGCTTTCAGAGCCACCAAAGAGAGACATGGCTGGAAACATGAACATGTTTCCCAGAGATCTGTTGGTGGAAACCACAGAAAGGAGGTGACTCAGCTCCAAAAATGTTGGTTGGAATTGGCCGTCTAAAATTAGGAAGTTTGTAAATGAAAAACCCACAGCTCGACCAAGAAAGAAGACAAAGCCTCAGGACAGAACACTGAAAACAAAATATACGAAAACAGAAAGTGTGCAACTAAAGAAATGAAATAACCACGGATGGAATAGAAATTCCATTCAAAAACAACATGTGATTTCCACCTGGAGAAGCCAAACATTAGTCATAACTAAGACCCAAACAGAAGGTTACAGAGGGAAAGGCTAACTTCAATAGCTTTTCTGTGATTTGGTGACACAACCAAATTTAACACAGTTAAATTGTCAGTTTTAGAACAAAGTCGATCCGACATGACCAGTTAGCTGAATAAATGTCAGCCAGGGCCGTCACAGATGTCATCCTGTTTGCTTGTAAGCCATCTACATACGGGTCTAAAATAATATCACACTTGAATGAACAAAAAAGCTCAACCTGGTAGGAAGGGGTAGTTAGTGTTACTTCCTCTAAGGCTTTCTGATGGGGGTCCAGGCTGACGTTGCAGTGACAGAGAGTTCTTTGCCGACAGACCAGTGTTCTCCACCAGCACCTGAAGGTTGGCGGACAGAGTAAATACAGCACAACAGAAATGAATCAGTCTTTACTTTGCAGTAAAAATACATCAAACCCAATAGAGACACCTCGTCAGATACTTATAATTTCTTTATTGCAATTGATCGGACTGCTATTTTCATTGTTTATCAAAATTGAGAAATCCAGTCATTTATTCATGAAAATAGCAGTGCTGTGACTTGGAGCATTTCAGAAGTTCAAAGAAGAGAAACTCCCACTCGGTACCTCTGTGAAGTCCAGCAACATTCCTGTGGTTGGATCTCTGACCACAGCCAGCCCAGAGTGCAGCGGAGAGGGAGCGCAATTGAGCAGAGAGTCGACATTAACCTTTCTCTGAGTCACCCTGGTGAAGACGTCAAGGCAGAACTTACATTTACTTTTGCACATCAAAATGATCCGTTCATGATTATTGCGATTACAACAACAACTTGCTTTAGTTCTGACATCTAAAGATAATCTCAAGTCAAGATAATCAGTTCATGAATTCTGCACCAAAATAACAAATTTCATACGTACTTAAGAAACTTCTGAAAGGCAAAGTCTGTATCGTGAATAGGGAGCCAGGCCGGGTCCTGTAAAAACTGTTTCTCTACTTCAGTTTCTAGGTTCAGGCTGGTGGGAGGAAGTCCATGGGGAAGCTGAGGAAGGAAAGATGAGATTAGAAACCCACAACTTAGCCCCTACAGCAACTCCAGAGGAAAGTTAATCAAGATCAAACATGTAAAAGAAATTATGAAGCAAAAAAAAAAACGAGTGCAGATAAAACAAGAGGCGTATCTACAAGCCATATGTCAAAACATCCTTTCACCTTTTAAAATGTCCCTTTATTTTCCTAGAAAATTGCTGTACACATCTAATTTGTTCGCTACTTTCACTAGAACACAAAATTGATCCATCTCCTCACTGACCGTGGTCTGTGGAGGAAAAGGCTGGCCAGGAATGGGGTGTGTGATGAGCTCAAACCTGCCAGAGCAACCCATCTCCAGTAGGGACATCGGCAGGTCCATGGGGCCCACAGGGGGTACATCTGTAAACAAAGCAACAGATAGTCAATGGATTCATGGACTACTCAACACAATAACGCTACTCTCCATCCATAGGGTATAGTTAATGCTGAAATTAGCTCAGCTAAAAGAAAAACAAGTTCCATATTATTTCCCTTTTATTTTTTTTTAAACCTAGATCTCCTTAAGTCAGGTCCAGATGAAAAGCCTTTCTGTTTGGACTGATCAAAAACAGAATAGAACTGGCCAACATGTTTTTTATTTCTGCTTGTATAAGATAGAACTTAAGATCAGTTAATAAGCAGAAGCAGAAATCTGCACAGGATATATTGTAAAGATGGTAAAAACGGTTTCAATCCCATCACATTTTTATTCTGTGTACACAATTTAAAAGGTGTTATGCTACTGTTAGTTTGGTGGCATTGAAACACATTAGATAAGGTTCAAGTTCAAAGATATTCAATCAGATTATCCTACAGACTCTAAAACCCAACCATGACTCTATCAGTGGAAAAGGGGTAATAACATTGTTTGTTTGTTTTTTGGCATACAAAGCACTTTAGTACAGGCCAACTTTAGCCAAAAAATGCATAAGAGCCCCACTGCAGTGATTTAGTATAATTCTTTTCTGACTGTATAAGTTGAAAAAAGACTGCACTGATAAACAGGAACTATGTAATTAATGCTAAATCAATATGCTATGAGACTGTTGAATTGACAACAATCTTCCTTTGGCCACATCACTACAAGCTATTCAACGAAAGCACACTCGTAGATCATTATGAACATTATGGACATTTAAGGACAATGCATATCAACAAACAAACCACAACTTACTTATTCTGTCCATGGTCCCACAAGGAACTGGAAGCTATGAGTTGCCACCCTGTGTTTGCTGCAGTCGCCTCGGAAGTTGCTAAAACAGCAAAACGGAAGTTGCAAGCTAGCTGCGTTAGGACCAACAAAAGACAGAAGACGTCCTAAACTATGTCAGCGGTTACGTGAAGCCATAAAAACACCATAGACAGTTTATAATTACCTGTATTCCATTTAAAGATTGATTACATGTTATTTTTCTTAACTTTTTTCTAGTAATTAGCATGTAAAATAAAGTAGCCCGAAGCTGCTACGTCATATCTACGCGTCAGTGTTGTTATTTGGACTGTTTTAATCCAAGAGAACCTTTGGGGTAAATTGCATTAATTGTGGTACAAAACATCGGGCGTTTACATTAAGATGCTTTGTGTGATTTCATTCAGTTTGTTGTGTTTCTGAAATTAACTACGTTTGAATTAATTTGGACGTAAGATGTCTATTGCTGCCAGTTTAGCTCATTAAGTAGCTCATGTGCTAGTTAGCGATGATGCATTGCTTTGAATGAAAAATAATATGCTAGTGCTTGCTTAGTGATAATATGTCAAATTTTTTACTTAAAGCTGTTGTCGTGTGCATTGTAGCGGATGCCATCATGGTAGTCTTTCCAAGTTCACTGACCGAGGAAGAGGAGGCTTTGCAGAAGAAGTATGCTAAACTGAAGAAAAAGGTGGGTGACAAGACGTTCACCATAACTTCTTTATCAATCCTCTTCCATGATGGACATGTTGAATAAACACATGAAAATGTAACTGTAATTTTATGGTTGCAAGTGTTCAATGAATTGCCGATTGTGTATGTGTGTGTCATCCACGACACACAAATTGGGCTAAAGGTGAATGAATGGACTACACTTTTTCGTCTGCACAGAAAAAGGCTCTGCTTGCCTTGAAAAAGCAGAGTTCAACCAGCCAGACAAACCAGAGTGGCTTGAAACGAAGTAAGTACATTATGTAGACTTTGAAGAAATTTCTGTGAAATGACTTCCTGTAGCTAAATGCCTTAGTTCTACTCATCAAATGCATTAGTGAAATACAAAGTCATTTATTAAGTCAAGAAGTAAGTGTTAAAGAGCCTTGTGACATCAATGCTATAAATGTGAAAAATTAGAAAAATTCTAACAAAAATAAACATACAGTTTATTTTAACTAGCTTAAGACTTATATTTTGTTTTAAAGCTATTTGAATAAAATAAATCAATATTATTTTTTTCTTAAAGCTCTTTGTGTTTGATTTCTTTGATATGAATAAAGTTGACGTAAGTTAGATACTAAGATCGTATCTCAAATACTTTTTTTAATTCCTTGGTGCGCTGTTATTTACTTTCTGCATTGCTTGGTGCAGCGTTGTCGGACCAGCCTGTTGTTGATACTGCCACTGCGACAGAACAAGCAAAGATGCTGATCAAATCTGGAGCCATCAGTGCTATTAAATCTGAAAACAAGAACTCTGGTTTCAAACGTTCACGGATGCTGGAAATCAAGCTCAAGGTACATTATTATTAATGATTACATGATTTATTAATTAACATTACCTGATTGGTTGTTTTAAATGCATGGCACCAATAAACATTGAAGGGGCAAAGGCAACAACACAGACTTAATTTGCTTGGAGGACTTTTTACTTTTATTTTGGTTGGTTATATGTTTCTCCAACAATCATGTCTTTGTGTACTTTATAGGACCCAGAAAAAGGGCCAGTTCCTGCTTTCTTACCATTCCAAAGAAGTGTCTCTACGGATGATGACCAACCTGAGGTAAAACTCATAAGATTACGTTATTTTATAGGTTTGCTTCTCCAGTCACACTTCTTTATTCACTGTTTTGACTGTAAACATTCTGTAAAATCTGAACTAAGTTGTCCTATTGATGCTGTAAAAGCCAAAAACTATGCACATTTCCAAACATGTGAGATGTTATTGTGATTATTTGCATTTCATTATGTTTCTTTCAGTCTGGAAAGAGAGCCCAACGGAAATCTCTGTACGAAAGGTACTGTTCAAAAAGGAAAGACGTGTGTTTGATATGCTGATAGTATCCATATGTAAGATTAAAATAATTTCCTAATGTGCTCCATAGCTTTGTCAGCTCAAGCGACCGGTACAGGGATGAGGACGATGGAGGAGGCATGTCATCCAGCCGCGAGATGGACAGAGACCGAGACCGAGACAGAGACCGAGATCTGGATAGAGAGAGAGACAGAGACCGAGAGAGAGACAGAGAAAGAGACAGAGACCGGGACAGGGACAGAGGAAGGGACCGGGAACGGGACCGGGACCGGGACAGGGACAGAGAAAGGGAGCGAGACAGAGACAGAGAGCGAGACAGAAGCCGAGAGCGGGATAGAGAGCGGGACCGGGAAAGAGACAGAGACAGAGACGGACCTTTCAGAAGTGAGTTCTGATTTTGTGCTGATCTCTGTATTGGGTAGTGTTGTTTTAAACCCCCTGTCCAAATCGTCACCTTAAAGGGGCAGATGTACGCTCCTCTTTCGAGAATCTGTATAAATAAAAGCACAGGAAGATACTTTGAATGTGTCAACAAAGATCTGAATCAGCTGTCGATGTATAATGTATACAAGGCATCGAAATAGAAAAGAAGGATAAAGTTCCTTTTTCTATTATTATATAGTGTAGGTTTATATGAAGGGAGTCATCAGACAGTTTGTGAACTATTCCACAATCTTGGATCAGATATGTCTTACAGCTCAGTGTCAAAGGTCAAAATAATAATGCAAAATTTCTTTTTTATATGTCATCCTGTTCTTTACTTGTTTGCCGTTAGGGTCGGACTCGTACCCCGAGCGGAGGGGGATGCGAAAAGGCAACACGGTGTACGTTTACGGCTCCGGGCTGGTCGAGGACAACCTTCGCTCTGCCTTCTCTCAACATGGAACCATCATAGACCTCTCAATGGACAACCCACGCAAGTATGAAAGCATAAGGCAAAACCTGCGTGCACGTATTGGTCATTCCTGTTGTGAGTGCGTGCCGATCTAAAATCTGATTTGTTTCCAGCTGTGCTTTTATCACATTTGAGAAGATGGAGTCTGCAGACCAAGCTGTGGCTGAGGTTGGCACACATTGCTGCAATTACTCTTTTCAAAAACTTATCAACAAAACACAGATATGACACATATAGTGTCACATACACTCATTGTAAAGGAATTGTACAGTAGTCATAGTCAAGATTTGGGCAGAACCAAAACAAAATATGCTTGCAGTTTTAATAAATGGTTGTCCAAACCCAATAGATAGTAGAGGTTAGAGAATGAGAAAGAATCCACAACATGTTAATTTAGTCAGTCATATAGTTCTTGTTTGTTCTGCCGTTGACTTAACAGTCATCAAATATTGTTATTCATTTGGTCTGTAGTGGTGCCCGGTGATTCCTTAACTCGCCGCTTTTGTCTCACAGTTGAATGGAAGCATGGTGGGAGACGTCCACATCAAAGTCAGCATCGCCAGGAAGCAACCCATGCTGGACGCCGCCACTGGGAAATCAGTGTGGGCTTCTCTGGGTAAACACAGAGCTCTGCAGAACCTTTTGCTCAGACACCCATGTCCCTGGGTTAACCTCGCTCTCTCTCTGTGCTTTCGCAGCTGTGCAGAACAGCACCAAAGGCTCCTACAGGGACAAGAGAAACCAGGTGGTGTACAGCGAAGACTTCCTGTGATGAAGCGTGTCCTGTTTCTGCTTTCATTAGCCGGCTGCTTTGGACGCCTGCGTTTCAACATAGATACCAACATTTTTTGCTATCTTTTTTTTTTTTTTTCATGTGATGCTCTGTCGGGCAGCTTGGCTTTGAAATTGTACATTTCTTTTATGGAGCTTGTAGTGGTAAAGTTTGTCGTTTCAATTTTTTGTTTTTCTAATTTTCCAATTTCTTTGTTTGTTTTTCTTTAACAACCTTTCCCACCTTGGGTGTCCAATACTGTGGTCTGACGCGTGATTGAATCCAGGAGATGGTTATTGTGTGTCTTGTGATGGTTTATTGTACAAAATTAAACTTGATTATAGCAAAAGAAATGTCCAAGTTTGATGTAACAAATCACGGTCAATGACTGTCTCAGCTTGTATCAGCCCCAGCTGCTGTCCCGCATCACAGGCTTTTATAGGTGCAGTTCCCGCCTTCACCTATAGGTGGGAACATTGAAACAAACTGGCACAGAAATTAATTAAGATATGTAGAAATTAAGAAAGTATGTGGTCAAATAACTAAAATAAACAAATGGCTCCTACACACCGGCCCCTAATTGGGACCTGAAGTACCAATTACCATTAAAAAATAAAAAGAAAGGAGCCCAAATCTATAACAAATATAACAAATAAAGAGAATAAACATTGTACTCATCTTAGAGTTCTTTCAGTTGGATCTGGGTCTTCTGAACCCTCAAGAAGCAAGCAGACCTTGGTGATTGGCCTCTCTAGGACACCAGTCTTGGTTCTAACGGTTAAGCTTCTAGCCAGGCCTTTAGAATCAGCTTGAACTTCAGTGACTCTTCCAAGGGGCCAGGAACCTCGAGGTGCAGTGTTGTCCACTATAAGCACTACATCTCCTCTTTGGAACCCCCTCTTCACTCTGAACCACTTCTGTCTCTCTTGCAGCATTGGGAGATATTCCTTGGTCCACCTTTTCCAAAACAAGTCTGCTAAATATTGCACTTGTCTCCAGCGTCTTCTTGTGTATTGGTCGGATTTGCTGAAGAGCCCTGGTGGTAGCACAGGTTGGGTGTTCAACAAAAGAATGTGATTGGGTGTTAGTGCTTCAACATCCTTTTCATCCTCCTTCACAGTTGTTATTGGACGGCTGTTTAGGATGGATTCAACTTCGCAGAAAAGTGTTTCAAGGCTTTCATCATCAAGTAGTTGTTGCTTCAAGATGGAATAAAGAACATGTCGCACCATGCGAATGAGTCTTTCCCAAACACCTCCGTGATGGGATGCTGCTGGTGGGTTGAAACTCCATTCCACTCCTCTCTGCAGCATCACACTCTGGATTTTGTGTGTGTTCCATTCAGTTACTGCTCTTTGAAGTTCATTTTTTGCCCCAACCAGATTAGTGCCGTTGTCCGACCTTATGTGGGCAACCTGGCCTCGTCTGCATACAAATCTCCGTAAGGCATTGATGCAGGAGTCCGTGTCCATGGAGTGAGCCATTTCAAGATGGACGGCCCTACTTGACATGCATGTAAATATCACACCATACCTTTTCAGGGAACTTCGTCCCTTCTTTATCTCAAAGGGTCCAAAGTAGTCAACTCCAGTATTTGTGAAAGGTGGCAGGTCAGGTGTCAGTCTTTCTTTTGGCAGATCTGCCATCTTTTGCTCTCCCAATTTGCCTCTCAAGCGTCTGCACACAACACACTTGGTCAAGACCTTTCTAGTCGTGGAGTTGGCATTCACAATCCAATATTTTTGACGCAGTTTGGAGAGGACATGATTTCTTCCACTATGGCCAAGCTGCTGGTGGATGTGTCGAATCAGCAGTGTTGCCACATGATGGTTTTTGGGAAGAATCACGGGTCTCTTCTGTTCAATGGGCATTGCTGACCTGTTCAGCCTGCCTCCAACACACAACATCCCATTTTCCAATATGGGATCTAACTTGCAGATGCTGCTATATCTGCTTACAGCCTTCCCTTCCTCCAACATTTTAATTTCCTTTGCAAAGCCTTGAATTTGACAAAACTGAACGATGCCATCCTCAGCTTTGTCCAGATTAATCAAATTCAAGGTTGTAGGTTGGTCTAATTTAGTAGTTGTGTCCAAGCTCAGTTTTTTGTTTCTCACCTTTTGCAAAAGAGTTTCTTTGAATTTCAAGTGCCATGCTACTGCTCTTTTTAGTTTGTGCCAGTCTGAAAAGTGCTCTAGTAGCTGGTTTGTTGGATTGTCCATTTGGTCCTCCTCCACAAAAACACTGAACACAGTGGTGCTCCTTTTCACCTCAGGGTCATCTTGAGCAAGTGAGTGGGTCTCCATGGGGTTTTGAGGCCATTCCTCTTCCAATCTCCACAGAAACTCTGGTCCCTGTAACCATTGCTTGCACTTCACCAATGTGCTTGCACTCACTCCTCTTGACGCCATGTCAGCCGGGTTCAGTTTGGTTGGAATGTACCTCCATTGTGTTGTTTCTGTGTGGTTTCTAATAAAGGAAATTCTGTTTGCAACAAAGGTGTGGAATCTTGTGGTGTCATTTGCAATGTATTTCAATACGGATTGACTGTCTGTCCAAAATGTGGATGCACTGATTGGATATTCAATTTCTTTTTTCAGCATTTTGTCCACTTTTGCTGCTAGCACTGCAGCAGTGAGCTCCATGCGTGGAATAGTCATTTGCTTTAGTGGAGCAACTCTTGCTTTACCAAGCATAAACACGACATGGATCTTGTTGGTGGTGGTCATTCTTAGGAAGCTTACTGTGCCATAGCCATGGTCACAAGCATCTGAGAAGTGATGGATTTCAAAATGCAGAGGTGACTTAAGGTCAGGTGGTTTCAAACATCTGGACACATTAAAGTCCTTCAGAACCTCAAGACTGCCAAGCCATTTCTGCCATCTATCAGAAGCTGATTGAGGTATTCTGTCATCCCACTCACATTTGGACTTGCATAGCTCTTGCAGAATTAGCTTTGCTGGAAGAGTGAGAGGGCTCAAAAAACCTAATGGGTCGTAAATTGAGCTTACTGTGGAGAGGATGTTTCTGCGTGTGTGTGGTTTATCCTTCACAATGATGTTGAATTTGAAGACGTCCTCCTCAACACTCCACAGCAGTCCAAGCGCTCTTTCAAGAGGCCGTTTGTCTCGGTCCAACTCAAGCTCTCCATTGTCACGTGCTCTATCCTGCTTTGGAACGCTTGCGATTACTGCTTTGCTGTTACTCTGCCACTTGGTCAGGTGGAATCCTCCTTTCTCACACAAAGAAGAGACCTGCTTGACCAATTCAATGGCTTGTTGTTCTGTTGAGACAGATTTCAAGAGATCATCCACATAGAAATTGCATTGCACAGTTTTAACAATGTCTGGATGGTACAAATCACTGTTGTCTTTGGCTGCTTGTTTGAGTGCAAAGTTTGCACAGCTTGGAGATGAAGCAGCTCCAAAAAGATGCACCAACATCCGATATTGAAGAGCTGGCTTACTGATGTCCCCATTTGGCCACCATAAGAACCGCAAAAAGTCTATGTCTGATTTAGTGACTCGTACTTGGTGAAACATCTTCTGAATGTCTGCCATCACTGCAACTTGCTCTTGTCTGAATCTCAAGAGAACTCCTAGGAGAGAGCTCGTCAGATCTGGACCTGGCAAGAGTTCTGAGTTCAAAGAGGTTCTACGGTAAGTTGCACCGCAGTCAAAAACAACTCTAAGTGTTCCTTTCTTAGGGTGGTACACCCCATGATGTGGAATGTACCAAAGTCTTCCATCAGTTCTTTCAAATTCCTTTTCAGGCACAAGTTCAGCATGTTCACTACTAATAACTTCAGAGAGAAAGTCAGTGTATTCAGCTCTGAATTGACTGTTCTTTAAAAACTTCTTTTTCAAATAAGAAAGCCGCTGTTCTGCCACTTGGTGGTTGTTTGGCATAACAACGCTTTTGTTTCGAAAAGGTAAGTCTAAAACATAATGTCCATTGAGTAAGTTAACAGATTGTTCTGCTTTATTCATAAACATCTTGTCCTCAAAGGACATTTCAAGCTTTTCCTCTTGGCTTTCATAAAAGTCATGCTTGTATTGTTGCATCAACAATTCTTCTAGGCTTGCAACTGAGATTCTATTTGCAGAGACAACTGTATTACCGTCATACCTTGGTGTTTGCATTGGTCCATTTATGACCCATCCAAGAACTGTTCTCACAGCGTATGGTCCATTAGCTTGGCTGTTAATAACTTCCCATGGTTCAAGGGCTTTTGGAGAATTGCTGCCAATCAACAACTCCACATTCGCTTTGATTCTGGGAATCTTTACCTCTTTCAAGTAGGTGAAAGCTCTGAGTTCAACTTCACTGGGTATGCTGTTGGTGCTCACTGGCATGTTGCTCTGGGTGTACACCTCAGGTAAGTTGATGAACTCCTTGGAATCAATGGCGCTCACCTCCAGGCCTGTAATGATGTTTGCAGATGTGGCCTTCTCTTGCGACATGGTACGGAGCAGTATGTTGGTTTTCCTTCCTGAAAGATTTAACTTGTTCATAAGGTTAGTTGTGCAAAATGTAGCCGAACTTCCTGGATCAAGAAAGGCGTATGTTTGAATAATTTTGCTTCCTTTTGAGTGTTTCACTTTCACAGGAACAATAGACATCAAGCAGTCTGCACCATTGTCCTGGTCACCGGCCCCGGCATGCTTTCCAGCTCTGAGTGACACCTGTGCGCTGTTAACAGGAGCTGGAACAGATCGGTCTGCATTAATGTGTAGCATACTGGGATGATTTCTTTTACAAATTGAACAGTTAAGCCGCTTTGGGCAATCTTTACTCAAATGTCCAGCCTTTTTCAAGCATCCAAAACATACTCCATTTTGTTTAAGGAATGCAATTTTTTCTTTATGCAGCTTTGATTTGAAATGCAAGCATGATTCCAATTCATGAGCTCCATTACAAAACATACACGAAAGATGTGCATTTCTGTGTTCTTGTGGATTCACATTTACATTTGTGGCAAATGTTCCTTTAGATTTTGGTTTCGGTGTTACCTTGGGTTTTCCACGGACAGAGCTTGCATCCTGGATGTTGCCATAGATTGGGTCTGACAATATGCTGGATTGTCTCTCAATGAAAGTGACTAAATCAAGCATTTTAATCCTACCCACGCTCTGCAGTTCATGTGCTTCTGCACGCCATTTTGCTCTCAACCTGAATGGGAGTTTCAGCATAACATTTCTTAGGTTAGTCACAGTGTTCAATTCATCCATGTAGTATAGATCTTCCATAGCATTACAACATGTTCTAAGAAACAAAGCGTATTCTTTCAATGACTTGGGATCTTCTGATTTGATCACAGGCCAATTTAGAGCCTTTTCCACATATGCACAAGAAAGTCTATATTCATTGCCAAAGGTCTCTTTCAGCAGTTGCTTTGCTTTGAAGTAGCCTCTACTTGCAGCCATGTGCTGACAACTCTTCACAAGATCATGCGCTTGACCCTTTGTGTACTGCATTAAAAAGTGAAATCTGTCTTGGTCATCTTTGCTTTTCCTTTCAATAACATGTTCAAACGTTTGCATGAATGACTGATACTGAAGAATGTCTCCATCAAAAACAATAAGATTGATTTTTGGCAATGTAGATAGCCTTTGTTGTTTAACCATTATGTCTGTTAATTGATTCTGCTTTTCAAGAACAGTTGTTAAAATTGCAGACTGTTGACTTGTGTTCGTTGAGAAATTATCGGGACTTGTATGCGTGGGAATCTGAGTCGGCAAAGTAAACGTTCTCCGGGTATTTTCTTGTTGTAAGCTCTCAATAGTTAGCAATTGTGAGAGTGGTCTCCCAACAGGTTCTTTGGGTCTCACTACAGGCTGGCTTTCCTCTGCCTGAACAGGTGAATTATGCGCTGCATTAAAGTATGCGTTCATGGCATCTTGTGATGTGCTCAGTGGGTCAATAGCTTCTACATTCTCAGCGTTTTTCAGATAGTTGATTTTCGCAGTTGTTGCTGCTATATCAGTAAGGATGTCTAGCGTTTCTCTTCTCTTTATAAGTTCAGCACGTTGCTTTTCAAGTTGTTCTTGTTCGTGTTCTAATGCGTGCTTATCTTTCAAAGCCGCTGCTTTTGCAATCAGTGCCGCGCGCTCGGCCTCCGCCCTTATGCGTAAAGACGCGCTTGAGGCATTGCTCCTAATAGAGGAGCAAACAGAGCGCTTGTCGTCTTCTTTAATGTTTGTTTGCATATCTGGTGATGTATCAGACGAAGGCAGTTCGACTGAGACACCGTCTTGCTTCAAATGTCCGATATTTGCGAACCATGTTTCCACACTGGCAAGGAACGCGTTGATTTGCTCCATACGGGGCTCAAACCATGTTTTTGTATCAAGGCTTTTATACTCAAGAAACAGTTCTTGATAAGATACATTTACGGCTTTGAATTCTTTCAACATATCATTATACTTAAGCATATTGCCTTTAACCTCTTCCACATGTTCGTTATTTTCCATAAGCCTGTTCACAATATTCATCCGTCGCGTTAGTTGCGACATTTTACCAGACCTCGAGGAACGGAGATTTGCTGCGGCCTCTCCTGGCTCTGCAGACGGGCCTGAAGCTTCATCTCTGTCGGAGTCATCCATTTCTCAACACAAAACAGTTTGTTAGAAATTTTCCAAACGAAATAAATACTTTCTTCCTTTAGTATTTAAAACGAAATCAATTCTTCGTCCTGTAACGTTTCTTTCAATATTCTTTTTCTTTCAAGCAAAAACTTAAGCTCCAAGTTCCTCCAAAATTAAACTTTCGTTTCTTAAATAATTTTTTAAATAATTTCTTTCCAACTTAAATCCATTTCAATCCACTTTCAATCCACTTTTCATTTGAGTACAGGCCAGAGAACTTGATGTGGCACGTACCTCCTTCAAGGTGTATTCCTTTGTTTCCAGTTGGCGGGGCAGCCTCATTCAAACAATTCCATCTTTCGGCATCCACGCAATCCAATGTTCAAAGTCGTTTCCATGAATCAAGCAAAGTCATTGACTAATTGTAGTGGTAAAGTTTGTCGTTTCAATTTTTTGTTTTTCTAATTTT